TGTTTACAAAGTCCTGTTACCCCTCCCTGTTTTTTCTCATACATCTAATTGTTATTTTCTGCTGTAGATAAGTTGAGTGTAACAATGTGCGATACCAGTAACTTCCTAATCACCCCATCCATGATACAAAAGATGTCGCACTGAACATGGGATGGATCGTTATCTGTCATGAAATGATAGCGCTCACACTGTCCTCTGGATGTCTAAATACAGTTAAACACTTGTACTGAATACAGTCAAATACTTCTAAATACACTTAGCAACATTCTTCCACACGTTTCAGTTGTTGGTCAGTGCACTGTAGTAAAAAAAATGAGGATATCATGACTTTGTGAACATTCTGTAGATAAGGCAGGATAAGAAAAACATATTTGTGCTGTGACATTCTGCCAAGAAAGCAAATGTGACCATGAGAGAGCCAGGGAGAGCGCGGTCAGACACCGAATGGGAAGAGAAAAAACCCCACAAAATACTGCAGATGCTGGAAATATGAAACAAAAATAGAAAACATTCAGCAGGTCAGGCAGCATCTATGGAGAAAGGAAAGTGAGTCAAAGTTTCGAGTCGTTCTGACGAAGGGTCATGGACCCGAAACGCTGATTCACTTTCTTTTATCCATAGATGCTGCGTGACGTGCTGAGTGTACCCATAAAAACCTTATGTTTTTGTTACTGAATGGGGAGAGCCAGGTGTTTCTCTGAAAGATGGAAGTGTACATGCTCCACTGAAAGGGAACACAGAGCAAAATTCTGCTACTTATTCCTGACCAGAATAAAGCTACTTTCATCCAGCACCAGTGATTTTCACTGAATTCCCTTAATTCCTTATATACCATCCTACTGCTTGTTTAAACAGTCTATCTCTCAACAGAAAAGCACTGAATAAGCAATACATATTTCCTTAGTAACCACACTACTACCAATGAGTTTGTGAGCATAAGAGGCAAACCCACCAATTGAAATGACAGTATTTACAAATCCAATAAAACAGCCCAGATCACCTTCAGCACAAATGATCCGATAGCATTGCAAGCTCCATGACATTTACTACACACTCCATCATCAGCACTTCATTTAGGAATTTTTTAGAATCTTAACAATAATCCTTACATTCGGTACAATGAAACTGGATAAACCAAACCTAAGCTGCTTTGAGATTTCGTTGAGTTACATTATACCAAATTTAGGTATGGCGTATCAAGCTAATCGAGTGATTCTTACAACAGTGAGGCTTCACTCTGATGTCCCTATGGACGAACGGCCTGTCAGAATGACCAGTGAATAATGACCACCTAGGCTGACATACTGGGGGACATCACTACAATTTGAATCAACAAGAAATACCCGGGAGCTATGATTTAAGAGGCTAGCATTTGCGGATCCAAGCACTCTGTATCCAGCAGACAGAAGAAAGAAATCAATGCTTTCAGCAGTGGAAGAAAATGGATTAAAAATGAGGATGATTTATCTTAATTATTAACATTCAAATTATCAAGGAATACTGTGGAGTCCTGTAACATATCTGTTAGAGCACTCATCTTGCAAACAAGAAGACTTGAGCTTGATTCCAGGCAGAGCGAAACCTTATACAAGTGTACTTTCTCCACACATCCTTGCTTTCCTAGCAGTAGTCGATTGGCAGATTGATTTTTTGGGTGTAGTAATCCTTCAAAAAATAATTAAGAAAAAATAATTTGTTCACTCAATCCATAATTGTTTGTGGGTCACTACTGTGCACAATTTTTCACCAACAAAATATACAGACAATTCACCTTGAAGTATATTCTGCGAAGAGCTTAGAAACGTCTCAAAGGTGTTATTATTAATATAATCAGTATAAATAGAATCCTTTCTCTTTTGGATGACTGCAGAATCTCCTGATGCTGCGCAATCTGAAGTGTCTCTGATAAAAGGAAAAACAAAGTAAACTCCCTTCCCCAGCATTACGCAGATTTTTGGTTGAACATCTCGTTCAGTGAGAACCTGGTCACTACAAGTTAAAGGCAAGTTGGATGTTTTAAAGATCGAGACTCTGTATAACTGATTGTCAGCTTTAAGCAACTGGAAGAAAGTTTTCCTAAACAAAAATGAGTAGATTTAGCAAAACGTTAATTAGGTTTCAGTTGCTCAGGGAGATCAGATTAATTACAACGCAACCCTCCCGCTGTCATGGATACTGTAAATGACTGTTAAAACAACCTCCCCCATCCCTGACATTTAATCAGATACAGGCGGTGCCTCATTTTCAAAGTGTGTGTGGGTGAATGCATAGTGTGCCTTTGCGTGTGTCTTGTGGAGTGTAATGATATTAGTCATCACTATAATTTGAATCAACAAGAAATGCCTGCGAGGCATTACAATTTTAAAGGCTAGGATTTGTGGATCTAAGTTGTTCAGAAGCATTCTTGAGATTGTATTACTTTTACAAAGCACACTTCCTCAGTTGACGGGTGAGACTGCAACCTGTGTCCTTGGCTCTGTCAATCCTCAGTACTAGCAGCATTGAGTCTGGAGTAGACATTATCCAATATTTAAAAACGGAGTGAAACGCAAGCTCTTACAAATTGGATTGATGTGCTCCTACAAATTAACATGGAGGAAAGGGGAATTCATCCTGGCCAGGGCGAAACCTTAGGCAAATTTCCTTATTCCATTCTGCTTTCAATCTTACCTAGGTGGTGCTGAATGGAAGTACAGAAAAGGTTGGGAGAAAAGGTTTGCAGACCAGTCACTGGGGTGGGGGGGGGGGGGGGGGGGCAGGGAATCCTCCCACTCAGATCCTGTTAATGCTGCAAGCCAAAGCCCTGATGGGTAGGGTGGTCCCAGCTGGACAAGTTGCAGGAATGCTTGCCAAACAAAACTATGGCTCCTGCCAACCTTCACCTAATGCTTTCTGGAATTGGGTAAGCAAGATGTGTCCCTCCAGGGAGATAGTCTGCATTCCATTCCAATAATCAATCTCTGGGATTTTCATGTGTAGGTAGGATGCATGGAATTCTGTTTTAGTTTGGATACTCTTAAGCATGGTGATGGACACCCGACTAACCACATAAAAAATGTTAAACCCTGCGGTTATCAGCCCTCCTGGATACAGAGGTGCATTAACAGGAACCTACCCACACTCTGTTGAGAAAATAAGTCAGAGGAACAGAGGATCAGGGGAGTTTAAGTAGAGAATAAAATTTTAAAATACAAGCAAAAATAATATCTGTAAAATTAGTGGGAGATTGCTTCCCCTGGTTGGAGAAACTAAAACCAGGAGTCACAACCTTAAAATCAGAGGCCAGCCCTTTCGCACTGAGGTGAAGAAGAACTTCTTCACTCAAAGGGCGGTGAATGTATGGAACTCACTGCCCCAAAGGGCTGTTGACGCTCAGTCCTTGAATATATTCAAGACTGAGATAGATATATTTCTTATTGCAAAAGGGATTAAGGGTTATGGGGATAAGGCAGGGTCAGGTTATTAGGAGTTAGATTAGAAGATCAGTCATGATTGAATGGCGGGGCAGGCTCGAAGTGCTGAATGGCCTACTCCTGCTCCTACACGTTATGTTATGATTCAATCCTGAGACTGCCCCTCCTCTGAGTTTGGAAATGATCAGATTAAAAAGTTTCCTATAATTTTCTGAAAATTGCACATCATGAATAAAACATTATAATCTGCTGCTACTGAGTGAAATGAGGTAGAGGAATGGGTATCTGCAATAATGCAGCTTCCAGGGCAGAGTGAACAATGTATCATTGTTACAGGACCAAGTAATTGCACTGTGCACACAGCCTGATACCCAGCAGTGAAGAGTATCCACAAAATATGCTTAACTAAGGGATTAGTGAAAGTGGTAGCAAACCATTTTTTGGAAAGCAGGATGTGTTTTAAAATCAATTTCAGTCCTTAACAATGAGTAGAGCTAATCCAACTACTAAAGAATACCACACATTTCTCTTTTTACTTAAATTTCAGTTGTGGAACAATATTGGGGATGTGTTCTTCCAAGTCCTGCTGACAATCCTGACTGACTGTTCCATCACCAGCAGTGCCTTGAAGTACTGTGGACTCGCCTGGCTCAGGAACCAAATTTATCAATGCAATAGTGACAGAGGGTTGACTTGATTCCAACCTTCTGTTGTCGAACATGTCATCGCGGAGCCAGAGTATCTCCATGGAGATTCTGCTCACTTCCTCCGAAAGAGGATAGTTACTAGTTGGTTACTTGACTTCTGACAAGTGCAGGCTTGAACCTTCACTGGATGGGTATAAGGTACCGGGAACTCCCTGCAAGAAGTTTCAGCATGGATGATCACAGTGTGGAACATCTAGTTCAAAATAAGAACCATAAGGCCATACTATTTGTCTTCATTGGGTAAATAGTATGGCCTCTGTACTTCCAGCCAATTCACTACATCCTCGCAGGAAGCTGACCTAGAAATTGAAGCACAATTCTTTGTATCCAGTGGATAGCCAGTGACAGTGTTTTACTCACTTATTCAGACATTGATGAAAATGATTTATTAATATCCAACCTTTAGAAACCTCTAATTGCATTGGAATTAAAGTAATTTCCTTTGCAAATTGCTGCACTGTACAATAAAAAAGATTAGACTATGCTGGTTGGTCTATGGATTTCTTATTTTAAAAAAATCTGCTGAGTGATTTTTTGTGCTCATTCATGTGAGGAAATGGAACACGATCTATAATGTCCCCTCAAGTACTGTGAGGCCAGATGCAGCACAGGTAGTGTGGTTTAGGCAAGACCCATAGTGTCTGCTCCCCAGAAAGCCTTACATAGAATTAATTAACAACCACCTTAGCCATTTACTGCAGCAAACAACAATCCACAATTGAGCAAGACATTGGACTCCATCACATTACACTTACTAGTCTACAGTCTTCTAACAATCTTGTGGTGGGGGGGTGGGAGAGGTGGAAGAGGGGTAATACCTTCAACTAGCGCAAGTGCTTTGCAGGTTTGTGTGGTATTGCAGGCATGGTTGCGAGTCTCGTTCATTTTAATAGAACTTTATTTAATCAGCTGCTTTATTAATTCAGCTGCACTCTTCCATGTTCTTCAATCTTGGTTCAGTTGTTGGGTTTGTATTCTTGATGGTCATTATGTAAAACTTGCCATTAACATTGTAATCAGGTGGCTGCCATCATTTCCTCTCCCACTGGTCAACAAAGTGAAAACATGAAAACTGTGTTGCAGTAAGAGAATCTTTGTGTCCAGCTGGCTAATCACTGTGAGTACAGCAAACTCCTTCACAATCCGGTTACAATCTGGAGCTTTCAGCCCATAGTGTTAGCAACAAGTTACAACAATGGCCACTACAGTACTCGATATTAAAAAGTCATTCTGTATAATTTGCTGTGGGAGTGACACACACCACAAACATACTGGTGTATGAGAGTGACAGGTGCTGACAAGCTCCCAAGTCTCTGGTTCAGAGCAGGGATGGGGGATAAGTGTCAGCGTTCCTGTTCCAAAGGCTGCTGTTCCATCAGGATACCCATGTACTTGTTTGTGAGGAAGTCGCAACCTGGAATATTGCAGATGGCCTGGTGAATGTTTGTTACACTCAGCTCTTTGGGTGTTCTGAAGAAATAAAACACAAAAGGCTTCATTATTTTCAAGCGGATCTTTTCTTGTTTGCCTTGTATTTTTTTCTTATCCTGACTGAAGCATTCATTCAGAATTGAATAATCCACAACCCAGTAAACACTCAGACAAGCTTCAGAGTCATCAGACTTTACGTCCCTGGCCAACTACACCCTTTATAGAAAATCCTTAACATTTAATAATAATATCTGATTATTTGTATCTGAAGAACATTTAGAGTAACTATCAAAGCTCCTTTGTGTAAAGGAGTGTGCGACCTTGTAAAGCAATCTTAGCAAAGGGTGCAGAGCTTGACTTTTGTATCTCTTTATAGTATAGAACTTTGAAAAGAGAAGCAGCTCTGAAATATGAGCTTTGCACATGCTTACACAGTGGGCGGATTCCAAAAGACCAGAGACAACACACTGTCTGACACAATCTCAAGACAATTTTTGTTTTCAGTTCATTAGCCTGTCTGCTCTCTGGGAACAGTCCATGTGGGTTCTAGCTCGATCTTCACTTCCTCTTATAAACTACAAGTGTTTAAATGACAAGCCAGTTATCACCTAAACACCGATTCTAATTTGATCATTTTCTCGCCTACACTTTTCATCTTTCAAGGTTCACTTGTACGATGTGTCTTGATCCTTCCTCTAAATTTGATCCAGTACTCTTACAACACTAGGTTCAATAGGTTTTCCAAGCCAGTTTACAAACTGGAATGCATTGCCTGAAAGGGTGGTGGAAGCCAATTCGATAACAACTTTTAAGAGAAGTAGATAATTATTTGGGGAGGTCAACTTTACAGGGCTATGGGAGAGCCTGGGGGAGTGGGATTGAATTGGATAGCTCTTTTCAAAGAACCGGCATGGACACAATGGGCCGAATGGCCTCCTGTGCTGTATAATTTTATGATTCTATGAACACACTTTGAATAAACATGTTAAAATAAAGGCCAAAGAAAAATGTCAAGTTAAATTGGAGCTCTTACTGAAAGCTTGATTTCGAACAGGAATACTAATGTAGTCACTCTAGATGAACCATATTGCTTTTAAGTGAATCAACACTGTCTGTCAAAAGTCCTCCCACTTCAAACTGTGTCACCATCTGCCAACGTGTTACATAAAATCTTTAATAAGCAACCCAATTTAACTGAGAACTACTGCCCTGTGGTTTACTCCTGAATCAAGAACAGTACCAGCCAGCTCCAAACACGTTCCTAGCCAAGAATGAGAAAAACGATTTCCTGGCAAATTCTGTGTAATACCCGGTTTAGAAGCACTAGTTTAGAAGCAAGTTCTTAAAAAGGCTCGAGTATGGTCAGTTCAATCTAAATTGTTTTCTTTAGATCTAAATGGATCAAGGTGCTGCAATATGGAATTGCTTTTAAGTTGCAATGGTCTATATTTGCGAGGATGTACTTACTATACAGAGTTTCTATAAGAAATAAGATTGCACGGACTCAAAGTGGCCAAGGGGATCACCTAGCAATATAGAAGGCTGCGGAATTGGACTGTGTTGAGTTAGCTCAGCTCAGCCTGGATGTAGAAGGGCTGAAAAAGATGACCTCAGGTACCTTGGTCCATGGGGTGGTGGGGAAATCAAGCAACGTTTTTACTGCTGATTACTATAAGGCGCTCTCCGCAGCGGAAAGTATATTTCAATGAAGATTGTGTGAAGACCAGATCGGGTTTAGCCAGGATGCTGCCCTCTACAGTTCAATACCCTGCAGAGACACAGTATATGGTCCTGAAGATCTCAAGGAATGTGTGTCCACAAGAGTCAATGCCTTCAGGAGAGGAGAAAATTTCGAAAGAAAAAAAATGAACTGTACCTGTTCTGGGGAGTTCCCTGGTATGCAATGCCCAAAGACTCTCGAAGAATCTCACTTATGAACTGTTCAGTAGCCTAAACATCAAAGAGACAAGAGTGATCATTTTCATTTGATATGACATTAGAACGTCTCAAAGCACTTTATTTACTGAGTTACTTAGTGTAGTGACTGTTATATACAAGGACAAATACGACTAAAATAGGCCAGCAAAATCTCATATACAGTGGGATAAATGACCAACTGATTTATTCTTCTGGCGAACATGAATATTGGCGAGGATGCTGGGACAACTCCATATTCTTCTTTGAAATAATGCTGTGGATCTTTAACATCCAGGAAAACTACCAGAAGAGACAGAAGAGATTTTGGTTTAATGTTTCATCTGAAGGAATTAAATTAGTAAATCATACAGTAAATCAGCCTGGGGTTTATGGCTGGTACATCACTGAGAGAAGCTCTCTGCAGCTCCCATCCTGCAGATGGTAACTGCTCCCATCACTTCCCAAAAGCTTTATTTGAGAAAAAGCACAGAGCATCAGTAAAAGTGTGCCCACTCCACCCCTGTCTAGCTCCACTCACTCATCCCTTTCAATGATACAGTCAATAAAGACTACACATTTTGATAAGTACCATATTAAACCACAGAGGTGAAATATCTAATAATTATCTAGTGGGGTGACAGCCCATGATTTGTCAGTTTTTGTATAATTATCTAATATAATATAGATGGGGATACGTTTTTAAAATTCTCCCTCCTTCCATTACTCTTCTACTTTAACGAAGAACAATGAAATGTCCAGCATCAGGTTCTCACATTCATTGCTGTCCAATTCTACATAAAGAGATAAAGGGATATCGAGATAAGGTGGGTAGGTGGAGTTAGAATAGATCAGCCATGATCTTATTGAACGGCGGGGCAGGCTCGAGGGGCCGAATGGCCTACTCCTGTTCCTAATTCTTATGTTCGTATGTAATTCTCAGACAGAAGTGAGAAATCAGAGCTGCGTGCTGCTGTTGTACTGCTCTCTGCAAAAGGACAACCTATATTCAGTGAAACTACCTGGGAACACTCCAATCTCCTCATTCCGGGTCACAACAGAATTTCTATTTTATTATGAAAGACTATTTTGTACATCTCTGGGGAAAACCAGAGTGTGAAAGTGAGGTTTGAGCTCAGATTCTATCACCCAGACATAGAAGCAACCTGTAGAATTCATCCTTTGCTGATTATTAATGATTGATTCAGCACAGGAATATTCTGTACATTTCAGATCACTGGCACATCTACATTACTATTAAATTTCATATGCATGCTTTATAACCCCTCAGGCCTGCTATCAGCAAGTGCAGCCAGGTGACTTTCCCTTGCACTCCCTAAATTGCAGTCTTAATAATAATAATAATAATCCTTGCATTTGATATAGCGCTTTTCACGTCAGGAGGACGTCCCAAAGCGCTTCACAGAACACACTGTAAAGTGAATTGACTGTATATTTGTGGGCGAACGCGGCAGCCAATTGCGCACAGCAATGTCCCACAAACAGTCATAGATTGAAAATGACCAATTTAATTATTGTTTTTAGTTTTGGAGGGATTATTATTAGGCGTGTGGAGTAAGGAAACTTGCCCAAGGTTTCGCCCTCTGCCTGGAATTGAACTCAGGTCTCTCACTTGCAAAGCGAGTGCTCTAACCACTGAGCTACAGGACTCCACAAAGTCTTTCAGGCTTGTGACTCAAGCTGACTGAATGCTTGTGTTTCCTGCACAAGTGACTGGCGACATGGGCCCTGTCCAACTGGAGTGTGATGTAGCCTTGCAGTGAACTCCAAGCTCTGACTCTTACCTTTACAATCATATCTTCAATCACCGGCACCTGCATATTCTTCTCCACCTCCAGAGGCTCAAAATGAATGCCAATCTACAAAGAGGCAAAGATTCGACTTTCAACTGAAGGTTCTTAATAGGTGTTTATTCAGCCAATGTCAAAGGTAAGAGGGATTCCAACCAGTTATTTTGTCAGTGATTGTTTTAATGATGAGCGCTGAGGAATGACTTAGTGTTCCTGAAAGAGGAACCAAATTGATACATATGGTCAAAGCTGCATTAGTTCTGAGATCAAGTACTGGAGGAGCTGTAACTTTCTTCAGTTCAACTTTGATAAGACTTGAAGCTATTTTCTTCGGTTCACACCAGTGCCTATCTTCCTCTGGCTTGTTCAATTAACATCACAACTCCTCGCTGCAACTGCATTCAGCTTAGTTTTAAACATCACATCCAATGAATCATCAAACCTTCTCCTTCAACCTCCAGAGCTTGCTCACTCACACCCCTGCTTTGCCATTAAGCTCGATTATTAAGTGCTTTGAAAAGTTCTTTTACATAATTGCCATTATATAAATAGAATTTCGCCCACAAAATACATAGTCACTGCATCTTATAGTAAATTCGCTGAAGCATCTTGAGATGTCTCGAAGACGTGATAAGGTGCTATATCAAATGTAACTATTATTATTATATATAATTTGTTGTATTTCACTGACAACAGTTTAGCCCTCCTTCATGTGGTCAGTCTCATTCCCTAGCCAATTCTTCCAATAGTGACCTCAAACTGTCCATTTAAACTTCCTCCCACTGAACAGAAAGTTCATTACAATTCTTACTGATGAAGCTGCTTCATCTTAAAAAGAGGTATTGCTGACGATGCCTCAACAATCCAGCAGTGTAATGTCTGGGCATGGGGAGAAGAGGATGCACTACACATAAATATTTGGGGATTGTCAGTAAATAGAATGTCACTGAATGACATCTTCCTGTGAACATGTGTTGATGACTGTGCACCAGCTTTTCACCCTTACCTGCTGTGCAGTGTCTCTGGCAAACTCCATTGCTGGCATCATGCCCATGTAGAATTTGACCTCTTCATCCTCCTCTTCCTGCTCCTTCTTGACTTTGACTTTTGTCAGCTCCATCACACCCACAATGTCCAACTCCTCCTCACTCTCGGGCTCAGTTTTCAGAATGTTCTCCACCTCCGTCAACCTGTGGCACAGCTCATCAGCACTGCTGTACGAGCACGGGAACTCTGAAAAAAGAGGACCAACACGCTCACAAAATCCCTTCACCCAGGACCTAATTTGATTTTTATAAAACAATCGTTGCGCTTGATCAGGAAGCGGGTTTAGCCAGAGCCATTGGAGCGCTCCGCAAAAACCTATTTCTTTTATGAAGCGTACAATTATTTCGAAAGGAGTTGGGCATAAACCATCCAGCCATTCGATGAGAAATCATCCAAGTTCCTATTGAAGTAAAGAGTGAACAAACCTGGTTCATTGTCGATCTGAGTTAGAATGTCTTCTATTGAATTCTCTTCGGACATGGTGGTCTCGGGGTCAGGGGGCGTGTAAGCTCGCTGCCTGCACCACCACATAATCTGCTTGGTTTTCATCACCTCAATGCTACTGAACCTTGGACATGTCTCTACCACCTCTTGCAGCATCTTCCTCACAACAACTGCTCGCTGCCACTAGACAAGGAGAAAGGCCATACGAGAGTTTGGTCACAATTACTGTATCCCACAGACCACACACAAACTTACTTTGAAAGTAGAAAATTATTTTCAATCTGGAATCCTCCCCCGTAACTATAAACACCCAAATAAGTGTCCTCAAGAAGAAATCAAATGCTTTTTCTTTTCAGTCTTTTATAGCGTTAAGTTTTTCAGATTGAAAATACAGTACTTATGTTTCCCCTCCCCCATTCTTTAATAGCAGATAAATATAAGAGATTTTTAAAAAATTGGTAGGTTGACTTTAATCTCGTCAAAGAATGCTAGCATTGAGAAATCGATGATCTCCCCACCTACTGTCTGCAATCCAGCACTCTTCTCCCAGGCCTGGTAGAGCAGGGGTTAGGAGACAGAGTGAAGTCCCATCTGCACTGCTCCATTAAACATTCCTTTAACAATCGTAATAACCACTTACGACAGTGCAAAGATATTGATGGATGAATCAAACGTTTGACTTCCAGGAATTCTTTTGGGTTACCGAACAACCCTCCTTACCTCCGATGCTCTCCGCTTCCCAATATTCCAACTGTAATACTGCTCCAGAGACGTAGCGGTGAACGGATGGGAATCCTCTGCTGGTGGAAGGAAAAAGCAGTCATGTTATACACATCAATACTCAGTAACAATTCACATCAATACTCAAGAGTGAAATCCACTTACTACTTACTACAATTAATCCACAGGAACACTTCAAAGAAGCCTGTCAAGATGGAGCATCAATTTATTGCTCTTCTCTGAACTCTCTCCAACACCTCAATGTCCTCAATGTCCCTTTGGTTGGTCAGGTATACAGTATGATTCCAAATCTGGCCTCATCAGTTATTTGCAGAATGTGAGAAGCATTTATGTTCTCTTTAAGTGAATGTGGGAATAACATTTTACTTCTGGTAGCAAGAAGGCACTCTGCCAAACATACAGCCAAATTCCCTGGTGAGTGAAAGCAGCCTAAACTGGGACATTCGTAACAGAGCATTCATGATAGAATCTAACACAGCTATACCTCAGACAAGGTCAAGAATCTGATAATGGAAGAATTGAAGAATATGTATGCTCATTCAAAGAATGACATTGGTTCACTGAGTTTGTCCTACATAATGTCTAACATTGTTGCGCAGGAATGCTTTCATACATGTTTCATAGCAGGCTGTCACTACACACTCCATATAACAATATGAAAGTCATGCTGTGAGAACCCAAATCACAACACGGCATTCATTGAGGCACCTGGAACATCAACTCTTTCAGCCAGTATCGACATACCACTATGCACAACATATTATGGATATCACTGGATGTTTATCAGTGAACTTAAGGCTGCAACTCAAGCTCCTAAACTTGATTGGATTTACAACTGGGCAATTCACTGACAGCCATTCCAATATCCTCCGCATTGCTTTCTAAGCTCGGGAAATTCAACGGATTTGAAATACCCTCAGCGTTTAAAATGTTTTAATTCAAAATGATTGCTCGAGCAGCACACTGGGCTGAGGTTTTCGGCTGAAAGTTTATTGCACATTGTGGTGCTGAAGTTAATAGATTTTCTATTTGTTTTAACACATTTGACCCACTTAGAAAAAGCAGCGATGTGTTAAGTCTTAAAATGTGTACAAGCAATCTATTTCTAGACTAGTGACGTCTTCAGACAGGGAATCTTGATAACTCCATCAGCACCAAAAATATTTATCTTTCAGGTTAAACCTGCAGGAGATTCAATCTCCTACTGTTTGAGCAGATGTGATGTCACTGAAATGTCTATTTGAGGCACAAATCTTATATTGGAGAGAGAATTAAATAGATGCACTTTGTGTAATGGACACTGATGCTTTCGAACAGACAAAAATCATTTTAAAAGGGCAAAAAGATAATCTCGCTGATTAGATGGTACATATATTAAATTAATAGCAACCTTGGGTTTATAGTTTACGACTTATTTGTGTAAATTCAGTTTTTTATATAATCAACTGTTCTGAACGGTGTTAGCAATGTGGGATGTGAGACCACATAAAAAAGCAATGAGCAGAATAATTAGTGTGGGGTAATTGTTAATCTGCAGATAATCTCCAGGTAGTGGAATGCACTAATAATAATAATAATCCTTGCATTTGATAATCTACTGCAGAGTGCCTGCTACACTGTTCCAAGAGATTTCAGAATACTTGGGAACACTAATTTTTATAATTTCTCTATCATAATTGAATTAAACAACTTTACTGGTATGTTAAGAAAGTGTGAAACTAGCTTAAATGTGGAGTCCTGTAGTTCAGTGGTTAGAGCACTCGCCTTGCAAGTGAGACACCTGAGTTCAATTCCAGGCAGGACGAAACCTTGGGCAAGTTTCCTTACTCCACACACCTAATAATAATCCCTCCAAAAACAAGAACAATAATAAATTGGTCATTTTCAACTGCTGTGCACAATTGGCTACCATGTTTCACCCACAAATATACAGTCAATTCACTTTACAGCATATTCTGTGAGAAAGTGCGCAACTAACAAATCTTTTACTGAGAGGGAATTGGAAGGGAATTCCATCACCAATACCCTCCACGCCCACATCAACCTTCCACAGATGTTTACTTACTCTTCTCTGGCACCAGTAGTGGCACTTTCTTTAGGATGGCTGTCAGCAGCTGGTGTTCATTCTCAATGTATTCAAGGCTAAAGACAACATAGAAGCAGGAGCTGGTTAATTTCAATATTAGTGCCATTACCAATGTTGAATTCACTCAGAGAATCTTGTAATATAAAGAATCCAGGCCAATGCAGTTTGTGGCTTTTGAGACAGAACTGTCAGTCAATAACAAGATTCCAACTGACAAAATTACCCATTAGTTAAATGACCATGTTCCATTAGTTTATGAAGTTTGCATTTGGCAAGGGAATGCTTTTGCTAATGTTTCAATTTGTTTTTCTGGCACAAATACAGTAAACTGGACATTACTGTCCCCTCTAGCCTAACAAAGAGAAGTCATAAATTGCTGGTAACCTGGGCAAATGAGACCATAACCGGGAAAAGGAAGCTTGGATTTAATGTACATGAAAAGTCAATGTTATTTTTTTCCATGATAGTGTATCGTTTCTCAGATCAAGCAAAAGTTATACATTTCTTATAATGTGTGTTTAGAAAAGGAGATAGATTCGCAGACTGGCAGTTAATGTGAGAACAAGGGACCCCCTCCCCCCCACCCACGCGCGCACACAAACCAGAAAGAAAGTCACCAGAGAGAGCTCAGCAAGACAGCACATATAGTGGGTTTGTGGCTAGCTTCATCACGCCACCTAATGTACTGATTGATTGTGCCATTAGGTAGGATTTCCAATGAAGTAACAAAATATTTCAGTCATTCAGTCTCCAAAAGGTTAAAAACTGGTAACAACTTCCTAAACTCAACTAGACCGTCAGGTAGATGCTAATTATGGTAAAATGACACACTCACTCTATAATGTCAGAAGTCCCTTCCAATCCTCCATGTTCAACCTTTACGGTATTTAGTGCAGGAAGTGCAGGGCTGAAACAAGGTCCTGTAGCATCAGGCTCTGTCTTCACTGTGCAAAGAAAAAAAACAAATAACAATCAAGAGACTTTTACACTGAAAAGAATTGTTACCATGCTGAATGAGAGAGTGGTTTTCTTGTTAAAGATTTAATTTTAATGCACCTTTGTGCTGAGTTTTATTAGTATTTGCATGTTTGGGTCACTGCCTTGGCTACCTCCCGACTCAGCTAGAGTTAGGAGGCTCTCACTAATGAATATACTTTGGAGATAAGAGATTGACAAAGGCCTCGGTACAGATTGTACAGACATCTTTGGAGAATCTAAAGAGTGGGAGAAAAATAAATGAAGTGCTGGGGAGTGTAACAAAATTTATTCTGTGCATTCAACATTATACGAATAGCAATCCCTCTGCCAAAAAAAAATCAATGAATGGAATAGTTGCGTGTCACTTTCCATCATTGTGTTCAAAGCAATAATCAGTGTTGTTAGTGTTGCAAATGACCTTGCCTCAAGTGAGGTGCTCTTGGTGTGATGCTCTGAGGACTCGTGGAGTCCTATAGCTCAGTGGTTAGAGCACTTGCCTTGCAAGTGAAACACCTGGGTTCAATTCCAGGCAGAGGGCGAAACCTTGGGCAAGTTTCCTTACTCCACACACCTAATAGTAATCCCTCCAAAACAAAACAGTAATAAATTGGTCATTTTCAATCCACGACTGTGGGACACTGCTGTGCGCAATTAGCTGCCGAGTTTTGCCCACAAATATACAGTCAATTCACTTTACAACATATTTTGTATATTATTATTATAAACAGACAGTTAACATAACAGTGCAGCAGCTCTCAGGCCAGTGCTCCTCACACTGTACTGCCTGACCTTGCTCGTTTGTTTGAGGGGAGGGAAGTGGACTTGCAAATGAGAATACATGGAGAAAGAAATATTGGCCAGGAGTGAACTTGTGCCACACACACACACACACACACAAAACACACACACACCAGAAACCATAAAAATGTGCTCACACAAATCCTTGGGAACACCCCTGTCCCCATGTAGGTTTACCTTTGGTGACAGCTTGTACTGGTACAAGAAGGGTCTGGACGCCTCCCACAGGTGTATTGACTCCCAGCTGTTTCAGCTGGTGTGCGGGGATGGTCAGCATAGCCTGCTGGGTGCTGGATGAGGACTGATTCGACTGGATTTTCAGCATTCCTAAGGAAAAGCAGATTATGATTAAAAACCTCAGACTAAAACTGCAGGATCCCTGCTTCAGATGGAGCAGAAGTCAGGGTCCTGTGAGAGATCTTCACTGCACATCAGTGGGGGCCTGACAGAATCCAGAGCCATTGTTAGTGCAGACCACATTGTCAGGGTGTCTGGAGTGGCACAAGAGGATACTTCTGGATTCCTTTTGCTCTTTCTGTGGGGTTGTAGAGATGATTCTACACCCGCACATCCCTACAGCTGTAAAGAGGCACAGCTTCAACTAAAACACCAACGTTCACAATCTTGGCAAGCCCCTACTGGAAGCAAAACCCACCAAAATCCACTATCTAATGGACCTCCTGCACCAAAGATCCATCAAAGAGTGCCCATGGACTAGTTAATGAGCATTAGCATCCCAAAACTATGCAAGATGCTCTGCATTATTTGCATGTATCATATAATGTGTAATTGAATATGTATTTTTGCATAGCAAGACCTCAGAATGAATACAAATGAAAGAAAAGATTACAAGGGAAAACATGATTCTCTGCAATGTCCAACTGTAGAGAGTGTGAAGAGAAAGCTTGGAGAATGACTCAGCACTTATAGATTACCAGAAGGGCAAACCTCCCCTGTAAGTCAAATACAATGGTTTAATAAACCTTTTCTCTTACCAGAAACTGTAGTTGCAGCTTTTCCAGCCATGGTGTTTGTCCCAGCAGAAACGCTGGTCACCAGAGAGGTCACAGCACTGGACGCCACAGAACTGGTCATCTTGCTGCTTGCTGAAGTGCTGGGTTGCAAACTCATCACATGCCCTCCCTGGGAACCAACAGTGATGGTGCGGGTCAGCATTCCAGGTGTAAGTTGTCCCTGTGTCATGAGGAGTGGCTGCTGATGACCAGAGGCTTTCACTAGAGGGATGGAGACTGAAGTTGGGCTGTTCAGTTCCAGCTGCAACACAGAGGAACTGCTGTCAGAAACTGCTGGTCTTACTCCAAGGTTTCGAATTGAAACAAAGAAAACAACTTAAGTCTTCAAATCACTTTACCGAAAAAGACCCTCAGAAATCAAAGCAAATAACTTACAATTTTAAAAAAGAATTAAAATGACTAAGATGTTCTGATGTTTTAAATGCAAACACAAGGATTATTATTATTATTACCTGCACAGTTGTTGAAGGGGCAGGTCCCACTGTTCCTGTGACTGACATTGGAGTGTTAGCTGCTGTAATGACACCACCAGACACTCGGAGGGTGGTGGTCCCAGGCTGTGACAGAGGAGAAGCTGCTGACAGCGACTTGGCTGCTCCATCGAATGACTGAGAATGAGCTGCGACTGAATGCACAGACGGTACCTGACCACCCGGGACAACCTGTCACAAATGAGGGTAACAGATGGGTGGAAGGGAGTTCAGGGCAGTGATTTGAAAAATTCAGGTGAAATCATAAACTAAGTGGTGCTTAAAGGAAAAAGCTGCCAAGTACAAGGCTGTGGTGATAATAACCCAGACGAGAATCTCACACATCACGCTTAAAATGATCAACCGAATGATTCACTCTGGAGAGCGAATGCTCCATGGCTGTTTAAAGGATCACTGCTAGAGCCACATTTGGAGTATTGAACGCAGTTTGCACAAAATACTGAAACCAAGTGGATTTGGTGTATGGACATTGGAAACTGGTCTGATTTATTTTATAAAGGGAAGCCAATTGCTTGGCAACATAATAATGTCACAAACAAGATCAGATGCTGAAATCTTGCCATTAAATTGTATCTACATTTAGGACACAAGAAAGCATGGAATGCTCGATGGGCCATTGGACCCATCAATCCCACTCCTTACACCACATGTACAAAACACTCTATAATGGGATCAATTCCATTTCATGCTCCAGAGGAAAGATTCTGCAAAGATACTGTCTCATTATCAAAGTACCCCAAGCAAAACTCCAGAAGAGCTAACTGAATGCAGATCCCACATTACACATACAGGTTAGCTCCTCGAATCCTGAGGCTAACCCGCTATTAAATGGAGTTCTTTTTGAAATGAGCTAATGAGCACATCATTAACTGCCTTAGCTGGGAGTCTATTCTACAGATCCACTAGTCTGTGGGGAAATGTAATTCCTCTGATCTCAAGTCAAGCTTGAGGCTTATTAATTTTATACTCGTGTCCTCCAGTTCCGCGATAAGAATCCAAATGAAATAAGCTACTGGCTTCTGCTGGCATTTTAAAAAAATGAACTTCAAATTTTTTTTTGTATTAAAACAAATTTAGTTCTGTGATACTCTTTTCATTTTTAATACAGAATCATCTTTGGTACTCTTCTCAGAGACCAAAACTGCACACAATATACTAAATGTGGCTTCACTTGTGATCCATATAAACTTAGCCTTTAAGCAGTTCTGGAGGATTCACTTGTCTGGATACAATCATTCAAAGGAAATTGTTGGTAAATTTCTGTCTCCCATGACCCGGTTTACATGCAAAATGTTTATCTAGGGATTGACTTGACCACATCTATGATTGTGACTCCATCAATCAATCATCAGCTTTTCTTTAGCTGTAAAAATAAACCTTTCAAGCAAAGTGGGAGCTGGAAAGAAAACAAAGTTAGGAGCTTTTGAAAGTAGAAATGCGTCTTGAATTCAGGCTGCAGTGTCTCTCCTGGCAAAACTAAATATATCAACTGTTCCCAAGTCAGCAGTGCTACCAGCAGGACACCTTGTGCACTGCAGCCACATGGGGCAACATTCAAGTCTTGCTACTCAGTGAGGCTACTGCCGTTATTTTAATTAGTTAGCATTTAAACTTTTAAATAATTATAAGTAATATTTTAAATGTAAGGTTTAGTTAAATAAGCAATAAATGCATTTTGTAATGATTTACTTTTGTATGATGAGAAAGACATAAAAATCCCACTTGCATGTAAAACAAGGGGCAAGGATTCAAGATCAGAAAACGGAAGGTTATTCACAGATGGTTCATATTTAATTCCTCTGCACATAGATATAAATATGTGGAATAGACAACACCAGAGGCAAGCAGTTTAGACAGGTTGTTTCAGCAAATTCAAGCAGGATTAAAGGACTGTTTGGCAAACATATTGGTTAAGGGGTATGAGAGATAAGAAGATTATTTTTACTTTAGGGCAAGCAGATGAATGGCAGTGCTGTGTTCCTGTTCTGTATATTTATAACCACCACTGTAGACATACTGGCTGTCTGAAGGTTGAAGTGACTTGTTTGATGCATCCCAATACGTGACTAGACTTGACAATAACAGTTTCACATTAGTTAGTTAATCAGCCAAATAGTCAATAATCACCCCAAGCTCTTTTCCATCTTTGCTTCTGGACACCTCTTCACTGGGGTCACATTCGAAAGGTTACAATTATTCATAATAAACCCCAGCTCCAATTCCTGAGCTATTTCCTTCATGTTATTAATCTCTCTCATGCTTGGAACAGTTTCCTGCAGAATTCACTTCCCCTCAGATGGAACTTTTCCACCTTATGCTTCTTTCAATTCAATCTATCAAATGCCAGATTATTAAACCTTGAAAATGGAATTGAATGCAACTCCACTGGATTGATCTCGCCAAAGACCTTACATATCTGAAAGTATTGTTCTCAGTTTACTTTATCCCATTAAGTATCTTATACAACTCTGAGATGTGTCTTGTCAAGGCCTTATATCTTTTTGACCGTGCCTTCAGCTCCCCTCTCGACTCTCTACCCCCCCTTGCTCCCTCCCTTCCCTCCCCTCACCCTGACCATTTCCCCCTTGCTCGGGTCCTGACCCAACTGTACAGCGCCTTGGGACGTCCTCCTGACGTGAAAGGCGCTCAATAAATGGAATCTTGTTGTTGTTGTTGTTGTTCCTATTAACACTAGGGATTAGCCTGGTAATATAGTAGGTCTGATATCCTATCAGATGTTGCAACATTCCTGTTGCTAGGCTAACAGGGCAACAGTTTATGTTCTTCTGAGGATACTGACTATTCAGCTTTTGTCCAAGCTTCAAGTTCATCTAATCAATGTAGCCCTGGTCTCCTGTGTGTCCTTTCCCCTGTTAAACAAGTAATAAAGCTTTAAGCTTTAACAGAAGATGGCGTTTACCTGTGTGAGGACTGCTTTCTGGCTTGCAGACACTCGGACTGGCTGCTGTGGTGTGGCTGTGGATGATGACCCCTGTAATGATACACTGGGGACAATGGAACCAGCAGCACTTTGCTTCACAGAGGCCTGAGGCACTGGCTGACCAACTAAAAAAGTACCCTGAAAAATCAATATCTGTCGTCAGAAAAACAATTCAAACACAAACAATTCAATATCACTCAGTATCCACAATCTTCAGAGGGTCACTAGATTCCAATGAGGACTGGGAACCTTGGCTGATTTTCCTTAGTACTGTCCCAGTTCAGGGTTGCTTAGACCAATTGTAACTCAACTGCTACCCATTTGAGATCAGCTAAACCAGGAATAACCACCAAGTGAGATCATGAATTGGGTTCAGCAACAGAATCCAAAAACAGTGGATAGAAACTCATTCAATGGGGGGGAGAAAAGCATCAAAAACCTATCCGTGAACAAATCAATCGCTGACTGTACAATATTTGAAAGCAATAAATAAAATAAATTGCAGAGATTGAGCAAGAGGTGACAGCACTGACCTGTGGCGTCTGCTTGAGGATGTATGACGTATAACATAGTTGCTGAGGCAAGCTACCAACAACAGCACCCTGAGTCCCAGCACCTGTACTGGTGGATGTGCCCTGCACCTGTTGACCTGACATAGGAATATCACAAATTTAATCTCAACCAACAAAGAGAGAAGCATTGAGACAGTGAAAACGTAATCCCATCATTACCAGAGATCCTTTAGTGCCAATCTCAGGATGGCACTTTAACTGACATTGGAAGATGTTCCTGCAGTTTACTGCATTGCATTGTACTGTACAGCATCAATAAATTTTTAAAAACTAAAGGGATCAAGGGATATGGGGATAGGGCGGGCAAATGGAATGAGGTTAGAGGATCAGCCATGATCTTATTAAATGACGGGGCAGGCTTGAGGGGCCGAATGGCCTACTCCTGCTCCTATTTCTTATGTTCTTATTTACATGGTTAATGTCCACATGTAACAGGATTAAATCAATCACTCTTGGTGAGTGATGCATGTGTACAATAGTTACTAGTGGAAGCATTTTGGTTTTAATTATTTTATAAGCAAAGTGTTCCTGATCTCCATTCGCGTGGTTGAGTTTTGATTGGAAAAGAAGTGAATCCCAGAATCAGTCATCAGCTTCAGGAGGGGCACATTGAACAGGAGAAAATTTGCTTTTAATTCAATCAGTTTTATCTTTTTGGATCAGTTTGGATGTTTTACATTTCCCAATGGGAACAACAAGTCGATAAATTGCTCCTACAAACATAAATCTCCAATTTACGATCTTTGCAGCATTTGCAATCTAGCTGCTATAGAAAGTAGCAGTGGAGAAGAAATGCCTGACAGGTGTTGGTCTGACAATACCTACCACAGTGCACTGAATAAGCAATGTGAAGAATATTTTACATTTTACATAGTGACTAAATCTTACAACTCCTTTTACCTCCTTTTGTTACCTCCTGAGCTAACACTAACATAGGAAGTTTAATCCTAGTCTATTAACACAGGAGTTTAAACCAGCTTGAGACAGGAGGTTTAACCTAGTGTCGTAATACAGGAGATTTAACCCTTGCCTGCTGCTTTTCCAGTGGGATGAATGACTTTTCCAATGGATATCATTTCACTATGGCATATAATTGATAGGCCCCTGAAAATAGAGGATGAAATGAATAAAGCAGCTTTGAGTTTCTTGGTTGCTCCTGGCTTTCTGTGAGGTTGACTGAGATACAAAAGGGCCTCTTTGGCCAAATCTGGAACTTACTTGCTGGATTGGCAGCCCTCAGAATAGCCCCCTGGGGTATCAGGAGCAGTTTGCCTTTGCCGGAAGGATTCTTGCTATTGGTGGTCAGGTAGAGTTTGGTGCCTGGTGGCAAGTTGGCCAAGTTTGCCAGGTTAGTGGCTGGAAGCTGCAACGTAGCCATAACTGAGGATTGAAAATAAGTCAGGCTCGAGATTGATAATCTTTGCACATTTCATATAGCAAATATTTTGTATACTCAGTTATGACATAAAACATTAATGTTACAAGTCAGTACAAAGTGCAATGAGATTTTTGTGTTTGCTGGGATTGAAAAAGAAGATTTCAGTCATCAACATTGTATGAATACATGATCTGAGTGATTTTGTCACAAATACTACCCACATGTTACAGTACTTATACAGATAACAGTGTTGGCTCTGAAACATACATATCAGATCATGTATAAAAGCAACAACTCCAAATACAGCAATAACGTCTCAATTATTTATCTTACAACTTTGACGCCATCACACAGAAAGTCTGCACAGTTATCACTGCCCACGAAGATAACTGTGAATGGGTAAGAAGAAGCAAAGAATAACTGCAGGGTACAAATCACTACAGTAGCGAACATAGGGGAGATTTCAAGGCCGAGATCTTACTTAAGGATTAAGGTCAAACCATGGTTCACTCAAACTTTGCTCCCAAGGTCTATGCCATCTTAAACTTCAGTGAAATAAATGGCTGTCTTCTAAACATTCCCTAGATCCATTATTGTTTAATGTAACCCATTCATAATTAGTTATTAGATTCTGCCTGTAACTTACTGTAAGATATCAATTACAGTATATGTACACCCAGACATACATAATAGACCATTGATCTAAAACCATTGATTAGAATCCAGTCCATAACCCATTCCTGATCATCTATATATGAGGCATTATTCTCCAATACATCTCTGAGGCTGAAGCATTATGGAACTAAAGAAATTCTTTGAACATATATTGTCCAAAGATGTATTGAAAGTATGTCTACGCAGTTCAGAACTCTCCTGATCAGGAGAGCCTGTCAATCCTTGACTAGCGTCTAACATAAAACCATTCTGATACTGTAACAGGCTTTATGGCTTGGGGACCTTTCTCCTTTAACAGCTGTTGACCCAGTCAGTTGGATCATGTTACAGTGAATTAAATACAGCCTTTCCATATGGGCAAGCTCATTTTCAATTAATATTCTTCAGGTATCCAGTATTTTGTGGGAATACAAGATTAGGAACAATATAATACAAGGCACAAAGTTTTTAATATACCAAGACTTTAACCAGATTTTGGTTGAAGATTTTTTTTTGTCCTACTGCATAAGCAACATTGTATGTACGCGCATTTTGACAAAGCATTTCAATATGTAGAATTTGCCTTTGCCAGATGTAGTAACTTGCATGTAGTAATTAGACAGATCTAATTCATTATTAATCTTTGCCAAAGTAGAGTTCTCAATCAAACACCGTCAACTAACCAGTTCACTGTCTTTCTCCTTTGTGAAAAACAGGATCATGGGATATCAAACAAATGATTTTGCGAACTGACTTAATTGGTGCACTACTGATCTATTACGTGACCAACTGATGTACCCTGAAGTGTAAAAATGTTGTCATGTTCTGCACTCCAACTGCATGAAATGTGGGTGTGCAATAACAAGCCAATCCTACTTTAGGTGAGTTGAAGTGGCTCTGCACTCGTTGATGTGTCCCTTGACATTTGAGAACGTGCTGAAGGCAGCTATTCAGTTCCATGGCTTTCATATGTATCTCTTCATGCTATGAAGAGTTATATTCACCAGAGGGCACAATTTACTAAAGGGAAGTTACAGCTGGTAATACACTTGTCTTCCTATGCTTATGGCATTGACCAGGAACTGAACAATCTAGCAGATGGACAAGTTCAACATGCTCTGCATCTTGTGACTGGCGCAATGCCAACAAGCACATCAACACTTTGCCAACCCACCAGCCCAATCACAGCCATGCTGAAATGTGTTTACCTCCAGAGACTGCACCAGGACTGAACGTTTCATGACCTTTACATTATACTGGAAAACAAGCTAAGGAGCAACACTAAAATAAAAACCTTTCCCTCCCTCAGGGAGTTTATTCAGAATAGGATGTTTGTGCTGTGTTCGGAGAGTCAAAGGTACTACAGTTGCCTCAGTACCCTGGGCCAGGGAAGACAAATCTTGTGTACAACCTGAAACCCTTGCTGTGTTTGTGAACAGACCTGACTTGATTTTATTCCAAAGTATTGAACAATGGTGGGTACTGCTTTCCACCTCTCCTGACCCCAACTTGGGTCCAAAAAATCCTGACTGTGCAGCGCCCTGGGACTCCTTTCTGACATGAAGGGTGCTATACAAGTGTAATTTGTTGTTAAATCAAGTGATCTTTGGTGGAATGTGTGTATGTGCTTGTTGATGGAGATGGGAGTGGGATCTGGCTGTAATGACCTCCACAGACTGCTGACAAACAGTGGAGTCAAAGATAAAAATGACATTTACAAGTGGTGACAATGCCTGTGAAGTGATGTACATTCTTCTTGTCCTGAACTTACACAGGCTCCTAGCACAACAAAGAGATGGAACCAGTTTCGATATGTACCCAGAAAAGACTGCAAAATAATGAGTGTCATGAGGCAGTATTTTTCAGCCACTTACGGAACTCTGTGCAATGAGCCCCACCTGGGCTGCATGTCTGCTCTTGTCGATGTGTCACCACCGGGGTATGAGGAAGCAGGGGGAAATAAATCAGCTTTTCACTTCCAGAGATAGGGGATGCAATGATCTCCAAAGGTTTCTACAATAGTTGCACAACAACAGAAAGGTCCACTTGGCAGATGACTGCCTCGCCATTTGCAAGAGGACTCTGGTCATTTATCTGACTGTTGAGTGCTTTTCTGAGGCTTTCAAGCACTCAAGTGCTGAGTTACTTCTATCCACCCTCTCTTCCTGTCCCAACTCATATACAGAGGGTGGAGGAAAAGAATGCTTCTCCTGATCCTAGTTATGAAGATTTCATAGCAGCTTAACATCAGGAACGTGAGCTGCATCCTGATATGAATTTCTGTTCTCAGACCTCCACCCCAGAAGGAATTGACAGGAATCTAAGGAGCAGAGTGGTGAATCAAAGCAAACCTAAAAAGGAACATTGGTGCAATGCAGAGATTCAGAGCAGGAGAACCAAGATGTCTTGGACATATGGCTCTATTATATAAGGAGAGATTCGCTGAACTCACTGGAGGACTGAGATTCTCCAGGTTCTTCCTCAACCCCATCAATAATGTGGTTGTCAAAGATAATCAGCCAAGACTGTGAATATAGAACTTGGGACTTAAATAATAAAATTTCAAGACAATAAGATTTAAAGACTTTTTCTCCCCACAAAGAAGTGGCTAAGTAGGATAAGTGGGACACATGTACAAGAAAAGCAACTACTGTTATGTCAGCTAACTCCTTTGATAGTCATAGCTACACGTGTAGACAAAGGTGAGTACGTGTCTCATAAACATACTGATTCTGTGCTTCTGCGACCTACTTGGGGAAACCAACCAGCTATACTTGAAGAATGGAGGTTTAGGAGCAGAGAAACACTTTCCCTTAAATCAAAGTCTAGGACAGATTCAACATAATCCATGAAAGGAGCGAGCTATGAGTTCAGTTGCCTTATCCTGTTTGAGGTTTATGCTTCTATTTAGAATAATCTATTATTATCTGCCAATGTGGCTCTAAATGTACTATGTTAAGCTTTACAGCTGTGTCAAACAGCACTGCACTCTGGAGAGTTGCCAGAACTTGAGAGTGTGGAGTCCTGTAGCTCAGTGGTTAGAGCACTCACCTTGCAAGTGAGAGACCTGGGTTCAATTCCAGGCAGGGCGAAACCTTGGGCAAATTTCCTTACTCCACACACCTAACAATAATCCCTCCAAAACAAAAACGATACTAAATTGGTCATTTTCAATCCACGACTGTTTGTGGGACACTACTGTGCACAATTGGCTGCAGCATTTTGCCCACAAATATACGGTCAATTCAGTTTACAGCATATTCTATGAAGCGCTTTGAGACAACAACAATAACAACAACAAGATTTCATTTATAGAGTGTCTTTCACGTCAGGAGGACGTGAAAAGCGCTATATCAAATGCAAGTATTATTATTATTATAATAACTTCTGTTGCGGCACAACAATTGAGTATGTTACGCACACGCATTCATAAACAGACCCCTCCACCCTAACTGTAGTGCGGGGTAAGGCTGCCAATGATATGGCAATTACGTATGAGAAACAATTTAACGCACTAAACACAGTGTTTTCAGAACATGAGAACAATTGCTGTTGGTCAGGAGGCCTGGAACAAAAATTGTGCTAAAACGTTACAGATATATGCCAGGTAACTATAGGCCAGTCAAATACACTTCGCTAAAGGGATAACATTAGTTAAAACATAGAACGATATGGGCAAACAAGGGGCAGTGATCATTGGATTTGTGGAGTCCTGTGGCTCAGTGGTTAGCGCATTCGCTTTGCAAGTGAGAGACCTGAGTTCAATTCCAGGCAGAGGGCGAAACCTTGGGCAAGTTTCCTTACTCTACACAGAGCCTAATAATAATCCTTCCAAAAAACAAAAAAAAACAGTAATTAAATTGGTCAGTTTCAATCTACGAGTGTTTGTGGGACATTGCTGTGCGCAATTGGCTGCCGCGTTCGCCCACAAATATACAGTCAATTCACTTTACAGTGTGTTCTGTGAAGTGCTTTGGGACGTCCTCCTGACGTGAAAAGCGCTATATCAAATGCAAGGATTATTATTATTATTAATAAAGGCAATTCCCACGTAACCTATGAGTCATTTTTTTAAGGATACTGTAAACAAGGGAAGAATACAGTATAAAATTACATTTGCATAGTGCCTTTCACGTCGGAAGAAACATACCAGATTTACTATACATGGAGTTTCAAAAAGTGATTTTACAAAACTCTTGTTATGAAGATTGGGGCCTGGGATATTAAAGGTAAAGTGGCGGCAAGAATGGGAGTTGGCTGAAGTACAGAAATGAAATGTGGGAATGTAAATATGTTTCTTGAATTGGCAAGGATAGTGGCACCCCAGGCTCTGTGCTGGGATCTCTCTTACAATTCATAAACGTAAATGATCGTGTAGATAAATTGGATCCGGGAGACCTGAAAACTATGGGCACGATTTCTAGAATTACAGGTTAGAGGTATTGACTGGCAGGAAACCACTGACTGATATGATACAACTGCAGTGAGTGGCGTGATACACCTTGCTGTCTTAAACAAAAGCATAGTAAGGTTTCCTGCAACAGAAGAACTGCATTACAAACTCTTCTTATAGTCAACACAATAAGGTTTCAGACAGGACTATTTCAGAAAGTCACCTTGCCTATTGTGGAGTGAATGAAGTGCAGGATGTGCTACGCACAGTCTCTGAGCTGTAACTACATATACGTCAGCAGCAGCCCTCCCTAGGCCTAAATCCAGTCCCACTCCTTCACAGACTGTATACTGTAGAATACAGGAAACACAACACTATGTCAACAGTCTAAAAGTGGCTGGTAATTAACCCTGAGACTGCCACAATCAGTACTGTGGACGGGAACACAATCCTTGGAGACTGAAGCAATTCTCTTTTTGGCAAGATAGAATATTCAAAGCCCCACACAAAGATCACTTGCATTTTTTTAAAAAAGGTATACTTTGAATAAAACAGAACACTGCCAAATTTGAGATGCAGAATAAATAATAGTTTGACTCAAAAGTGTGAAGAGTACCCAGCAGCCAGTAAATCTAGCTTCCGACTAAACTGGATTGATTTGATCATTATCTAGACTGGATAAGCTTTGAAAACAATTTAAGGGCTAAAAATAGAGATGCTCTGAGTGTCAGCCTGTCCTCCCAAGTCATCCTTCAAATAGATCACGTAAACAGCAACTGTTTGTCCAGAGGCAAAGGTTGCAGTTGGCAGAAGTATTGCTTATGTTTTATAAAGCATGAAGCAGCATAAAGAAACATAACTTATTTAGAGAATGCAAAGCAGACCCAATAAAATCAGCAGAACCTCCATAAGAAACACACACTAATCCTTGAGTCAGTCCATAAACTGCCATCATTAGTTTTGTTCTCTTTACACAAAGGATAAATATGACATTGCATATTATTTATATATTATCTTTGTCACGGAATATAGATAGGATTTTAACACCAACCACCACACTGCATTGTATTGTGGATTGATTCTAAATAATTGGATGTACATTTTCGGCAATACAACCTCCAGTGGCTGAACACAGTGCCGCTATGTGGTTTGCTCGAGAGATCATTCTTCACACAGTGGGTTGTCAAGAATCAATTTGTGTGTTTTAAGAGGGAGACAGACAAGTACTTGAAAACAAGCCTATTAGCAGAGCTGGAGGAAAGGCATGAAACTAGGAAAAAATAAAGGATAAAAATAAAGAAATAAATGAACTAATAAAATAGTGTAGAAATTGTGATGCTCATTGCTCACTTGATTTTCATTTTTTTATAAATACACAGAAATGAGATGGAACAAAAAGGAGCAAAATGTTATCAAATGATATAAATGATTCTTTGGCAGAACAGCAGTAAATGGAGCACCAATGAGAGTACAACTAGGAGCAAAAAGGCATCAGTTACAAGCCTATGTTTATATCTTAACTGGTTTATCAATCCCCTCTCGGATCAGAAAGCTATTGCCCTGATGATGACCAATTATAGATTTTCAGCATGAAACCCAACCAAAATAAGCTCTGTGAGCACAGATACAGTTGGTAAATTCACTAAAGTATAATTCACAAAGACATCTCTCCCTACCTGAGCCTTGAGTTCCCGATTTCTGGATGGCAGATGAACCTTGGGCCTTGGTAATTGCCTGTGCTGGCTGACCAACCATAGTTCCACTGGTCCCACTAACCACAGCCTTTGCCACCCCCTGAGCCAACATCTGTTTCTGTCCAGCTGATCTGGCCACTCCAGAGCCAGGCTTGGCTACAATTATCTGTCCGCTACTCAACGCCACTGACTGCTTCACCAGTGGCTGCAAGGTAGAACCCACTGGGATCCCAACCACCTGCAGTTAAAGAAGAAAAGTTGGGCTTTACACATTGCTATCGCCACATGAAAAACGTTGGTGCCAATGAATCGAAAAGGCAATGGCTAACCTCAGCATTTAACAAAATAGTTTTATGCATTTTTTTTGGCATTTGTCATAAGTGCCAGCATTTTTACAGTATTAAATAAGAACCAATTATCAATCATTTTCATATCCCTTTCCTCCCTGGTCATGAACATCTCAGATTTTAAACAGGGAGTGCTCATTATATTGAGAATAACTACCTTGGATCAATTACTCAGCCCAGCAGTCCAAGTAAGCTGAATTAAAGTAGAAGCGGTAAATATTAAACCTGCTACATAGTTACCACTATTTGTGTTGGCTATTTATTTTACACTAAATAATTGCTCTAAATGCGCTATTCTACACACTCTTCCCCCTCCTTACATCAAAGGTCTTGTTATCTACTCCTATGAATAATATAGAAAATACAGAATTTGTTTGTTATTATTGAGTTCACACCCAGCCAAAAATGAATACACCAATGTTGATCTATTTTCTGACGGTTGGCAGTGTTTTGGCTCTTCATTGGCACCTCTGGGCTGTTGTACCTTGGTTGGTGTCGTTGCTCCTGTCGCGCTGGCCTGCTTCTGGGGGGAGACAGCAATCATCTGCCCACCTTTCATGGTAACAAACTGTTGCACTGCCTGCTGAGCGTTCACAGATGTGACCCCTGTCTGCTGTGGGGCTGCTTCACTAGGTTCTTGTTTGATGATGACCTACAAAAAGCAGCCAGAAACAAGCCTGCATTATTCACAATTTAACTGCACTGCAACACATCTCAGGAAAAGCCCCCATCACTGCATCACTCCCGCCATCACGGCATCACTCCCCCCATCACTGCATCACTCCCCCAATCACTGCATCACTCCCCCCATCACTGCATCACTCCCCCCATCACTGCATCACTCCACCCATCACTGCATCACTCCCCCCATCACTGCATCACTCCACCCATCACTGCATCACTCCACCCATCACTGCATCACTCCCCAATCATTCCAAATTCTAGCAAATAAGTCATCCCAAAACGTTTACTGCGTTTACATAAGTAGATGTTGATTTGTCGATGATGTAATTTTTAAAAAAAAAGTTCCAAGAGTAAATTCAACTCCTGCTGTTCAGTTACTGATGATCAAAGTGATGGTTCTCTGCATATTTTATGCTGTTCTAAGTCTGAGCTGAAAAAATCCACTGTGCACCACAACCTTTCATTAATTCTCATTTGAACATAACAGATTCATTAGACCATAATAGTCATTTTTGGAGATTAATGCCATCATGCCTTGGATTTGTAGGGAAAAAAATATTGAGCTGTGCAGACTGGCAAACCCTTGCTGTCTAAGAAATTATACTATAATGCACTAGCCATGGGATCACATTTTACAGACACTGGCAAAATCAGTGACAGATACAGAGGGTCTACTTGCTTACTTCATTTACAGAATATTCCAGGTAATTGTAATCTGATGGTTCAGACAACTGTTGGCTTCTTGCGTTTAACTATTAATTAAATTCAGGTCAGGATTTTGTAATCTCTATATAGCTATCTGTAAAATCTCTGTACACGCATTTTCTTTTTAAAAAGAAAGTCACAAGTCAATGAATTCGGCACAACATAGATTTGCAAAGATATTCACACTACAATTACTGTGAAATAAAGCATTGCTTTTTCAAAAAGATGTAAAAAATCCCTTTACTCTAAGTAGAATTTTTCCTCTGCACACCTCCTGAATATTAAGTACAGTTTCACGGTATACTTTCCCTCAAGTCTTATTTTTCTCTTTTGCATTATCAGTGACACCAATCTCACTCCTGTTTTATAATTCATCGATTCCCTTTAAGCACAAGGTTATGCCCTTGGCTTTTACCAAGCATAAATGTCAATAGTAATTATGGACCCATTTTGCAAGGCCCATCAGAGTTTCTGTTATTGAAACGCTGCCAGATGTATCATCTCTCAACTGGCACTTTTTATGTTACTGTGAGCAGGCAACCAGCGGGAGCATATAACCAACACTCAAGGCACTCGATCAACACTGGGGAGTGCGCACAACTATTACCCCACAATAAACAGTGAGGGCTCATTGGGGTGGCGTAGAGCTGGTATAATGTGGAATTTATTTCAGTCACTTCAAATTTATGATCTCAGTAAAGTCTGTACGGTGCGTTTCAACCAACGGAGTAAATGAGGAACAAGGAAGTAGTACAAACGCAACTTCATCTTGCTTCCTGAATTTAGTGGAAGGGGGTCAGGAAACCTGTGAGGCACTCATTGTAGAAGAGACAACCCCGGTTAAACTGGAGTTCAGCAAAAATTACAATGTCAAGTTTTACTGGAGGCTGAACATAAATCATTTTCAACAGAAAGGCAGTCAGTCAGGTGAGGCAGTTTAATTGTTACAATAACAGATCTTCAAAGCAGTCACTGAAATACGTTCCACATTATAATCACTCCACGGCACCCCCAATTGCCACTGGAAGATTAGCTGGAATAAACTACCTCTGATTTATTCAACTCACTGCATTCTCAACTGCAAATAAATCATACAACAGGTTGACCTAATTCAGACATCTCTGAGCAGGTTAAGATTCAGCAAGTGTGCTATGCTTGGCTGAAAAAGCTGCCATCAGGAACACTTTTTAAAAATCTAGTGAAAGCTTGGTCATTTTGGAAGAACTTTCACTTTCGTGGCTTGAATAATAATAATAATCCTTGCATTGGATATAGTGCCTTGTCACGTCATTGAGACATCTTGAAGCACTTCACAGATTATACTGTAAAGTGAATTTACTATACATTTTATGGGCGAAACAAGGTGTACATTGGTACCCACACAGGACCTAAAAAGCAATTTCTATTTATGTTGGTAAAGTGAGTTGGTCTGAGATGGGCTTCTTTCTGACCAAGGCCATTGAATTGAGAAGTGAATTGAGAAGAGCCATGGAACGGCTGGGCTTCATGGGGATGGAAGATGAATCGGAAATTCTGAGACAGCTCCCTGAGGAGATGATACTTACACTTTCTGGCATGACGTTGGGCAACTAATAGATTAGTGTTTGTTGTAATGACAATTGGGGGTGTGGCCCACAAAGTTATTGTGCTCATTTTAGTAAGAAACTCCAAGTCAAAAACTGCCCTATTAATGTAAAAACATAACAACACGTTTCCAACAAAACACTTGTTACCCAAGAGATTGAAAAACAGTGCGCTCACACAACATAGTCGCTACACTTCACAGAACCTCCTGTTAAGCGCTTTGAGATGTTCTCCCAATGTGAAAGGTGGTATACCAAATTAGATTTTTTATTCGTTACTGATTTGCATCACTACAGTGCTAATCAGCCTCCTTCCCTTCTGAGGTCCCGTATTACCACAGGGTTTGTTCCAGTAACTGGAAGCTGGTGAATTATAGAATCAAGTGTAAGGCACAGTGAGAGGCAAGCTCAGCTCATTACTTTTTGTTAAAACAAAGGCAAAGTAACCTTGCTCCATCCAGAAAGTAACTTCGCATAAAAATGTAAACCTCAAACTAGACAGGGTGACCCTATGTGACAGCCAATGCAGCTGTCACATAAAAAAAGGTGCAGCTCGGTTTTAAGGGTCAGACAAAAAATGACAGAAAGGTTTTTAATCATTTCATTGTTCCATGAAACTCATGACGTACTTGGGCCCATTTTGCAATGTTCTCTGCCACAAGATGGAGCTCTGAACCCCACAGCACTGCACAAAGCCTCCACGTGGCTTGTCTTGTGACTGACTATACAGCACAAACACATATTAACCCTGTGTGTTTATGTTGAATTTCCCTTCCAATTTTCTCAATCAAAAAAAAATGATGTGGTCAGCCTGGCTCAGTTGGTAGCACACTCGCTTCTGAATCAGAAGATTGTGAGTTCATACCCCACGTCAGGATTTTGAACACAGGCAATGTAGTGCCGGGGGAGGCTGCACTGTTGTAGATACTTCGTTCCTCCGGGCCTGGCCTCCTCTTCCTCCCCCGAATCCTCCGCTCCATCCTCGGCGGCCGTACCTTCAGCCACTATGCCCCGAGGCTCTGGAAATCCCTTCCTCACTCCCTTTGCCTCACTCCCTCCCTTCCTATTTTCAGGTCTCTGCTGAAGACCTTTCTTTTCGACCGCGCCTTTGGTCACCTTCCTCCCCCTCCCCCTGGCTCGGCCCCGGGGTCCGTTACTGTGAAGCTCTCTGAGATGCCGTCTGGCGTGGAGGGCGCTATATAAATCCAAGTTGTTGTTGTTGTTACTAAAATGTACAGTCAATTCACTTTACAGTATATTCTGTGAAGTGCTTTGAGAAGTCTCAAAGATGTGATAAGGTGCTATCTCAAATGCAAGGTTTATTATTACTATCCTTTGATGTTAAACATTCTCCTTCTACCTGTTCATGTGGGTGTTAAGCTCCACCACCATTAAGCACTTTGAGACGCTATTCTGTGTGAAGGGCACTACATAAATGCAACTTGTTGTTAAACATCCCATGGCACTACTCGAAAAGAGAAGGAAGTTTCCACTGGTGTCCTGCTCAACAATCCCCCCAAATAAAACTGATTAATTACTTCATGGCTGTTCATCAGACATTCCTGTGTGCAAATTGGCTGCTGCATTATATGAAATGCTTTGAGTTGTTCTCCCAATCTGAAAGGTACTATATCAAAGGCAAAGATTTTTTAAAACAATTGCATGTGACTGTTTTGACTTTTAAATGGTGTGAACATGCCAGATTTCCGCACATCATTGGAAAAGTCAGCCACGTTTAGAAACAGGAAAGCATGAGGGTACAAAAATGAAGGTGCATCAATGCCAGCACATTACTGATGATATCTCTTTCAAAAGGAAAAACTCAGATCTAAACATACTGCAGGCATCGTTTACAATGTAGGATACGCAGCAGCTGGATTGCCCAACACAATTCCTGTTCCAGGAACTAGTCTGATTATTTGGAGGGGGAGCTACTAAGACTTACACTGAGCAAGGTTTACAGTGATTGACACAAGCCTGACCTTTACTTGGCTTTTTAAAATGTACTGAAGCATTTCCGAAGGTTAAGAAAGCTGGCCACAAGCTCGATACTGAAACATCAACCCCTTTCATACAATGTTGTGCAAGCAGGTAGGAGTATTGATACACTGAACACTGCTCCAACTGACAGTGTTCTGATGACCCTGGTCACAAACACTTGCCTTTTCTTCCAAAGGCAGTGGCACCTGTAAATATTTGGCAGGTGCATTCCTGTACAGTTACGCTCAGCAGGAACCAGAATACTCACTGTGCATTGGCAACCCGCTTGTGACATCTGGCCATAAACACTATCTATTGTTGTAATATAATAATAATAATCCTTGCATTTGATACAGCACTTTTCATGTCTTCGAGACATGTCCAGAAGCAGAAGAGAAACATCTATCTGGAAGAAATTATCTACTTGTCAACTCCAAGACAGAAAGTTGAGATTCAAGCCCCACGTTGGGACTTTAAATTCACAGTCTTGCCTGATACACCAATACAGTGCTAGGGATGTTCTGCATTATTGGAGGCATTAACCTTTGGATGTCTGAAGTCCATTCTGCCTGTTTAGGTATTAAAGATCCCATGGCACCAAACAAAAAGAGAAGGGAGGTTCTTCCCATGTCCTAGCCACCAGTTCCTCCGGATAGAAATTTGTTATTCAGTTCATGGTTGCTTGTGGGAAATTGCTGTTTGCAAATTAGCTGCCATGTTTGCCTACAAATATACAGTCACGATCCTTTACAGTGAATCCTGTGAAGCACGTTAAGATATCCTCCAGATATAAAAGGCGCTATATTAAATGTAAAGATTTTTTGAATTTGTTCTATACAGCAATTTTCACAATAATTTTCATTACTTCCATAAATTCAATCCGCAAATCGTAAGATAAGATTGTAAAATTAGAACAAATGCAACTATATCGACTAATGAAAGAAAACAATTTTACTAAGAAATAACTCCCTGTAAATAATACAGTAAATGGCTAGAGAGCTTTACATTCCATTTTTTGCCAATCACCTTCCTGCTCTGTACAGTATTTTATCTGCTTTCTCAGATCTCCTAGATTCACATATAATAATAATAATCCTTGCATTTGATATAGCGCTTTTCACGTCGGGAGGACGTCCCAAAGCGCTTCACAGAACACACTGTAAAGTGAATTGACTGTATATTTGTGGGCGATGGAAGAACAGGAAGGGCACACATGCTGCTGACAACCACCCTTACACTGTTCTAACACCCTGTGGTAGTAGTTGCACTTGAGCAATCCCTAGGACCCAACTCTTCAATCTGTTCCCTGCCTTTGTCCAGTATCTCACCATTGTACAACTGAGACTGAAAAGTTAGGGCCTGAAGAACGAACGTCACCCTTGCTTAGTGATATCAGCAGAAATGAGTTTATGATACAAATGCATTCCCCAGCAACAACAATCAAACAACAAGACTGCCTGTTGCAGGCCAGTGTGTATTAATTGGAATTTATTCATGTTCATGGCTGTAAATTTAATAGGACAATTATATGGGCATCAAACAGCACAATTTGCCCCTAAGAAAGGCCACAATGCTCAACATCCTCTCTGTTTACAATTTTAGCTTACAATATTTTCTGATCATCTAAATATATTTAAATCACTGAGGAGAGAACCTGTCATTCAGAACATAAATATTTGAAAACATAGAAACATAGAAACAGAGTAACCTATTCAGCCCCTCGAGCCAGTTGCACCATTCTATAAGATCATGGCTGATTTGTACCTCAAGTCCAATTACCCGCCCTTGCCCCATATCCCTTAATACCCTGACCTAACATACAGGGTATTAAAGGATACAGGGCAAAAGATACAGTCATTGTGGTAGAGCAAAGGTCATGGCATCTATTCAAGTATTCTGATTCTGCATTAAAACAGCTATTCACTTCAAGGAGAAAGGTAGTATGGAGAGCATTTTAATTTCAAAGTACTATTTACTTAGGCAAACTACAAACAGTTTTAAAAACCTCTGCCTTGTAAGAGGTATTTCTCAGTTTTGCAATCTGAGACTTCAGCTATGGGACCTGCCACCTTACAGAGAAACACAGGTCCTCTTGCTTGCAAGGCGAACGATCTAACCAATATGCTACAGGACTCCACATAATAGCAAAAGCAGCTATGTCTGCCTATATAAGCAAAACCACAAGCTGGTTGCTTAGGCTAAAATGTAATTTTGAATCAGAGAAATGAAAAATGACTATTTCTCTTTCAAAAATGAGTTTACAATATTACAATGTTCAGAATGCTAAATATTCAAGCTCGCCAAAATATATTTTCGGCATCAGGTTAGAACACAGCAGACGCAAAATCAGAAACTAAATATTTTCCTTTCATAAATAGCCATCTAATTCCCAAGTTGGAAATATAGCTCAAAGCCACTTTACAAAGCGTACAAATTATGAATAGCTGTGTGCGTCAGACTGCGAGTGACTGCTTGTGTCAGACTGTGTGCGTCAAACTGCAAACAACTGCATGTGTTAGACAGTGAGTGACATCATAAAGTTTATAAACCATGGCACGAGCCCTGGTTAAAGGATAAAATCAAGTTCCCAGATTAAATCACAAATTGATACCCATTCCCCACTATCCCTAATTAAACCAGAATTAATAAAGCACATGTGTGTTAGTGTATGAAGGGGAAAGAGAGTATTCTGCAATAGACAGAATGTAAAACGATCACCACTGTAATGGTGAAACCACATTGAGCAGGTGTTTTAACAAAAATGTAGCAGAACGTGTTACACACCAAATTCGTCACCACCTCCCAATTTAGCATGAGTTAAAAATGAACAGAATAAGGCAACCCATAGAGACCAAGGTTTCCATATACCTGCTACAGTTTCAAGTGGCCAACAACTCCAGTGGAAGACCATAAGATCTGAACCCAATTATTTCCAATACTCACCTTGGTGAAGGCACCCAATCCTCCAGTCACTGGTTTAGGGCTCTGCACCTTTGCATGACTTCCAATAGGACACAGAGGTGGCATGGCTGCAAACAGAGCATCTTCTTGCTAAAAACAAACACCAAATTCCAGTGTTAATTTGCAGGCTGTTTCTGTCTGTGATTGCAAAGCACAGAAAGGAGCTTCAGCAGTCTTGGGTATCTGTGGACTAGTTCATTTCAAACCAGAAATCCCAAATCTCCGTACAGTAACCACATCACCCTGAAGACAGCCCAATGATCTAACCATGTACAGTATCTATACTGCTGTGCAGTGCTTGACCGATATATATCCATCTGTCTAACTGATGCTGCTATTGAACAGCAATGGCTGGATGATTGGAAATTGGTGGATGGATTTGAGATTTTACATTCCTTGCAGCAGCAAGTGGCAAGGAGCGTAAAATAATATCAGTTGAAATATTGCTGAGAATTACTGAATCCTAAAATGAATGCTTCAGTTGCTACTGTGTTTTCTCACACAACTGAGGGCAGTAAATCCTCTTTCTTCCTCTCCCAGATGCTGATACAAGCATCCAAATCCACTTTCATATTTTAAATAAAATTATCAAAGGAAAAGAATAAAGAAAGTGCTGAAGCTAATTACAGAGTTCTGTAACAGTGTGTAAACAGGTAAAACAAAACACAGGCCTTTCAAACAGAATAAAAACATTCTTCAATTAAAATATTTCTTAATTTTCTTCTGAATAAAAATCAAAATATCAGAACAAAGGCAAATCACTAAATGAAGGAGCTTGACTGGGGGCAAAGGAACACTCCTGAAGCTCTGAGCAAAAAACATCCAATATGGTAGAACCCGAGATTTCACAAATGTGTCTGCACAAAAGCCAACCTGAAGCAGGAGGAAGAATAGAATATACTGTATTTCAAGTATTTTGCTTCTGGATCATACGTACTGCGCAGTCATACATCCCAAAATCTACCTGCTGTAAAATGAATGATAATGTACAGAAAATACAGATTGTGAATAAAACTGAAACATACTGAAATTTTTACTTTGTGAATAAAAAATGGCTTTATGGGTCTTTTCCCTTCCTATAGCAGGGCAAGTTGCAACAACACCCATTTATAACAGGGTAAGCAGGAAGGCTGAATACAAAGCACCAGTACTAGTTCGGGGAGTTAATTCCATTCATGCAAAACAGCAAGTTGGCTGGACAGTTTCACTTAACAAACATGTAAATATTCCCAACTGATTCTGGTTCCTGCACAGTTCTCACGGAATCCAAAAAAAAAAAAAATGTTAATTGTAGAACAAAGAAAGTTCAGGATACACTGCAGCATGGGCTTAGCAGAAGAAGGCATGAGGATGACTCTTTTAGGTATATTCTTGACTGGTGCTGTCAGCAGGCACACACATAGCAGTGGAAACAATGTCACACACATTTTTGCCATTCTCTCTGCCGCAGGAGCCATTAAATTAAAGACAACAAAGAAATGCAACTCAGTGGTACACCATGGTTCTGATCTCAGAAACAGACCAAAATCACCAAAACCAACTTTCATCTGCAGAACTGCCTTTAAAACATGGCAGAGGGCCAGCAGCTAGGTTCCCATCCACCATGCAAAGGAAACGACAGTTTTAAGACTGTTCCTTACAGAAACCACATGCACCCATAGATTAACACCCACTCTAGATCCTGGGGAAAGTATTGCATAGATATTCCCTGATGCCAAAATATAAGAAAGTAAAATCTCCAGGATAGTCATCCTTTCCCACACACACCCTTCCTCCTGTGGACAATACTCTTCCCCACCCAGAAGCACAGAATCCATTGCATCCCATGGAATATCTCAATCTACCTATGCCTAGAATACCCAATTCTGTTACCAACCATATATTTATTTATTCGATTTTGCTTTAAGTGATTCAATACAGCATCCATTGCCTTTAAATGGACACCTGTACCCATTTAACCATGAAATAAAAAGTGGTGCTTTTCAGTGAGTGAAGATGCCCATCATTAAAAAACATTTAGCTCTGACAGACGTGCTGTTTGGTTTGATGTTTTCATAGAATCGTAGAATATTACAGCACAGAAGGAGACCATTCGGGCCATCGTGTCTGTGCTTATCACTGGAGTGAAGTTAAACTGAATTAATTATTTGCCTTTTACTCACCACACAGTATGCAGCGTTACTTTTATAAGGAAAGTTTGCACCCAACGTGCGTACCAAGCTATAACGTGAGGGTAACTTCAACAAAATAACTGAAGTAGATTATAAGGAAATATACTTCACAATACCAGGATACCGAATAATAAACTTGTTGATCTTTTATCTCTTCTTTGGTAAAGATCTGAATACCTGAAGTACATTCTAAGTAAATATATATCAAACAATAAACTTGTTGCCGGTACCTCGCTCTTCCACCTCTTCAGGTTATCCTGTGTAAAGCCTGAATTTACACAAATCAACTAACTGTGGACTACTACATTTATATAGTATATTGTCACTTAGGGAGCATTTGAAAAGTTAATTTATTAAAGCACGAACCAATATGGTTTGAGAAATGAAGAAATGTTACATCTGTAGTTTACTTTTTGAAAATGTGGGAATTTACGTCAAACTTTCATCTTTTTCTATGGTGACTAAGCTTGGAAGTACTTTGAGCCAGAATGGCTTCTAGGTATGAATGAATGTCCCGGTTATTCTGGTTCTGCAAAATACAAATATTTTCCAAGTAACAATATATTGTTGCTGTTTTCAAAACTCTCATTGATCTTTATTTGCCAATTGACACATAATGAAATGCCATGTTTTATGCGTGTAAGTTGTCATACAACTAACGCCCAGTGTGGCATTTCACATTGGGTTCATTAGTGGATTGTGTGAGAGATGCCAGTGGTATTGGGGTTGTTTGACAAGTTTTATATTTCTGAGATATGTTCTATCGGCATTTTAATATGTTCATGCTGAAACCTTTGGGGATCAGGAGAGTAAGGACTAGGGTTGGAAGTTTCAGATGGTCTTAAAACACAACTTTGTGTTTCCAATATCTCCAGTGGTTGGAGTTGGGCTGTTACGGTGGTGTTTCTTCCTTGATTCCCAACATTTAAAAATTAGTCTCCATGTTTGGTGTTTACAATTTACACTCCCTGTTATGGGGATTTTGCTTATTGGAGATTTCCTAGTGGATTATTTTTTACTTATTTGGGGTTTTGTTTGACTTGGACGCCCTGGTTTTATATTTTGCATAATTTTGGTTCTTGTATTGGAAGAGAGGTTAAAACAGGTTTTAGTTGGGCTTTTGGTTGTTTAATTAACATTGATTGATTTTTGCGTGTTTGTTCTTTAGGGTTAGGTTGCAGGGCTGGGTGCGGGTCAGGCTGGCCATTTACTGTTAGGGTAAGGATTAAGATAAGGGCAATGGCTGGGGTACTTACTAATTAACATGCCAGTCAGCCATAACTGCTTTCATTCTTTGGTGTTCATCCCAAACTGTAGGTGTACAGGGATGAAACTCAGTCACCACAAGCTATCCGAGTGTCAGGAGAAAAATCCAAAAAAAGCTAAATAAAATCTAATTCAGATGAACTAAGATTTGTAGCCCATTTACTAACGGGACAGATTAGCTCATTGAGAGCAGTTCAATATTTTTGGTGTATATGTTACTTTAAGTAGTATTGTATACCCTCTCAACACTCACTGCTAGGCTCACACAAAAAGTGGTCACTTAGTCAAGGTACCCGGGGAATTATAACCCCATGTAACTTAGCCCCTTGGGTGAGAAGCTGATTTATTTTTTTCTGAAGACCTGCACAGTTGGATTACAACAATAAGGAAAACGAATGGCAACATTTATGTGAACTAAAATGGCTGAAAATTTAAATAAATTAATATTACTTCATTCTTTTAGAATAATAAATTGGCAAGGAATCACTAGTTCACAGTTAGACAGGTTATGCAAGTAGGTTGTAAGGTGTATGGAAATGATTGAACTGTCACGCAACAGAAAACATTGTTCTCCTGGCACCATCATTTGACTGTTATTCACTAACTTCTTAACATGTTAATTTTTTATACTAACCAGGTATCTACTGCAGAAGGAAGAACCCGCTGAACGATTAAACTGATCTTCTCAGAAGCATTGTGAGAATGCGACCCCAGGAAGGTGGAAGGCCTCAACCATTGTAACATGCGACTGCCAGGAAGGTGGAAGACTAACTAGATGGACCTTGGTCTTTTTTCATCTAGCATTTCTTATGTTCGTATATCTAATTGTCCTAACCAACATTTTATAAATATTCAACATAACCTCCTGACTTTTGAATTCTATGCCCTATTTATAAACCTGGTATCCCATATGCTTTTTTAACAGCTTTATCTACCTGTCCTGCCACCTTCAGAGATTTGCTTATGTGGACCCCCAGGTATCTGTTCATTTGTCCCCTTTAAGATTGTACCATCAGCTTATACTGCCTCTCCTCATTCTTCCTACCAAAATGTAACACTTCACATTTCTCAAATTTAAACCTCATCTGCCACGTTTCTGCCCATTTTACCAATCTGTCTGTTGGTTTCCTTATTCTTGTCCATTACCAATTTCTGCATTAATGCTGTTTGATCTGATCTGTCATCAGATCAGCTCCCAGAGCCATGCAAAAATTGGTAATGAACAAGAATAAGGAAACTAACGGACACTCCAACAAAGCTAGTTTTTAAGAGACACAAATTATTTTACTGTGACATTCAGGACCAAAATTAAGCTCTTACCTTCACAGCTGTTGCTATGAAACTGCTGCCATGGATCTTTGGAATCGGGGACCTTGTGCCTTGCGAAAGCTGGGCAATCCCCGACTGTTTGGCTGTGGGGCTCCCTGCAGCAAACAAATTAACAAACCAAAATCTCAATTAATTATTACATTAAAATTTCAGGTGAAGGAATGGGTCAGCCATTAAAATCTCAATCTCCACCCTTCTCTTGTTGGAAGCTAACAAAGTTGTACCGCCTTGATTACATTCCTTACTTCAGCTCAGACAGTGGGAGCAAATCTGTCAAAGCTCAAACATTGTATCATCAGAGAAACCACTGCCCTGTATTCCAAGAGTTAGCAAACCTGCAGCATAATACAATGGCTGTGTGCTAGACATGTAACTGCAAAAATCTTATTTAATGGGCCAAAAGACAAACCAGCCTTGCTTTGTGTGTATCATGTTAGACATGCACAAATAAGATCACTCAATTGACTCCAAATAGTCCCTTAATAATAATAATAATCCTTGCATTTGATATAGCGCTTTTCACGTCGGGAGGACGTGCCAAACAGAATATACTGTAAAGTGAATTGACTGTATATTTGTAGGCGAACGTGGCAGCCAATTGCGCACAGCAATGTCCCACAAACAGTCATGGATTGAAAGTGACCAATTTTTTTTTATTATTGTTTTTTTTTTTGGAGGGATTATTATTAGGCGTGTGGAGTAAGGAAACTTGCCCAAGGTTTCGCCCTGACCTGCCGGGGACTGAACTCAGGTCTCTTGCTTGCAAAGCGAGTGCTCTAACCACTGAGCTACAGGACTCCACGGAGCTACAGGACTCCTTACCTTTGGGACAGAGTAAACATTACGCAGCTATAAGCATTCACTAATTCTATTAATAATGAACATAATAACCAGCACTCACAAGCTTAAATTTTGTTCCCCCGGTGCTCTAAAGTTTCTATACTTATTAATAATTCTTCATTATCTGATGGGATAATTCTCTTCAGAGAAAAATAGTCTGGGAACACTTCCAATGTAAAGCTGTTTTATTCAAAATCAAATTACTCCAAATAAAGAGGAAATTATCCGTGTTTGTATTGCTGCAATTGCCCCTACTCAAAGACAGGGCAATTTTATTCTACCCTTCCACTAGGAAATTGCTTTGCCAACAAAAGTTGCATCATTAAGTGCTTTGAGTTATCCTCCCAATGTGAAAGTTAATTTTTTGGTCAGCCGGGTGTCTGATACCTGTGGAAACCCACCATCATGTTTAAGAGTATCCAAACCAAAATGAGATTTCCATGCATCCCACCTACACATGGAAATCCCAGAGATAGATTGTTGGAATGGAATGCGCACTGTCTCCCTTGAGGGACATATCCTGCTTATTTAATTCCAGAAAGAATTAGGTGCAGGTTGGCTGAAAGATGCTATTGAAATGTAAATTGTATTGCATCAAGGAAAGCCAGAAAATAAGCAGGAAAACGTCAGCACCAGCTGAATTATACAGTAGGTCCTGGAACAGCACAGTTGTGCTTCACAAAAATCGGTTACTGTTTAGAAACACACTAAACAGTAAGTGTGTTCAAGCACCTTTATTTAGTGCTTGTGTGTGTTTAGTTAGGGCTTGTACCTGTGTTTGATGTTGCCATTCCAATCACTTGTCCAGGCTTGTCTACTATAATGTAGGGGTTACTTATGACAGAGATGGAGGATCCTTGTTTCATATGGACAGGAGTGGAAGTCGGAGTACGAGGCAAAGGAGAGTGACATGGGGTAGAGATTGGTGAACCTACAACAACAATATCACAAAACAATTAGTGCATTCGCTCGGCATAATTCTCTTGGTTTTCCTGATGCTGTTATTTCAGTCACATAACTGCATTTCACTGTGTTTTACACAGGTCACATCACTGGTATTCACTATGCTATTCCTCCATACTTTTCTTGTCTCCAATCAAAAAGTATCACTCCACCAGTAATTATTCTTGAAGGATTTATAGTGGCTGGCATGAAATATCCCACTAATCTTATCCATCAAATGTAATTACCATTTTATATCCCAGGCAATAAATCTATCTCACCTCTCCATATCCAAACAAGTGCAGGAGCACCTTCAATTCCATATTGCTGGGATATAAAAATATATTTCCAATCCCAGTGTGATGGTTACATAGAGCGATACTACATCGACACAGGCTATTTGGCCCAACCAAAATACATCTACAATACATGTGTTGCTCTGCCAACCTCTGCAGTGCAATTGTCTCAGATGTGAATTTAATATTTTATTCTGCTTCCTCCTACATTCCAGTTTTACTCACCACGTCCCTTTCCTGACTTGATTCACAATTTCCTAACCCAGTGAGATCACTTGCTCTCCCTCACCCTTTTACATATGAAATTGTGCTGCTATCTCTTGAATTATCATTCATATTCTATTGTGTTACTGATAACTGCTGGAGTTCTAAGACCTTTCATGGTGAATGTGTACCTGAGACAATTTTGCAGCTCATTGTGATTGGTTGGAATGATTTCCCAGGAGAGTCTGTTGGGCTCGGAGAGAGCTGCCCTTGAGGAACGATTTTGCAGCTAGCTGTGATTGGCTGGAAAGCAGAATTGCCGTGTGAACCAAATGTCAGCTTCTGAGTGACCACTGGTCTGGTAGGTGTTCGTTCCAGCAATGAGGGCACCACATGGCTCGGGTAACCCACGGCCTCGCTTTTGACCAAAACTTCCATTTTAACTGAAAATACAAAATAAGGAAACGAATGTACATTAACATCACAATCATTGCACAATCAAATGTTTAAAGTGTCCTTCCCCAGGGCTGTACAAATATAGGCAAATTCATTTGATCGTGCGCTTGGTGACATTTGCAATCCTAAAACAGACCTTCCCATGCCTCTTCCTCTTGTCTGATCAGAGTTTGGCCTCCACAGTGACACAGCGAACCTGAGCTTTACTTAGTCTCAATACGCTTCACATAGTTCCAGAAATTATTTAGACATCCATGGGTTCTACATTTGGATTGTAGTCATATTATCACATATTTCTACTGCACTGAAATATAGACTCTACAACGACGGAGGGCTGGTTATTGACCTCTAATTCACACCTGGAGTAATCTCACCTTTTTCTGAAAATAAGCCCAAGGCATCGTGAGGCAGCTTCCCAGAAAAGCTGAATGCTGCTGAGGACACTGACACTCCTGCTGATGACATTGGAAGAGTGGCAGATAGCACAGGCTGAGTCGGTGTGACACACTGCGGGGTCCTGCTGCATGAAGAGGAAGAAGAGGAGGAAGATGACGAAAGGAGCAGTGCAGTGGAAGCAGAAGAAGGCAATGCTGTAGGAACATAGTCCTCTCCCAGGGAGTCACGATGTAGTTCAACGTCCACCACCTATTCCAGAAAGAAAGACAGAACAATTTCATTACAAAATTCAACATATTGTCAGCTTGGCTCCATGCCTCTGAGTCAGAATATTGTGGGTTTAAATGCCACACTGGGATTTGATTTCACACTAGTCTAAGTTAACACTCCAATGCAGTACTCAGGGTGTGTTGCATTGTCGGAGGTGCAGTCCTTCGGATTAAACCGAGGTCCTGTTGGCCTGTTCAGATAGACTTTAAAGATCTCATTGTACTATTCGAAAAAAGGAAGGAGTTTCTCCAAGTGTCATGGCCAATAATCCCCCAAATATAATTGATCACTCATTTCATGTCGGTTTATGGCACATTTCTATGCACAATTCTGCTGTCACATTTGCCTATAAATACAGTCACTTTATTTCACAGTAAATCATGTGAAGCGCTTTCAGATGTCCTTCGACATAATAAGGCACTGTACCAAATACAAGGATTGTTATTATTAAAGCATTCAGATCTGAACGAAAAGGAAGCACACACAGAGCCAGCAGAGCATTTTGAGTCAATGTACTCCAACAACACCACAGAAAAAGACACGCTCTCATACATAAGACATATTTATAAGGAAACAATATTCAGCCAGGGTATCAGTGTAATGCTACAAGTGATCTCAATCCTTTAGGGCTCGGAGAGTAAGAGAAAAGAAAAAGGTCAATATATTTGTTAAAATTCGAGACCGGATTTTCATTCCTGACACTGGAATGGCTTATGTCGACATAGAGTGATGATGAGATTGAACTTGTATATTGGAAAAGCAAAAAATAATTACCGTTTCTGCCCCAAGTGTCTGCAAACCAGTATATGTTCTATCCAGCTGTTGAAAAAACACATCAAACATCAGGTTAGTGAACAGAACAAGAGTCCTGTGTCTTTGGCTGTCAACAAAACACAAACTGGAAAAAGATCATATTTTTCCTCAACAAGTAACCCTCTGGGAAAATCAATGATTACTCATGGTAAAATTGTCATGGAAATCTGCTAACTTGCTCGATAATAGTACAACCTTACCTAGAATTTGCCTTTTTTTAAAACCAAACCTAACCTCCCTTACCAAACAGTTTTTGCTGTATTTAATAATAATAATAATAATCCTTGCATTTGATATAGCGCTTTTCACGTCGGGAGGATGTCCCAAAGCGCTTCACAGAACACACTGTAAAGTGAATTGACTATATTTGTGGGCGAACGCGGCAGCCAATTGCACACAACAATGTCCCACAAACAATCGTAGATTGAAATTGACCAATTTATTATTGTTTTTGGTTTTGGAGGGATTATTATTAGGTGTGTGGAGTAAGGAAACTTGCCCAAGGTTTCGCCCTGACCTGCCTGGAATTGAACTCAGGTCTCTCGCTTGCAAAGCGAGTGGTCTAACCACTGAGCTACAGGACTCCACATTAAATCAATGCAGCTAAACTTTATAGATAACTACCTACAAAAGTGCTGTTTTCACTGAGCCCTCAAACACGCTTGCCAAAACAGCAATCAAATCCTATACCCTATTAATCAGGAGCTAGGATTCCCTTCTCAAACTCCCATCAAGAAAAGCGGCAAGTTAGGAGTAACTCATGAGATTTTGGAAGCTGGCATACTTTTACATTTGGCAATCAAAATATAGCGCCACTTTACTTTTCTCTTAATAGTTCTACATGGTTTGTAATCATTGTTCAGGCACTGACTGCTGAGCAATTCTATCGTGTAATTATTTTGTATAGTGTTTTCTATTTTCAAAAAAGGTGAGCAAGGCTGGGAAAGGAACATTTTTAAAAAAAAAACTTTTCACACCCACTTTTTCCAGATCAAGTTACTGTATTGCATTTGCCGAACATTGACCCTCAACAACAACAATTTTACATTTATATAGCTTCCCTATATAACTAACCTGAATGCACTTGCTGTATATAACAGTAAATACATCTGAGCTGCATTTCCCTGATCTGTATGTAACTGCTATACCTTCAACTGGTGAATAATGTCAATTCTCTTGTTCCGCAAGTCCTTAAAGTGGATTTGAATTCGAACAGGGAATTCACCCCAGCCTCGTCTGGTTAAATGAAACGGTGGTTCACTGAGAACAAAAGGAATAAAAAACAATCGATATTAAAATAAATAGCGTCTGACCAACTCAACTCACAGCATGAAGAGAAAGAAGAGGGCTGAACAGTCAGATGTATTTTAAACTAATACAATTGGATTCTGATAATTTGATTTCACTAGTCAGTAGAAAGAATCCTTTTTCTCTTTAGTATTAAGTTACCTTTAGTTTCTTGAATTCTTACAGTACATTTTTGTCCTGCTTATATCCTGGTTCTACCTCTCTGCTGGTAACATACTGATTTGTCCAGGAATTTTAAACACTTGAATCCAGACCCTGTTCTGCCCAATGAAGGTTCGAGAGTGAACCATAGTGAAGATGTTAAAAATGTACCTGACTTCTACCAGATCATTTGGTTTGTAACTTGGGTGCAGGAAGAACCAAACTTTCTTTACAAAGTGATCAATAGTAGGCTCCTTCCGAGAGCCTCGCACATAAACCATCCACTTGTGGGTGGACTGGTCATTTTCCTCTCTCTTATCCGGGGGAATGTACCTGGAAAACAAACAAATAAAAGGAATTAACATAACTAAAATCTATCAAATTCCATTCTCAAACTAGGACAGCAAGTTGCCTAGCCTTGGCGTTGCCTAACCTCTTTGGGAAAATGTTTACTAAAAAGTTTATATTTTGCACCTCTTTCACTGCTCGGCAGGACAGAATAAAAATCTTATCATTTGATAGCTGATACTTCCCTCATCTCTGGCTTCCTCTCATTCCATCACAATCTTTCCTACCTCACTTGTTCTCTTTCTCTCTCTATTTTATTGACACTATAATGTTCATTGCTTCTCCAAAGTATCTTGTTCCTCACAAAGTGGCACACCTCTTCCTCTATCCACTCTTTACGCCAGGGCAATTATTTTGGCTGGCGGCCCACTTCAAGAGTTTTGGTAAGCTTCGTGGGTTACACTTAATATAGATGCAAATGCTTAATAATAGCTCAAAATCAAGTTTTACAATTGTACATACATAAAATAAAGTCTATATAATTGACATTCATTAAAATTAGGTTAAAAACAAGTCATTGAGCAGACATTTATTCAATATTTATTCATTTATTCACATATTGATGAGAATGTGAGAAGCTCACTCAATGGGAAGAATGAAAGCGCTGATGTGCGTTAACCAGACAATTGAAGTCAGACATCGTCTCCGTTTGCAATGCGGAGTACTGCTGCAAGGTGGTCATCAGTCATCGCAGATCTATGTTTTAATTGATTGAATTTCATCACAGAAAATGTTTCCTTGCATATGTATATTGATCCAAACAGCACAAGCATCCTCCGGGCATGAGCCTTTATTTTTTGAAAGGTATATTCATTAAGAGAGGCGTAAAACCTGGGAAGCGGCACTGATTTGAATTGCTTCGCAAGCAATGGATCACATTGCAGGTCAATAAGCTCGAGTTGGAGGTCAAATGGGGCTTTGTCAACATCAAATGGTGAAGAGACCAAAGACAGGTCATTCTTCATCAAATTTAAATCCTGGAATTGGCGAGAAAATTCGGCATATAAGTCAAGTAGTGACGAAGTATACTTTTTAAGACTTTGATCGCAAACAGTAATCTGTTGCAAAGTTGGAAAGTGGGTGAAATGCCTGTTTCCTATCTGAAGCGATAAAAGAAATAATTTCATCATAAATGACTTGACACTGCAATACAAATCTGCACAAAGGCCCCCTTCCGTTGCAGCTTTGAATTTAGTTCATTCATGTGGCCCATGACATCAACGCAAATGCGAAATCAGAGAGCCGAAATCCACCAACACACTGTCTCCAAGTCACTTATTTTTTCCCAGAACTACGACTGTGTAATTCCTTACCTCCCTCGGTTTGCTCTTCTTCATGCAAACAGGATTTTAAAGATAAAGCCTGGCACCGCATAACTAGTATTTCTCAATGTAAAATTAGTGATCACATTCTGGCCTCCGAATGGTTGCCTTCATGTGCAGCCTGTTCTTAAGCCACTTAATGCATAAAAAAATCGACAAGAAATAATAAACCGGCAGCTAAGCTTTAGAGAAGAATCATTAAACACCAACTTTGAAACATTGCCAACCACGATCGTCTTCTTGATGTAAAGTCTCGATGGGTCTTCGTTGATTGTGAGGTAGGTGCACCGCTGCTCTATTTCCTGTGGAGTTGGCACTCCAAAGGTTTCCTGAGAAAAAGCAGGAGCAGAGAAAATAACTTGTTGAATTTCCTGATAATGTTGTTTTCTAATTCCCATCCCACTGTTTTACCATCCTCTTCTCGTCCCCTGAGAGAGGAGTCTGCAGGAGTAATTACACAGTTATTTCACTCCTGAGACTTTTGATTTGATTCCAAACAAGACGGATGGAATGATTCTCCACTTTCCTTGTAAAATGAGAGTGGGCAGTCTAAAGCCAGTTCCTAACGGATGTGGGTCACATCATAAAACTCTCCTTGAATTTGTAATCTCACTCAGGTGAGCTAAAGAATAATCTGTGTGGGAAAGAAAAGTGATCTTCTGAAATTGAGTGTAAGGCACATTGTGAGCAGGATTTACTTTGCATAACCTGTGCTACATTACCCTTTTGCCCACAAAATATACAGTCAATTCACTTTACAGTATATACCGTGAAACACTTTGAGACGTCTCGAAGACTTGGTAAAGGCACTTTATCAAATGCAAGGATTATTATTATTATTATTATATCTAACCCCTTATTGTCCATTTTTATAGGGCAATGAGTTTACTCTGTGTCTATCCAGCTGACACCTAACCTGGGCGTTTTTGTTAAGACAATAAAACTTCTGGGTTTGTTTGGTGTGGAAATTCAATTACCGCTCCCACTCTGACCTCCTTATTGCTCCAGGCAAATTCAATGCACACTTCAGCTTTTTTTTAACAGATTTTTTAATACACAGGAGTGTCTTTGATGAAGATCACCTGAGCAGTTAATATGTCTTTTTCAAAGGTCCACCTGCAGGGCAAATTCTATCAAGTTTTATTTCTGATTTGCGCTTTTTTTCTTGTACTCAATTTCTGTACCTGGCCAGTGTTCCTCCCTGGTCGCTTCTCTGATTTGTTAGACTGGCTGTCCTCATTCCCTGTGGTTTGATGTTCCTGGTCACTTTCTTTATCCAAAAAGGAGTCCGTTTGATGGGTGACTGAATCGGTTTCTGACTGGTTAGCGGATGGTGTTTCTGAGCGTTGATTGCCCGGCGAGGATGATCTTGAAGGCGATTCCAGAAACTTCTTGATGACAGGGTGGTTGAAGACAGTAGGATCGTATGACTTTGGACCCTTGAAGAAAAGCACACTGCAGACGTCAGCCTTAGGCATGATACTGAGACAGCAAAGATATAAACTGATTCAAGGATTGCTTTTTGATTCAGGGTAAAACAAAATTGCTGTTATAATGCTATTTGTGCTAAGGCAGGTCTGTCAAACACCTTGGGACATCTTCCCGATGTGAAAGGCACTATATATATCTACATTTGTGTTGCATTGTATGTTATTGCATTGTTTGTGGAGTCCTGTAGCTCAGTGGTTAGAGCACTCGCTTTGCAAGTGAGAGACCTGAGTTCAATTCCAGGCAGAGGGCGAAACCTTGGGCAAGTTTCCTTACTCCACACGCCTAATAATAATCCCTCCAAAAACCAAAGACAATAATTAAATTGGTCATTTTCAATCTACGACTGTTTGTGGGACATTGCTGTGCGCAATTGGCTGCCGCGTTTGCCCACAAATATACAGCCAATTCACTTTACAGTGTGTTCTGTGAAGCGCTTTGGGACGTGAAAAGCGCTATATCAAATGCAAGGATTATTATTATTATTATTATATTATTATGTTTGCAGTTTTCAAGCAAATTTTATTTTAAAAAATGTACAATAGAGGACAGAATTCAAATAGTGATTTAGTAAGAAAAGGTTAATAGACAAATATTATTTAAAAAAACAGGCTCCTGTAAGAAATTCTTATAGCACCAATTCCGTAAGCAGATACATAAATAACATGGCTGGGTTGGGGAATCGGGGGGAAGGAAAGAGTTATTGAACAATGGCTCACCTCATTCACCTTGGGCTGCCCAGCTGATACATAGTAGTTGGCTACAATGCACGCCCGCAATTTATCCATCATTCTTCTGGCCTCATTCAGGCGCTTTGGAGAGACAAAAGCAACCAAATATTAAAGGATTATTCAGTCTAGAAGCTAAACAATTTGAAACAACAAAATTACATTTGTATAGCACCATTCATGTTGGGAGTACGTCAACAGTTAGGAAGCTAGTAGTTTCTGAAAGATATCTCGGTTAATTTATAGCAGCAGAATTTGTGCCACAAGAATAGTTTCTTGCTAACCTTTTTTTGATCGCCATAATTCCGAGCAGTGTCTGAGGGCCACTTTGTGCATTTTGCAACACTATTCCACACAGCCAGACTGAAACCTGAACCTACGATTCCGCCACAATGAGCTCCAGTGACATTACTGAGCAATTCCTAGCGGGAGATACCGGATCACGGACTCCACTCATTTGCTTGTTTAGTGAAGCATGATTAAATTATAATTGTACTGCAAAAAAAGCTGATTTTTCTTTCACAGAGGAATGCTACTAGGAAATCTGTTGTACCAATCACACTTCATTTCCATTTTTCTTTTTTATAAGTAAACACTACTTGGCAGAAAGACTAGTGTTGTCTTTATGAAAATCCAAATTGTCTAATAGCATACAACTGATCAGAATCACACTTTTTGGTGTGTTGAAACATCAAATGAATAAACCACACAGATCCATTTGATAGCTTATCAATACCAACGCTTTTATTTGGTCAGCTGAATGTCTGACACATGCGGAAATCCATCACCAAGTTTAACAACAACAACAACAACAAAATTACGTTTATAGAGCGCCTTTCATGTCGGGAGGATGTCCCAAAGCGCTGAACAGTCAGGTGTTGGGGCCCGAGCATGGGGGAGCGGGGTGTAGAGGTGAGGGAAGGCAGAGAGGTGGGAGGGAGACCAATGGCATGGTCAAAGAGAAGGGTTTTGAGTCCAGCCTTGAAGGAGGCGAGGGAGGAAGCGAGGTGAAGGGACCTTGGGATGGAGTTCCAGATTGTGGAGGCAGAGAGGCTGAAAGCCCGGCCACCGATGGTAGGGCGGGAGACATGGAGCAGGCCGGAGCCCGATGAACGGAGGGAGCGGGCAGGTTGGTAGAGGAGTCAGCAGGTCAGAGAGGTAGAAAGGTATCATTAAGAGTATCCAAACCAGCCTGAAGAGTTCCATAGCTGCCAAGGTCAAGAGCTGGTACATGTGCATGTTCCTTTACCTGGTCTATAATCTCAATTTCATGCTCTTTGTTTTTCATCTCCACAGCAAACTGCTCCTTAATGATAACTTCAATCTTCTGTACAGTGGCTTCACGTGCTACAAGCACAATAACAAGAAACACAATAGGTGCATGAGTTATGGGAGAATTATATAGAATATCATAGTATGAATAACACATTTCAGATTATATGGGAAAAGTTAGGGAATGTTTGTAAACAAGGGGTTTATAAGAATTTGGGAAGTGACGCATTTTGGGAAATTCTTTCCACACCACAGCATTTGGAAAAGTACTGTTTATGGGCAACCTCTGCTACACCCAAGTGCACCAAATGAAGGCTGAACAAACCTTCAATCACTACATCTACAACCTCTGGAACTCCCTCTCTCAAACCCTCTACCTCACCCCTCTCTATGTGCCTTAAATCCTGCCGTAAAACCTACCTCCTTATCCAGCCTATCGTCACCTCCCCCTCCCCTTGTTCAGCATCTGTCCCTGACAATCGCTCTGAGATGTTAAGAGATGAGGGGCGCTATATAATTGCATGTTGTTGTTCTACTTATAAACAATCCAAACTTTCAATTTGATCCTAGCATCTCATTTGTGGTTAGGCTTCAGTACATTTTAAACTTGTGGGCGCTGGTGAGGTAGTTACAATAATGGGGTTTGACCACCAACAATATTGATTAACACTTTGTGCTACTTTAAAAACATCACTTTGTCAATTTCTTTAACGAACAAAGGGAAAGGATAAAAAAAACTTCACAACGCGACTCCAGCAGTATGATGTGCTGGTGGAATCGTTGCTTCCAAACATATCATTCAATGGTGCTTATAAAATGGAACCAGTTGGTCTGCATTCAAGACAAGAGTATGGTAATAACAAATTTCAAGCTAATATCATATCTGCTAGAGATCAGATGTGTAACTAATAATCATGTTTTTTCTCTCCTCTCCTGAGGTCTGACTGATCCTAAGATAAAGCCAAACTCAACCCTTTCTTCCCCTGGCATCCACACTTTCGAGTCACTTTGTTCTTCAATGTTTAAAACATTGTCCACTCCCTCCTCCAAATCTGGTTTGAAAGGCTCCACATAAATTTAATGAGCCCCTTTTGCTTGGAAAACATCTATTTTGTTTGTTTCTCCGTTATGCTGATACTCCTCACTTGCCCAGTCTGACGATAATAAAAAAAATGTGCTAAATGTATGGAACAGGCTCCCTTGGGAGACAGTGGAAGCAGAAAGTGTCAATTTCTTTTAAAAGCAAATTAGATAGATTTCTTTTAGGAAATAATATTTTGGGTTACAGTACATAGTTTGGGACATGACATGTACATGCAACTGACAGGATGGTGGAAGGCGAACTAGATGTACCTTGGTCTTCTTTCGTCTAGGAATTCTTATGTTCTTATGTTCTACTCAAGACATGATTGCACAATCTGACCGTTAATAGTCACTTTTTAAAGGAAGCCGCAGCTAAAATTATACAGTTCATAGCCATGACTAAATAATTGCTAAATAGTTGGAAAAGTTAATCACCTAGGTGAGGTTGACATTGTAATCATAAATCACATGACAAGGAGCAAGTGTGTTGCCTTAAATTCCTAAGTAACACTGTGAATTCTACACAATGTTTAAATGACAACAACAGACCTAAATCATATAATTAATTTCCAGTTTTTTTTTAATTTCCCCCCTTCCCTCGCCTGAAGGTAGTGACTTTTGCTCGGGTTCCGTTCTGTTATTGCCAGTTACCGCCAGGGGCCGTCCTCAAGTGATCGTTCTTCACATGTGAGCTTAGTATGAGCAGGAAATTTAATTGTTGCTGAGTTCAGATAGCTGAGCCCGACCCTATCTTCCTTCAAGATGCACGCACACATTTTCCAGCAGAGAGTCACTGGACATCAGTCAGGAGAGGAAACAGAAGCCCCATTAGAAGTTACACAGAGCATAACAAGGGTTTAGTTGTGACTTATGCAGAAAACAACACAGGGAGTTACCAAGTGGCGTATGGCAGGTCTCCAGCAAGTCACAAGACACAATTTACCTGCCCAGTTCTCAAGATCCTGACTGTGAATTAATAGTTTAAACTATCTCTCAGAAACTATTCACACATCAATTTTAAAACAACAATTTTCTAACACTCCGGTTACCAATACACAATGAGTGCACCAAGTGTGCCAGAGACATCATGCTAAGAGTTGAAAGAAAAATAACGACAATGGTATAAGAGCTAATCTGCACTTTAGTAACTCCAACCTTTGGGGAAATACACTATAATGAAACTGTCATAAGTTTTCTTTAATTTTATCAAAGTTGATTACGATTCAACGTTTGACATAGAAAACTACAAGCAATTTCAGTGTTTAAGGTAAAAGTCAAGATTGTGATTTATTTTTAGTTAAAATTAGTATAACATTCTGTCAGAGTTTGGGCACACACACTTTCTTTTCTGACCTGATTAAAAGGGCCAATGTTTGCAGTTCCCTACCAGAGTGTTCAATCACTTTGTGTTGTTTGTTCTGACGACCCATCATGATATCTTTATAGTCAGGATCCTTGTCTTCAATTTTCCGTTTAATGCCCGACATCTTCTCAAAAGCAAAAGAAATCTTTGTTCTGTAATCAAAAGCACTGAAACTGAGATACAGCATTTTACTTATTAACTTAAGACTTTCAAAAGACATGTGTTTCTCGTCTTCATTCACAACCTGTGGTTATGCGAACTGAGATGAGGCAGGGTATTTCTGATCTCCTATTGCTTGCCAGCATTTCCAAACAGTATGAAGCTGCAATACACAAAGCAAACAGGATACTGGGCTTTATGAACATTGTTAAATCATGCTGAAGCGGTACTGTGCTCTGGTCAAGCTGTACCGTTGGCAGGTGGGCCTTCAGCCTCTCGGCCCCCACTCTCTGAATACCATTCCACAATCCTCCACCTCGCACCTTTGCTTGCCTCCTTCCAGACCCATCTCAAGACCCTCCGTTTCAACCGTGCGTTAGTCACCCTCCTACCCCTACTCTCCTGATCCCAACCACCAGCTTGGGTGCGGATCCCTGACTGTCCACTGCCTTGACACATCCGCCCGACGTGAAAGGCGCTATACAAATGTAATTTGTTGTTGTTGCACAAGAATACTGAGTCCACTGCTGGCTGCTATTACATCCCTAGATGAAATACAGATGAAAGTATCATGACTGTTAAGAGGGATGAGGTGTGAGGAACAACTAGATATGTTTGGGCTTGAAAAGCTTTGTCTTGCTCTGGGGGAAATCTTATATATAAGCTACTTACGTGATGGAGATAATAACCCATCACTTTTCAGGATCTTCAGGTAGAGGATCTATTTTTGTTTCAGTTTTCTAAAATGATGGGGAAACCATCAGGTAACCTATGAAACCATTGAGTAAACCTACAGGATTTTGAAGGGGGAAATCAGCTGATGGTGACATGATGATGGCACCAGCTTGGCTTGGTTGGTAATACGCACAATTCAGGATTGGGAGTTCAAGACTGTGACAGTTCTCACCCCTCTGTGTACCCTGCGAATGTTAGTAACGCAAAGAATACTAGGTGGCCTCTGTATTAACTCCTAACTCCGTGAGTGCAAATTCCCGTCCTCGGGTAGTTTGCTTCATGGCTGTTTATGGGACCTGTTGTGTGATTTAGCTGCAACGCTTGCTTGTAAAAGACTCAATTATCAACAAAACATTGAGATATTGTAATGCTATTGGTGTTGTCATTTCAAATAGTAAAAATAATCCATACATATCTAATATAGTTATTGGGAGGACCTCTCAAAGCACATCACAGGATTTTCTGTGAAATGTAAGTTACCGCGTGTTTTATAAACAACAGTATAATTATATACCCGCATTCTCACCCACACCAAACTCCACTCCCCGATCACCCCAGTCATTGCCAGACTGCACTGGCTGCCTATCCCAGAGAGGATCGATTTCAAGATCCTCACCCTTGTATTCAAGTCCCTGCACTCCTCTGCACTCCCCTACCTCTCTGACTTCCTCTTCTCCGGGTTCTGGCCACCTCCTCGTCCCCCGAGTCCTCCGCTCCACCCTCGGCGGCCGTGCCTTCAGCCACTACGCCTCGAGGCTCTGGAACTGCCTTCCTCACTCCCTGCGTCTCCCTCCCTTCCCATTTTCAGGTCTCTACTGAAGACCTCTCTTTTCGACTGCGCCTTTGGTCACCTTCCTCCCCCTCCCCCCGGTTCGGTCCTGGGATCCGTTACTGTAAAGCGCTCTCAGACGACGTCCGGCGTGGAGGGAGCTATATAAATCCAATTTGTTGTTGTTGTTGTTGATTTTTATTGTTATTATTTCAATGTTATTAATGGGCTCTGGCACATGCAGTCAATGTATTTTAACAACAACAATTTGCATTTATATAGCACCCTTCACACGGGTCAACGTCTCGGAGCGTTTGACAGTGGTGGAGCTTGACGCCGAGTCAAGGCAGGGCGGAGGGATTGGGGGACAAGGCGGAGGGATTGGGGGCAAGGCGGAGGGATTGGGAAGCAAGGCGGAGGGATTGGGGGCAAGGCGGAGGGATTCGGGGGAGGGATTGGGGGCAAGGCGGAGGGATTGGGGGGCAAGGCGGAGGGATTGGGGGGAGGGATTGGGGGCAAGGCGGAGGGATTGGGGGGAGGGATTGGGGGGGCAAGGCGGAGGGATTGAAGGGAGGGATTGGGGGGCAAGGCGGAGGGATTGGGGGGAGGGATTGGGGGCAAGGCGGAGGGATTGGGGGGAGGATTGGGGCAAAGCGGAGGGATTGGGGGAGGGACTGGGCGGGAGGGTTGGGGGGCAAGGCGGAGGGATTGGGGGGAGGGATTGGGGGCAAGGCGGAGGGATTGGGCAAGGCGGAGGGATTGGGGGGAGGGATTGGGGGGAGGGATTGGGGGGAAGAGAGTGCCAAAGCTTTGGGGTGTAGTGGCTGGAAGCGCGGACGCAGATGGTGGAGCGGAGGGGACACGGGACCAAACAGGAAGGGGCCAGAGCCATTTTAGCCACGACCCCCACCCACTGGACAAGCCCCCAGTGCCCCCCCCGGACAAGCCCCCTGTGCCCCCCCCCCCGGACAAGCCCCCAGTGCCCCCCCCCCCCCGGACAAGCCCCCAGTGCCCCCCCCCCCCCCCGGACAAGCCCCCAGTCAGTGCCGGTGCCCGGGGGGTAGGGTCTGGGCCCAGTGCTGTCGGGGCTCTGAGTGCAGCCCGACCTCAGACACTCACCTCCGCACCGGCGGCTTCACCTGCAGCACAGGCCCAGGCCCCGGCCCCGGCCCCGGGCTCCCAGACAGCAGCTCAGCGCCGCTCCTTCTCTTCCCAGAGCCTCCCCGGCCTTCAGCTCCCGTCCTGAGTAAGGGACGGCTACTCGAGAGCGCTGGAAGCCTGAGGCCCTCCGTCCGGGCTCCGCAGCTACTGAGCTCTCGGCCCCGGCAACGGGGCAATGGCCGCACCGACCATAGTTACAACAGCGCCGCCGCCGCCGCTCCCTCTCCCTCCCTCCCTCCCGCCGCCGTCTCCAGTCACCGCGCCGCTGCCTCCACACCGCTCACAGCGTCAGGAACATCCCCTACACCGCACCCTCTGCACCCCCACCCCAGCACCGCACCCCCACCCCCAGCACCGCACCCCCACCCCCAGCACCGCACCCCCACCCCAGCACTGCACCCCCACACCAGCACTGCACCCCCAGCACCGCACCCCCACCCCAGCACCGCACCCCCACCCAGCACCGCACCCCCACCCCCAGCACCGCACCCTCACCCCCCAGCACCGCACCCCACCCCTACACTGCACCCCAGCACCGCACCCCCGCACCGCACCCTCTGCACCCCCACCCCAGCACTGCACCCCTGCACCCCCCCAGCACTGCACCCCCACCCCAGCACCCACCCCGCACCCCCACCCCCCCAGCACCGCACCCTCTGCACCCCCCCCAGCACTGCACCCCCACCCCAGCACCGCACCCCACCCCCAGCACTGCACCCTCTGCACCCTCAGCACTGCACCCTCTGCACCCCCACCCCAGCACCGCACCCCCACCCCCACCCCAGCACCGCACCCTCTGCACCCCCCCCCAGCACTGCACCCCCACCCCAGCACCGCACCCCCACCCCCAGCACTGCACCCTCTGCACCCTCAGCACTGCACCCTCTGCACCCCCACCCCAGCACCGCACCCCCACCCCCACCCCAGCACCGCACCCTCTGCACCCCCCCCCAGCACTGCACCCCCACCCCAGCACCGCACCCCCACCCCCAGCACTGCACCCTCTGCACCCTCAGCACTGCACCCTCTGCACCCCCACCCCAGCACCGCACCCCCACCCCAGCACCGCACCCTCTGCACCCTCAGCACTGCACCCTCTGCACCCCCACCCCAGCACCGCACCCTCTGCACCGCACCCTCTGCACCCTCAGCACTGCACCCTCTGCACCCCCAGCACCGCACCCTCTGCACCGCACCCTCTGCACCCTCAGCACTGCACCCTCTGCACCGCACCCTCTGCACCCTCAGCACTGCACCCTCTGCACCGCACCCTCTGCACCCTCAGCACTGCGCCCCCAGCACCGCACCCTCTACACCCCCAGCACTGCACCCTCTGCACCCCCAGCACTGCACCCCCAGCACCACACCATCGGCACCCCCAGCACCGCAGCCTCTGCACCACCAGCACCGCACCCTCTGCACCCCCAGCACCGCACCCTCTACATCCCCAGCACCGCACCCTCTGCACCCCCAGCACTGCACCCTCTACATCCCCAGCACTGCACCCTCTGCACCCCCAGCACTGCACCCTCTGCACCCCCAGCACTGCACCCCAGCACTGCACCCTCTACATCCCCAGCACCGCACCCTCTGCACCCCCAGCACTGCATCCCCAGCACTGCACCCTCTACATCCCCAGCACCGCACCCTCTGCACCCCCAGCACTGCATCCCCAGCACTGCACCCTCTACATCCCCAGCACCGCACCCTCTGCACCCCCAGCACTGCACCCTCTGCACCCCCAGCACTGCATCCTCTACATCTCCAGCACTGCACCCCCAGCACTGCATCCCTAGCACTGCACCCTCTACATCTCCAGCACTGCATCCTTTGTATCCCCAACACTACATCGTTAGCCCCACTTTCAGCCACTAGGTCCTGAAATTCTGGAACATTCCCTCAATCTCTCCGCCTTGCCGCCTTCCTTCCCCAACTTCAGGTCGCGATTGAAGACCTTCCTCTTCGACCGTGCTTGCGGTCACCTCCCCCCCCCCCCACCCCAGCTCGGTCGGTGTCATGCTCCACCATTGTCAAGCGCTCTGGGATGCTGCCCTGTGCGAGGGGTGCTATTTAAATCCAAGTTGTTGTTGCTGTCCCCCACAACCAACACCCACACCACACCTCTTCACCCAGATCCTCGATAATGTGTCCAATCCCTGGCCCAGGGATCTGCATCTGCACCTATGGGGGTAGATATTCCCCTACTACCGTGTTACTTTAGTTGAAAGCAGTTAAATCAGGTAGACGAGGGATCCACCTTGAATTGTACTGATCGTATGGTTCTGTTTCACACAACCCGGGCATTACCGATTATTCTATAAGGAGAGCCAAATAAATGCTTTTTACTAGATGCCTTTTGTATTGGGATGAAGGTACATTACCTTCCTCCTTTTCACCATGTTAAATTCACCATTTCACACATCGAGGATCTTCATCTAAGATTTAAACTGCAGTAACAATAAAATAGCAGGCTGCCTGCCAACAAATAAACTAGCTGTACAATACTCATTAATGTCCACAAACAGCCAGCAAGGCCAGGTAGCCCATTGGCAGCAAGTGCCTGGGCACAACATTAACTCACAGAAATATAATCTCCATCTGTCGGTTTATACTCTACTCCCTTACATCTGTCCATCTTTTGTTAAGATATGGAACAGACTGCACAAGGGGAACACTGGCCAGAAGATGGTCAGAGATAGCAACTTTAAAAAGGAGTTGTCAGAGACCTGAAGACAATATATCCAAGGATTAATAATTTATCTGTAGTTTAATCAATGTGTTAAAGTCACAATAGAAATTAGATTGGTTATAATCTGCAATTTTTTGACTTGTGAAAAGGAATCACAATTCCCTACCCATTCTTCTCAGACCATATTAATCCCTCGAATTTCATCTAGATGTGTCTGAATCACTATAATCGGCTGCTGTTCGCACAATATCATCTGGCCTTTTGCATTATCTATGATGTCTACAGGCATCACACGAGCAGCTCTCCAGATACCTGCTGCTCCGCTCTAGGAGTTAATGGAAGAAAGCAAACCCTTCGAGAGTTGTTTTTCATCACTTGTTGGTTGCTGCGGCCAGTTATATTTGTTTCTCCTTTTAAGGCTCAACATTCTATTTGCATTTTAAGTGGGTCTATCTTATTCACCCCTGATAGTTTCAGTACTCTTGACTGCTGCAAATCTTTTCCTTAGCAGTGTTCTTGCTGCTAATGCTTAGTTGGGCTGCTTCACATTGAGACACTCTGTGGTCTCCCGTTGATCTGTGTACTTGTGCAAACCTGCAATTCTTGTTGATTGATCACGCGGCCGTTAATTGCTAAACTTTGGGGCGTCACTCACACAAACAAAAATGTGTGCGGCAATTATGGATCATTAACTTCATCCACTCACTCAGCACATCAGGCTCTATCTACACTAATGAAGACAAAGAATTTGTGTGTGTCTGTCTGTGTCTGTGTATCTGCCAATAACGCAATAACCATATTAATACATAAGTGACAATAGAGCTTGTAAAGAACAGTACTTTATTTTTTATTATTTGACCTGCTACATCTATCACATACACAAAAAGCACACACAGAAAAGTGACTGAAACATAAGGAGGAGCTGGTTCAAACCTGGAGGCTCCAAACCGCTGGGAACAAGCTGCTGTAATCGCTGTGTTCACTGACTTGACATTGGCTTGGGTGAAAACCTCCAGCAGTACAGCTTCCTCTTCCCCAGCACCTCAAAATAGTGGGTCGGAATGTTAATCTCTAATGCCTTAATTCAACAAAAGGAAACACTTGTATTTTTTCCCAGTGAAAATTACTGAATTGGATAGATCGACTCATCCCATTACTTCTCTCCGACACCAACATAATACAGTAATAATTTGCTGTGGTATATTATTAAATCAATAGTTCAATACATTTTATTAAACTCAGGTACAGATCACATTGAATTCATACATCAATTTTACTTATATAAAGCTTGCACCCTATCAGGTCAGACTCAACGATTGATGATCAGCATATGGCAATAGGAAAAGCCAAACAAACTGTCTCCTGGATATCTGAATGAAATATTGCAAAAACTGCATAATCAGCCTAAAATAATAGATTTTTTAAAATGAAAAAAAATACTCCAGCCACATACTGTAATAAAAAATGTTCAATTCAACAACAATTCATTCATTAATTGCTCGTATTTCAGTTACCAAACAGCAACGCTGAGTTATTTAAAGCAAATCTTGATCATCTGAATGATTTTAGGAAGTGAGTTGCAGTCTGGAATCTATTGAAGCGGTTTGAACGGTTTGCAAAGTTACATATCGTTTGGAGTGAATTATAGGCTAGACTCTAACTGAGGGGGTTCAAATTTTAATATTAACCAAGAAGTAAAGCTTAAATGGACTTTATACCATTCTGCTGCTCTCCACCCCCATTATTGTGCCCATTATTATTTTCATAGCCTCTTGTTTTAACGTTTTAATTTTTTAAAGAAAAAGTCTGGGAAGAGAGTTGATACAACAGCAGTTGTTGGTACACATGTCAACTGTATTCTAAATCCCTGCCAGTGTTCAGACAGGGTCAACATTGACAGTTTATATGGCGAATGGATTGCTTAATTGATTAATGAGAATTCTTCTTCTGCGACACATTTGTATCCACAGGTCACACACTGACAGTACTTAGCAGATGTAAGAATTGGAAACTCTCTGTTCAATATAATCGCTGCATATTAAGCCTCTCATACCAGGTCATCTTGAGTAAGTGCATAAAGAATAAATATGCTCAATAAAAAATTCTTAACTTGGATTAAAAACAATGAAATAACAAAATGTGTGAAATACCTGAGGCAGCAATGGGCACAAAGCAGAATTTCCCTGAAATTGGGAAGTTTTGTTTTCAGGAAAGCCAGGCAACTAAAGAAATAGCCTCACTCGTCAGTGCAGAACCTCTCTCCACAACATTTAATTCACTGGCATGGAATCGAAAATATGTCAGTGCCATTTTAATGTTGGCCCATTTCTTACAAAGAGATCTTCAGAAACACAATTCTTAACACATTGTTCTGTGCTTTGCATTGCTGGATAGCAGAGGATTGCAAGAATAGCAAAGTCCAATCACTCTATACACATGGGAAACGGAGTTGGTAGGACTGTACAATATAAAAAACACTGAACTCAAACAGGAGCAAAAAGCTGAAAGTAGTCATCTATGGAAGAGAATACAAATATGTATTAACAGTAAATTATTTTGGACTTTCAATTTGTTCCTGGAACACTATTGGCCTTCTGCTTATCAGCATAAAATGCAGCGACACAATTTGAATTACGGTGATTAAACAAAATGCAATTCACATGAACGTGAGCTTTACCATTCTCCTTGCTCCTAAAGGTGGTAACCCTGAATTCCGAGAGCTGGAGTAATTCTCCTTTCCCTCCACGCTCGGTCTGTGCCCCCAGCAGAAATATGTGTGACTACCACTGCACAACTAAGAAATTACTGAACTGCTGAGTTAGATGCTAAATAAAACTTCTGCTCCAGGCAGTGCATTTATCCAGTTTCTGTACAAACCATTGTTTGACATCCTCTCTGGTGTAAAATTTGCAACGCAATGTTGCAAGAATTGAGTACAAAATTGAATAAGGATTGAAAAATTCCTTTTGCACCAACTGAGAGCAAACTCCTTAGGTTGAGATGAAACAGTAAAGACATGCATCTGTCTCTATTGTCTCACTTTCCTCTCACTCACTGTTCTTGCTATTTCCTTAATATTTAAAGTTCTTCCCGTCTTCAACGACTGAGAGATTTGATAAAGTTGAAAAAAAAGTTTGCTACATGAATTTAAGCAATAATTTTTATTTAGTTCTCCCTTACTCTCCTGAAGGTGTTGCTTCACATTGGGGTGCAATTCAAGGGGTGCTGATATCCAAGTGGCCATTATTAATCACTGAATCTAGACAGTGAGTTTCCAGGACACTATGGACCCCTGGGGATCAGAGAAGACCCAAACTTGTCCTCACCTAACATTCATACAGACACACTTTACTGAATAAGTCACCGGACAGTGATCAGGTGGGGGATATGAGGTTGATTTTTTGTTACCCAACCCAGGCGTACCAAGGTCAATTGTTTCTTCCCCAAACTACTGCCCAAGCTAAGGTCAGCTCAATTTAACAGTACTAGAAATGGAACCTATGTGGCTCAGTTTCACACTTTGTAGTGGCTTTACTAACTGGACAACGAGAAAGCTACGCAATTTTAAAATACAAATTCCGTTCAAGCATCAATTAATTATAAGGTATGTTCAAACATTGCTTTGATTTGGATACAAGGCCCACTCTTTACTAACGCTGCTGCGTGTTCAAACCACAGTAAGATCTGCACGTGATTCAAATAAGATTTTGATCTCACTTCCGTACACATCAATACTTCTGCTGAGCTGAGCTACCATAATAATTCAGTCAACAGCTTCTCCTCACAGGAGACCATACAGGTGCTGGCAGGCTGCACCATGTCTTAGCCCAAGATCCCAGCTGTTCCTGTTTACTGATACAGTAAAACAAAATCAGATACACAACTTAATATAAACGAGCTTTAAAATTAGGTAAAAAAAGTAACATTAAAGATGCTTTTAAAAATGCATAAAATAATTAATGCGATTAAGAAAAAAATAAATCATCAACAGACCCAACAAAGTGCATTCTGAGTGACTCCTTGATATAATGAGAGGGTGTTGAGGGGAGGGGAGGAACGTACATGGGTTAAATGCAGAGTAACACTCTCTCCACACTTCTCCATCAAGGCTGCCAGGTTAGGTACAGCATGCGTTGGATGTCATGTGTGTACTGCACTGCCCAGCAGTCCCTCATCAAATACAAAACAAATTAGACCCACAACAGATTGTGGGAAACAATGAATTTAAGTGCCCACAGAATGAGACCCCTTTGTAAATCTAACAGTACAATCCCTCTGACGGACTACACAGAATTTATCTGACATTTACTTCCCTTCTAGTTACTACTAATACATCAAATAAGCACCAGTCAATGTATTATTTATTCTCTGTCGCTCATTCATTCCCTGCCCACCCACCACATTACTGGGGAAGAATTCACATGGTATGTAAAACATACCTTATATATAGTACGGGGGCATATATAATAATAATAATCTTTGCATATACTGATATATATACTATTGAATAATAATTATTATTATTATATATATACTATTTGGTATATACCACACTATGTATGTAACCCATACTAGGTATAGGAGCATACATAAAAGGTACATGACTTACACAGTATACATGTCACAGGGTATAAATGTGTGGATAATACTATTTCTTTCAACTAAATATGTTCACATTTTGTATTCTGGAATGCAAAGGTGCAGGAGCCTCTTATAATGGTGAGAGGTTTTTCTGTGTCTGTGTAAAGTGATGGCTGGCACATCCTTGTATCTGCTTACAGCAGTGGCTGGCATCTCAGCACCTATATACAGTGGCAGGTGCTACTACCCTCCTCTGCTCACATACATGACTCCCCTAGTGCTGGGTACAGCAGGGGTTGGTAACCTTCACCTGTCTACAGCAGTGAGCGGCACTCCCCGGTCAGACAGTGATACCAGCATTTCCACAGACATTGAGACCTGGCACCCTCTTGCCCTGGGATAGTGGTGATTCACACAGCTCCCTCCCTACTTGTGTATAGTGCTGATGCCTGTAGGATTATCTGGTACACTCAGAGTCCCATTACACTGGGGTATAAGTTCCCAGAATCAAGTTCAACAACCTTCACTATCCTCATTGTAGGGATGATATAGCATGTAATTTGTTATTTGGTTATTATTTGTACTTCTAAATATCACCATAATCTGTCCACTCAGTACCAATAGAAAATGTTAGAGGGAACCTCGACTACAGATATGTTTTGTAATGTAACCCTGATTGGTCACAATCTCTACAATCTAACTGCAGCACCAGAGGGATTGAAGCAAACAAACTCGATTTAGAGCGATTTACTCAAAGACACAAAAAGAATGAAGAGACTCAGCATTGGGGTGAAATTCTAGGAAATGTGCACTTTCTTCTCATCGTGTGGAATTATGTGCATCATCCCATCACTGAGAGCAAGACAGCTCCTCCCTGAGCCCATCACAACACTCAAGGTAGTCAGGTCTGAAGTCTCATGTAATCCACTTGAAGACGTGTGTTAAGTTACGTAGTGTTTGAAGCTCTCACAAAGACTAAATAACTAGAAAGGAGTTTATCAACCAGAGTCTCCACTGCTCTGCTTTCCCGTAGCACCACCAGCCCAAAGTCACCAAAGAAATCCAAAGTCTTTGTTGTTAAAGTCCCCGCCATGAGGTCAAAGAGGGCTCTGTCTCTTTGGTTCATAACATCTCTAGAATATGTAGTAACCAAATCAAAATGAAGACCTCCCTCCACTGTTAGAACAAACTGCAAGCAACGGTTTCTGAATCACCAGCTACATCAGTAAGGTGACAGAAAAATCATTTTACCATTGCAAAAATAGTGGGTTAGACTGAGGTTACTGAATCTTCAATTGGATCTAGAGAGTCTGTGACATGGCCTTAATGTGCAGTAGACAACAAAACATCCAACTAGATGATGCTGGAGGCACTCTACGTGCAAAGAGCATTGTGATGGTGCAATGGCATCAGGTCATTGTGCATTTTAACATCACAAGAACCATTCACTGCACCATAACTTTACTGCCATAACAGAACGTACTTTGCAATAAAATTTAAAAAAGAAAAAGATGGCTACTTTGAGGGTTTTGCTAAAGACATCTACTTTAAAATGTGTCGAGGCACTCTTGAAGCTCCGAAAGACACTGTTGGGTGAGAGTATTTTTTATGACAAGGCATGTGATGCTGGTGCTGAGGTTCCTTGCTCAGGGTCTGTATTTATCATTGTATCTGTGGATTGTCACACAGCCATGGTAAGAGATAGCTCTAGGCATGGCTGCCATCGCTGTAATGATTCCTGTAGCTGGATCGTAGCAAGTGATGGTGTCAGAAGCTTCTCCATATTCTCCTCTGCCACCCAGGATGTAAATCCTGCCATTACACACTGACATGCCACAGCTCTCCTGTGTGATAAATAAACACAAATTATATTAGTCATAGTGGAGTCTTGCATCCTAGCTGGGCTTCCTGAGTCACTGAACCCAATATAAGCATGTTATTGAGCCATGGTGAAAGGTCACTCCATGGAAGCCAACAAACTTCAATATAATAGAAGGGTATGGGAGGGATTATGTAGAGACTCATGTGGAGGATAAACACCAACACAAACTGTTTGGGCCAATGGCCTGTTTGCATTCTGTACTTCTTTGTAAATCTATGTCTGATTTCCCTACAATAATCCTGATATCATCAGCGAAACCTGCTAGAATTTACTAAGGCTGCCAGCACTGAGAACTCGATTAACAATTGTCGAAAAAGAGAAAGTAATACTGCTTGGAAGGAGTTACTGATGATATAAGGGAGCTGGATTAATATCAGTAGAGATAAAGGCGATAATGAAGCAGTTACTGAGGCCAACAATGCAATAATACAATTAGACATACAGTTAGTGACATAGGGTGCTAGCTGGAAAGTGTTTGTAATTGTGACAATTCAATAAAGTTGGATCAATAGAAATTCAGTGTGTCAGGAATACAGAATTATGACTGTGAGTAGGTATTAAACCCTGACAATGTGAAGGAACTAAATTAACTTCAGTAGAGATACAGTCAGGATGGAAGGCTTTACTAAGGAATGCAAGGGAACTGGAGTAACACCAATGGATGTTCAGAGTTATTGATGGTGAGCGAGAGATTCACATATTAGTATTTGTGTTTTATTTCTTTGCCGCTTTTATTGAACATGTCTGGGACAATGCATTACCTGTCTACTGAACGTAGTCACAACATGCATCCAGTAGTCCTCTGCTGGGTCGTAGCAGAATAAGCACTTGGTCAGACCGCCTGCCACATACACAAGATTGTTCAGAGCCACGGCAGTGATGCATCGCTTAGCAATAGGAATGCAGGAGCGAAGCTGCCAGAGATCAGTCACTGGATCATAACATTGAACCTGTAAAGGAGTAAACAAAGAGTGAGGATGAATGACGAAGAGTGATGATATATGATTACTGTAAGAAGCATGTACCATGTATAAAAGTGCTGCAATGAACAGATAAACTTATAGATGAGTACAGTAATAGACATACAAAAACAAGTATTACAATGAACACACAAAATACCAGCAATAAACATATACAATACTGTAATCAGATGACATGGTCCTGTAAAAACACTGGATTATCAGGACACTGTGATCGCCAGTTACTGGGTTACCAGGTCAGTGTGATCAACCGGTCAAAAGGTTATAAGGTGAGTGTGATCCCTAGTCACTGTGCTGTCAGGTGAGATTGTGAGCATTAAACACCCAAACAATGGTTCATTCAGTGCTCTGCAACTCTGTCAGCAACCTGGTGTCTGTGTTAAACCCACCTTATCAGAGCACGTGTTGTCATCAGGTCCTCCTCCGATCACAAAGAGTTTATTGACACAGCTGACGACAGCGGGGGAGCTCACCGCTTCTTTGAGTGGTTCAACCTCTGTCCAGCGGTTGGAGAACGAGTCATAGCACTCTACACTGCTCAGGCGGTTTTGACCATCATAACCCCCGACAGCGTAGACCTACGAGTGAGGCAAAGCAAAGCAAATCAGTCTTGAGAAGAGAATGACTTCTGTAACTTTTTCCATTGGACTGGAAATGTCCCATTGATGGTTACCCCTATGCCCTTTCCTGAAACATTGTTCCAGTTGGGATTCAGGATGGTGTAAACCCTCTCATCTTTTGCACAGAAGTATTGAGTCCTTGGGGGAGAGACAAAGTGATACAATATCCTTTTAGCCACATACAAAAAAAAACATTAGTTTTCTGCACTGTGCTTCCGGGTGGGGTTGTAAAATGAGGGAGCTCTCAGTGTGCTCTTGTGAAACACAACAGATGAGGACAACCTCGATACGGTGCAATGTGCTGAATCATGTCCTTACCTGAAGGCTATGGTCTCAGACAGGTCTAAAAGAAACAGCTGCAGAGTCTCCTTCTCTCTAGACTCGCTGGAACATGCAGCTTACTCGTTGCTCAGCGCATTGTCTAATTCCATTGGGTTAATGTTATTTAATATCCCCAAAATATCATATTTTATACGTAATATTTTAACGCTAACTTTACCGGAATGTTGCGCGAATATTTCCTGACCAGCTAAATAAATCACCGAGGGTCATTACATACAGCACGAAAGAAGACTCCTGATCCCAAAGCGAGCAACACAAAGAAAACGGACAACACAGTCCATGAAGGCAACAAGATATAACCCAACAAACACACAGGCCCAAGTAGACTTGTACTGACTCAATCATTCTAAGCTGCTGGTTTCGGCTTGTTCTGGACACATTTGCTTAAATATCAAGTGCAGATGGCATCAATGGGGTTACTTGCTTGAACACATCACTGAGGCCAGTTGCCTGGGAGGTGGTTTAACGCTTCGGGGTGCATTATCAATTGAATGCGTGAGCCGCCTCCTTGCTTCTTATCTGTTTATGTTTTGAAATCAAGGTTGTGTGTGAGCGGAATATCAGCCGTCACACTTACACTGTTGCCTTTGTTACTTGCCCTTTCAAAAACCTACAGGAGTGAACGAGTAGCAGGAACTCCCTCTTTGACATAACAACAGGGAGTCAATCACCTGCTTGGAGCTTTGTCATTGAAGCGCGACAGTCGTGAATGTATTTTGTTCGACAGTCGTCATAAACTGATACATAACCTTATTCCCCATGCATAATCATTTGAGGACACAATGAAATAATGAATAGTCATATGAATTAACAAGTCATTTGATTGGAGGTACTGGGGAATAAAATTGGAGATAACAAATACTGTGGCTAAAATCCCCATTAAAAATAAATAATAATAATCCTTAAATTTGGTATACCGCTTTTCACGTCAGGAGAACGTCCCAAAGCACCTCGTAGCATATAATAATAATCTTTACATTTTGCATTTGATATAGTGCTTTATCTTTGAGACGTCTCAAAGCGCTTCACAGAATATACTGTAAAGTGAATTGACTGTATATATTGTGGGCGAAATGGGTCACCAATTGCGCGCAGCAGTGTCCCATGAAGAGTTGTGGATTGAAGTGATCAATTTATTATTTTTTTCAAGGAATTATTACCCCCAGAAAAGCCACCTGCCAATCAACTAACAACCGGGTTCCTACTTACTGCTAGGTAAACAGAGGCATGTGGAGTAACAAAACTTGCCCAACATTTCACTCTGCCGGGAATTGAACCCAGGTCTCTCGCTTGCGAGGCAAGTGCTCTAACCACTGAGCTACAGGCTCCATATACTGCAAACCTCGTCCTCACCTTTAAGGCCCATCCATGGCCTTGCCCCCTCCTACCTCTCTGACCTGCTGACTCTCTCCGTTCATCAGGCTCCGGTCTGCTCCATGTCTCCCGCCCAACCCGCCCTACCATCGGTGGCCGGGCTTTCAGCCTCTCTGCCCCCACACTCTGGAACTCCATCCCATGGTCCCTTCCCCTCGCTTCCTCCCTCGCCTCCTTCAAGGCCGGTCTCAAGACCCTTCTCTTCGATGGTGCCTTTGGTCTCCCTCCCACCTCTCTGCCTTCCCTCACTCCTACCCCACCCCTCCCCCATGCTTGTACCCCGACATCTGACTGTTCAGCGCTTTGGGACGTCCTCCCGACGTGCTCTATAAATGTAATTTTTTTGTTGTTGTTGAAGTGGAGTCACTATATGTTTTGTGGGACAATGTGGTAGCCAGTTGCACACATCAATGTCCCACAAACAGCCATGGAGAGAGTGATCAATTTATTTGGGGGATTTTTGGCCAGGACACCGGGAGACACTCCCTCTCTTTTCCAACAGTGCCATGGAATCTTTAACGTCTATCTGTATTATACTGTATGATAAGGAGACGTTTCCCTACAAGCTTCAATCCTAGATTATGTTTCCCTTTGTAATATATCTGCCAAACTTAATAACTGGTGAAATGAGTTTACATTCCCCTTACATGTCGTAATATCGGAGTTATTATTGTCGGTCTCAACGTTCAATTGGCTGCAGTGGTAACCTATCAAGAGAGTCTGCGATGTACATGTTACCAGGTGTAGCAATCCTTCCTTGTGTTGGAGGATTTATCTTCAAACGTAATAATTATAGTCTTGTACTTGGAACTTAAATCATTAAAAGCGCAGAGATGAGCTGGAAACAACAGAGCTGGAAAAGCCAGTTCGTGAGAAAGGAGGCCAAGATTGCCCTCGGGTGACAAACGGTTACAAAACATCCATAAGGCCATCCACTTTCTATGTGTTGCATCACGCTGCTCTGTTAGTCAACTGTGTTCTTTGCACCTGCTACTCTTCAACAAGACAAAATGGGGCAGATATACACATGGGGAGATAGGACAGTGCTTGGGAGTCGGGGAAGAAAAGGGGGGGCTCTGGACACGTTGGACAATATTTCAATCACATCCAGGAAATCTCCGTTCACACTCCAGCACATCAAAATCTTATTTTAAGATTAGAAAAAGATTCCTTTTATTTCAAAGGATACAATACAGGGCATATACACCACCAAGGTCACAAACACTTTATACAGATACACCTGTGAGACTGTGAGGAACTAACACTTGGGCAATCTAACATCTTTTACTTTGTTAATTTGCCTTCACCTACAAAATGCACATTCATTAGACTTTACAGTGCTCAAATGCCTTCACTCTCTGGCACCTCACTACCTCTCCGACCTCCTCCCAATCCACCACCCGTGCCTCCGCTCGACTGGCACCAGCCTCCTGCTCGACTCTCGCACCCATTATCGAAAGTCGCGCTTTCAGCCACTACGCCCCGAAACAAAACTCTGGAACACTCTCCCTCAACCCCTGCACCCTGCCCTCTCTTTCCCCTATTTCAAGTCCCGCCTGAAAACCTTCCTCTTCAACTGTGCTTACAGCCCCAGACACCCTCACCCCCCCTCCCCGGCTCGGAATCAGCCTGAGACGCTACCCTGAGTGCAAGATGTTGTTGTTATACAGTACTATCTCGCAAAGTGCTTTGAGGCGTCCTGATGTGGAAGGCACTATACCAAATACCAGGATTATCATTATTACTTTCTAACAAGTGAGTCTCCAATATTTAGTTGGTTATATGAATAGTTTAGTTTATTGAATAATTTTCACTGTAAATGAAATATTCCATTAATTTCACTATATATTTTTTATTAAAAAATATGTTTCTTTATGCATTGCTTTACTTGTGTTAGGGTCAAGCAAATCTAAACTTTGAATGTTGCTTTAAAGTTCCAGTCACCTTGCCAAGCAGGACAGCCATCTTGTGACGCCATCGACCTTTGTTTAAGGAGGCCACTCGCATCCAGATGTTGAGTTGGGAGTTGTACATCCACACATCACGGTTGTTGATTCTGCCACCTGTCAAACAGAGGGGAAGGGAAGATAGTGAGCACCATGATTTAGTCTAACTTGAATGGGTGCCTGTGCCAGAGGCTCTCTGCTATTATACTATGTGACTCAATTTTTTTGTGCACTTTTTTGTGTTTCTTATTTCTGAGAATCTGAATTGAAATCTAGCTACAGTGTTGTTCCTTCACTGGTTTTCACTTTCTATCTTTCTATCACCAGATCCTGTCAGTCCTCTAACCTTATTATAGAACATGTATCTATGTAGCCTCTTGCAGTCTGCCACAATCATGGAGGAATGAGGGAGTGAGATGACAACACCGCCTATTCGCAGGATTTGGTGTCCCTGTTGTTTTCTCCTGATTTCAAAAAGTCTCCCTTGCTACACTAACCTAACCTGTACATCCATACCCTACCCTCCCTCCTGCTAACCTGTGCCTTCTTCCTCCAGCATTTCCCCTGCTCATGACCCTGAACTGCATAGACCTTTGTCATTATTGGTATCTAAAGATATGACATTTAAGTTCAGTCTGATTCTTGTTTCTCCATTCTACGTCTGAGCAGCGCTGTACATAATTGCCTATCTGAACCTGAGTTTTATTTTGCCAAATGGGGTGCAGGGAAAAGAAAAAAGGAATTTGCATGGAGCCATAATATATTTTTTAGACCATTTCCTGATTAACTTGTCTTTGCTTCAAGGCATCCAAACAATACCCACAGACCAGAAATTTCTAAATAAATACCAACACCTGGGGCATAAACAGTGCTACTGATGTGAGACTAAAAGGAAATAAGACACATTGGTAGGCAAAGTACTGATCTCTACAGATCTATTACCTTTTCTATTACCTTTTATCTGACCCTTTCTCCCTTTGTTTCCAGCCTTGCTAGTGCTGAACTATGGGACTTGGTAATTTGGGTTCTCAATTAAAAAAAAAGGATACTTTTAAAGTCACTGAAAATGAATCACCGTTTGTTATAAAGCTCAAGAAATCAACTAAAACCACTTATCCCTAAGAGATGTTTTGGACACTTCTTCTGTTTGTAAAAGTGCACTAGATATTTGACGCTGGCACTATATATGGCCCCTCAGCAAATTAGGATTAGGGTAGCAAAATTGTGCGAGATGATCTGATGCTTGGTGACACAGAGACATAGTGAGAGACAGACAAACAGGCAGAGGAGCCCGAGGAAGAGAACTAGAGCAAGCAGAGAAATAGACAAGAGTGAAATCAACCATAGAAAAAAATTGGCAAAAAAAGACACATAGAGATAAACATACAATGGAGATTCACAGCCAAATATTCACAAGTTTCTTTATATTTAAACTTACTATTCATTCCCTCAGGCTCTATCTGTTTCTTGGAAAAAAATGGTTCACTTAAAAAAAAAAATTACTTGACACACACTCCAATTAAACAGAGCGCTTTTTTTTCTAGGAAATTCTAGGAAATCCACAATGTGTGGTTATCACATGTCGCATAAGGTAAGCTGGCAAACAGGTAATATCAGCAGAGAATAGCTTGCACTCAGCAGCCAGGTAAGAGACTGCCATCATGAGACTGCTCACAATTATCTCATAAAGGGGCTCTTGTATTTCTTCAGCTCTTTATGTTTTACCGGATTTTAACCCAAAGATGAAATGATAGCACATTAACCCACACTCTATGCAACAAAAACAACACCTCAATGCTCCCTCTTACCTGACACAAGAATGTCATTCCTCAGGGCACATACTGCGTATTCAGATTTGGTAAATTCTGGGAGTTTGGCCAGCGACTTCCATTCACCAGTCATTGGGTCATAACATTCGGTGTAGGGCAAATTAAAGCCTCCTACCCGCTCACACCCACCTACCACCACAATAACCTCAGAATAACCGGTGGACCTGTGAATAAATGAGCACAATTACAAGATGAAAAATCCCACATTAATCAGAAAACTGTGCAGAAAAGCACCAGAAATCAATGGATTTTAAAACAAGATCAACTAGGAGCAGCGGAGTACAACAATAACAACAAATTGCATTTCTATAGCACCTTTCAGTCGCGAGGTGTTGTATAAGTGTTGAGAGCTATCACACTGCAGCCTGATTTTGAGTCTGATTGAAAATTTGTTAGGATAGGAAAGCTCTGCTGCTTCTGAGAGGGACCTCAGTGCAAGTACAGTGATCTGGATAATTTATCCACATAATGTGAATGCCAACAGTTAGAACAAAGAGCTGGAATTTAATCTGTGGATAATTTTAGATGGGTCAGGTGAGACCAAGGCAAATCTTTGGCAGTCCAAACTGCTCGTGCCTGCCATCCACCTGATAGACAAATATATGAAGATGTCAGGGGCATTTTCTCAGTGACCTGCAATGTGCAAAACTGAATGAAAAGCCAGGTCTGGCAGTCAGATGTTCCAATCTCTTTAACAGTACAAAACAGCTGATGTCCCATCAGTGCCCTTTTGCTATTTTCCTCCAGGCATTTCATCCAAATGAACGCGTAATTGTCAAGCACTTTGTGTTCAGCGTCAAACTTAGTTCAACCCTAAAACACCCTAAAACAGTATGGATCAACTGAAAATTTGAAAAAAAATTGTGGAACTCATTGCCAGAAGCCTTTGTTGAAATTGAAAGCAATGATGCATTTAAGAAGCTCAATGGATGCATGAATGAGAAGGGAAAAGAAGAGCATGGGAAAGGGATAGGGAGAGAGGATTTGGAGAGAAGATTTGGAGGGGTGGAGTATAAACACTGGTGAGGGCTAGTTAGGCCAAATGGCCTGTTTCATACTGTACAGTCAATGTAATTCTATGCAAATGAGCAGAAACAGACCAGGTTTGTTCCTCTTTGTGATAAGGATACAGCACTGTACTGCCCTGAGCAACATAGCGTCTTTGTAGGCAAACTCAGGTTCCACTCACCTGCGGGGCCTGGTTCTCGGTGACATCATCTCATTGCCGAGCACGTGGTACCTCCTTGCCTCGTGGAGGAGCTGGTAGCAGTCAGGGGAGTTCTGGATCAACTGGTCCCCTTCTACTGTCTGAACAAAGTAATTTGGATGCAGTAGAGGGAGCCTGACATGGGTCAATAGCTCTTTCATTATGGGCCTTCTACGCTCCATGTCGTGATAGATCCAGCGCATTACTGACTCAAACACGATCTCTTCTTTACTGACGGCCAATTCATCCCTGCAGACATAGTCGATGAGCTCATCCTTCTCCATTTCCAGGAACTCCTCATGCTGAGAAACATCTGGAAATACCTGCAGGGCATAGCTCTTGCACTTGGACTGAAGCACCTTCAATGAGTGAGTGTCCGCAAACTTCTGGATGCCAAGGCAATTGCATGGGTCAAGTTGCTCCTCCAGGAACTTGGCACATGCATCTCGGATGGCACTGATCTGGAACAAGCTGGAGGTCTCAAAGAGGTACTGCACGTTGTCCGTGGTGATCTTCACCTTCCCGGTGTAGACGTACTGCAAGAACTGATCCATGGCGTCGGCAAAGATCCCGTTGATCTCCACCAGCATCTCTCTGCTCTCACGGTGGTCATTGCAGAACATAGCCCTGAAGTAGCTACTGCAGGACGAGAGGACAGCGCGGTGGCAGGGGAACTCCCGACCTTCCACGCAGATAACCACATCAGTGAAGAGACGGCTGTCTCGGAATTCATTGAGGATCTGTAGGATGCTCTCCGCGTGGGAGGAGCCCGATGAGAAGTCAAAAATATCTTGGTTCACAGCCAGCTTCTGGTCCACTTCAAAGACCTTGCGCTTGGTCACTGGCGAGTCACGGAAGCGACTGTCATCTCTGTTCATACGTCGTCCCAGAATCAGCACCATGGCTGGTGCTCCTGCTCACCACAACTTCTCAGCAAGGAGCTTGTTACCCTGCGATCAGACACAACACATTCTATTAACATTTCCAAATGAAGCAAAGATTGTGGGATATGCAGCATCAAGGTTGCACTATATACAGAGAATAATACTTCTGATCTCTATAATTCACTGGAATATACAGTAGTGTACTTCTCATTCTTACTCTACGTTGGAGCAGTGAAATCAGGCATAAAGAGGTAATATACTACGTGTTCTGTGTTGCACACTGAGCAGTATAAAAGAGTAACATACTGTACACAGGGAGTGTTACAGGAGTGCAAGATGAAAACAAGTTCTTATTGTGTCACAGTGTGATCAGAATCAGCTGTTGGTTTGCGTATAAATGCTAAAGTTATTTATTAGTGTCCTGACACAAGGATTGGGTCCTTTGAGTATAACCTTCCAGCTTCCATATCTTTCCAAGATTTAATCTCTGCAAACAGGTTTTTAACTGCAGTGATACTGTGTGGTTATTCACTGATAAGAATATCAACAAAGATGAAAGTATCAAAGCACACAAGAGAGCCCTCAGCTTCAGTTACGTGCAGTCAGTCTGGTTTGCTGACATACAGTGGCAGAAGGAAGCTGTGTGGGTTTAATTGTTGTCCTGATTTTAGGTGCTCTGCTCTAGGTTTTCTTTCTTAACCCTTTCAAATCCTGAATCATAGCTTACATTTTAGAACATGCAGCACTCCCTCTGCACTTTCAAGTACTCCAAGGTCAGCGCAGCCCAGCCAGGACACAGATAATGCTCTCTGTACAAGAAACAGTTAATTTAATTTTTTAAATATTACCTTAGCTGTTACCTCAAAAATACAAGCCATTATTTATCAAAACAACCATATCCTCAACTAGATGAATAGTGAGCAGTTCACTGCGATTCCTATTATATATTCAGAAACAAACATGAGCAAGCCATACAGTTGCTTTGAATGCTGAGGTATTGCACCATGTATTATATGTGTCCTTCAGCACTGTTAGACAGCTGTGTGGGTGGACTCAGATCACAGCCTCCAATCAGACACGGGTCTGTGGGTTGAATCACACCCAGATATGACCAATTGATAGTTTTGGTGTACACAAGATTGTCAGAACCAGCTTTATATAACTTTCCTTGGAATTAAGAAGGCGGGAGCCTGATTGCATCATTGCACTGGGACACAAGTTACCCCATCTGTGAGTAATACATGTTTACTTTAAACACATTTCTAATTAAATTGTCAGAAAAAAAACACAAAAACATTGCACCATAGAGTATATGAATGCTAACAGGACAACAACTTGTTCTTATAGACTGTGCAACCACAACTTGCATTTATATAGCGCCCTTCACGCAGGGTATCATATATAGCATTGTCTACTTGGAGGACGTCTTGAATCTCTTTACAATGAAAAGTTTGATTGATGAGTGAGATGGGAAAGGGGGCGGGGGTGGTGGGGGGGTGGTGCAAGGTGACCGAAAGCTTACTCAGATATGTAGATTTACAGAAGACTATTGGAGATTGGTGGAGAGAATGGAACATGAAGAATTTTGGGTGGGAGTTCCAGTGACTCACAGCTTGACCACATTTGGTAGTTTGGGGGTGGGGGCGTGGGAGGAGGGGGCAGAGTTTGCAGAACAAAGTGGGACAGAGTGGGTGCTTCAGTCCTTTGCAGAATTAGGATGCTGCATGGAGGGATTTGATGATCAGTTTAAGGATCTAGAAATCAATTCCTCTGGCAACTGGGAGACAATGCACCTTAATAATAATAATCCTTGCATTCGACCTTGGTGAGGGTAGGGTTGTGCACGCAGCCTAGTGCAGGTGAGTACCCAGAGATGAGCTGCTAATTGGGCCAGTTTTACCCTACAACCAAATGGGCAGAAAGCCAAATGGGCAGCCTGTTTTAACACGAGAGTTCCTGTTCCTGAAGAAACTTCTACATTTTGTGTGCCACGTGTTTGCATATGCCTTTGTGTAAATAATAGCCCACGTGATACCCGGATGTACTGTAAAACTTGGTGTGTACATGTAATGTCTCTGCGTTTCTACACAGGTGTGAATTGTGCACGAGGAGCATTTGCTTTTTAATCAATCAATCAAAATAAAAATCTGCGAGTAATTTGTGATTCTTTCAGTCTGCTTTGGCACTGGAATTTACGAAACGCTTCAATCAATTGCAATAACCACTTTAGGTAAGTGTATATGATCTCGCCTTCTCTCAAACACGTACAGTATTTACCTACCATCCCATCTATAAACAGTACTGCACCTTCTGCGCACGGCTACACAGAACCGTGCCTGAGGAGCCAGAGCAGCAACAACAACTTGCATTTACATATTGTTCTTGGTCCAGGATAGTGTCTCAGAGCCCTGAACAGTGAGGACAGAGACCGAACCATCCCTAACAATGTGCCAGTGGGACCCAGGCTGCGGGCGATGCCACCCAACCCGCTGTAGTTTACAGAATCAATCGCTGAAATCCGTCCTCAGCGTTTTTAAATAATCCAAGTCCCCAACAAGTGATACAGTGGTTAATTTCAGCAGTAATTAGAGCGAATCTCGGGATCATAACCACAAGGCGCCTGAAATTGCAACACTGCCTCAGCATTCGCCGAGAGATCACTGAGGTCCAGTCACTTTTGATCAGCACGGTGACTTGAGTCTCAGTGCGGGAGCCAGCAGCAGCCAGTACATTATCACCGATTAAAATCCATCTTACTGACGTTCACGCATGTTACCACATCAGCTGCTCTCACAGTAAACAATGTAACTCGGGATCAGCTGTGAAATGAACCAAAACAGACCATTTGCTGGGAAGCTAAAGCTCGCCCTCTCCCGATCTGACAAAGTACTGAACTCTTGTCAAACAATAACAACTAGCATTTATGGGTTAATGCATTATTATTATTGTTATTACTATTATTCAGTTTAACCTGTCTGGTTGGAGGGAGCAATGCTAAGCAAAAAGCTCGCCTCCCCTCCCGAATGCCCAATCGTTACCCGAGCAAATGGTACAACGTGTCATTTATTCTCCTTTTTGATCGGTCTTTGTTTTTTGGAAACTTCCTTAAAGACGCCGACGTAAACAAAGAGGATCACATGGCAGAACAACACACAACAACAACAACAACAACACACACGCACACACAAAAAAAAATCCCACACGCAGCTCAAACAACACACGTTTATGGGTTTAAACATCCAAAGAAAAGCAGCAGCTTCTCCAGAAATAAAAATAATGCACCAAAACACGTTCGCGCTCTCTGGGTGGAGGTCAGAGCCCAGTTTGGAATAATTGGGAATATTGAGGATTTTATTACCCCCCAAAGGAGCACATAATCAGATCTGATTATTTTTCCCCCACAACTAAACTCCAGATCCAGTGCTGGATGTCAACGTACGCACTTTTAAATAGGAGATTAGATAACAACTGCACTTCCACACACACAACACACACACAGACAACATACAACACACAACACACACACAGACAACATACAACACACACACAGACAACACACAACGCAGAACACACACACAGACAACACACAACACACACACAGACAACACACACACAGACAACATACAACACACAACACACACAGACAACACACACACAGACAACATACAACACACAACACACACAGACAACACACAACACACACAAAAACAAGCGGAGAGTGACAGCTTTTGCATCATTTCGATTCAAACAAAAAGCCTTCAGATGAAGCAATGATCCCCGACCCCATCCGAACAACATCGACCATCCGCATCCCCCCCCCACCCCCCAACCTCCAACCCCCCAACACCCCACTCCCCCCCCCACCCCCCCCACCCCCCCCCCCAACCCCCCCCCACTCCCCCACCCCCAACCCCCCCCCCCCCCCCCCCCCCCCCCCACTCCCCCCCAACCCAACCCCCACTCCCCCAACACCCCACTCCCCCCCCACTCCCCACCCCCCCCCCCCCAACCCCCACTCCCCCAAACCCCCACCCCCCCCCCCCCCACCCCCCCACCGTTGCAAACAGTTGCAAAGTTTTTTTTCTTCAACAGTCGGTTCACAATTCCCAAAAGGGGTACTGTCTGAAACAGATCCAAATAAGTGCATCGACGGAGTCATTCTTACCGAAAGGGGGAAAGAGAAGCAGCGGCCGATGTGTTACCTCTGATGCGTTGTTTCGTCTCCCACTGCGCGATCGCTGCGCTGTGTGTGTGTGTGTGACTGCAGCGAGTGGTCCGCTCTCTCTCTCTCTCTCTCTCACTCACTCACTCACTCTCTCACTCACTCACTCACTCACTCACATCCCCTGTGTCTGTCTGTCTGTCTGAAGCTAAACAAAGAGCCTCAACATCAGCATCACACGCACATCGCATCACCGACCCATCCCCGTGCATTCTGGACTATGTAGTCAGTGCCTCCTCCTTGGGGAGGGACACAGACTAGAAAGGGTTCCTTTTTTTTTTGGTCAACCCTTCCAACCCCCCCACCCCCCCCCCCCCCCCCCATCCCCACCCGCTCCCCACTATCAGGTATCCGGAAATCCATCACCCCGCAGAACAGTGTGCCCGGGCCGGGCCGGGCCGGCAGCTCTTCCCCCCCCGTTTGGCCGCCCGCACGCGGAAATTCCTGTTTCTGGAATGGCATGTGCCACCGTTTCCCCCCCCCCCCCCCCCCCCCGCCCGCTTTGGCTGGAGGAAAGGAGACCCAGGTCCATCCCAGTTTGCCTTCCGCCATCCTGGCGCGTGCTCGCGTGCGCACGTCCTGGCCCGAAAGTGTATGCCGCATCCTGAGATATTATTTCCCAGCAGGAATCTGTCTAATTTGTTCTTGAAGGAATCAATACTTTGCGCTTCTGCTCTCTCCCCTGTGGGACACTAAATGCAGAGAACATTAGGTGCACTAAAAGCATTGTCTGCGAAGCGTCCTGCTGCTTATCCAGCTGTAGTCCTACCCTTACTCCACACAGAGCCTAATAATAATCCCTCCAAAAACCAAAAACAATAATAAATTGGTCATTTTCAATCTACGACTGTTTGTGGGACATTGCTGTGCGCAATTGGCTGCCGCGTTCGCCCACAAATATACAGTCAATTCACTTTACAGTGTGTTCTGTGAAGCGCTTTGGGACGTCCTCCCGACGTGAAAAGCGCTATATCAAATGCAAGGATTATTATTATTATTATTACGTTAGGGCTTTGGCTTGCAGGATTGCCAGGAGCTAAGCAGGAAAATCCCTCCCTCTTAATGACCGACCTGCCCTTCCCAGCCAATGAGCCCGGCTGACTGGTCTATCATCAGCAGTGTCTTTGAGTGCACAGAGTCACAGAGGATTGACCTGATTCCGACATTCCCCTCACCAAGCAAGTCACCTTGGAGTCGATTCAGCTCCAAAGAGCCCATGGGCACTTCTCCCCAAACAATAATCTTCTGGCTTATTAGGCATGAGTGCTACCAACTGAGTCAGGCTGAGTCCACAGGGTTTATCTTTTCCATTCTGAAAACTGTTGACCTGTATGACAAATATCTATCATGTCGACACACTCTGGTGGTGCTTCGGAGATGTACAAGATAGCAAGTTGCTGTGAGAATGGTACAGCAGTCACTAGCTCTTGATATCACCTTGCAGAGACACTATAGCATAGGAGGTATGCAAAATAGGGAAGAGAGAGAATCTGCTTCGGGGAACTGCTGTCACACTAGTCAGTAAGATTAGTTCATAACAACTCAGCAACAGTAATTACGAAACAATACCATAGCTCTGCCCTGTCTTACATCAATATAAAATGCTCACACTTTATATGGTTCACAACAAGCCCAAAACAATAGACTTAATCAGTGCGTGCCTGCACTGATGTATCAGAGACCCATTTTGTTGCTCAGTATTAGCCCAGTATGGTTACATGCTCACCTAATGCTGCTGCAAGGAATTAACCCAAGCTCCCAGTCAGTATGGATTGTTCAAAAAGGGATCAGTGTGACCGAGTTCATGGCTAATCTTTTCTAAGGGTAAAGCAAGAACTCACAAGCACGAAATATCAGGCATCACCTGTAATACCCAATGTCAAAGATTTCTCCAGATGTCGATTTCACTTGTCAGATCAGAAGGATGATACCAGCACAGGCTGGTTAAATTGGCAGTGACAGAGACTCACTTACCTGCCCTTTCTACCGGACACAGTGCATGGTGTGTGAATGGTGAACAGAGCAGAAGATTGGTCGAATGGCCTCCGTCTGTGTTGTAATATTCTATGATTCTATAAGAGCAGCAAAAATAAAATAGCTCACAAATGATAAAACCAACATTATAGTAATAATCCTTGCATTTGGTTGAGCGCCTTTCATGTCCGGAGGATGTCTCAAAGTGCTTCACAGGATTAACTGCGGAGTGACTGTATTTGTAGGTGAACGTGGCAGCTAATTTGCACACAATAATGTCTCACAAACAGCCTTGAAGTGAATGACAATTACCCAATCAAATGACTGGTGAGGAAAGTGTACAGTTTGTTCTGCGCTGGATTTCCATGCTACCTTCCAACTGCCTTGCTCAACTCATGTGTTTCTTATGACTTTGTGTTATGAATGCTTAGCTTTCTAACTCTATTCTGAGATGAACGTGGAAAACTTTTTCGTATTCTACAAAATTTCACAATGTGTTCATGGCAGATGGGCTTCCACGTTGTGCATTGCTGTGTGCAAATTGGCTGCCATATTCGCCTTCGAAGTTCAGCCCTACACTTTACAATAAATTCAATAAAGCACTTTGAGACATCCTGAAGTGAAATGCGCTATATCAGAAGAGAGGAGTATTATTAATTACAGTACTTGGTGGTTTTAAATTGTTAAATGCTTCCCAATCCTCTAGGCCGACTTGTTCTTTTTAATCCTATGTTAAGTCTTCTGCTTCCCAAATGCTTTATTTCTGATTATGGGGAAAAGGCAGGAGAATGGGCTAAACAGATCACTTTTTAGAGAGCCAGCGCAGGTAGAGGGTTGAATTGGCTCCTTCTGTGGCTGTGCATTGCTATGGTTCTCTAACCAAAGGACTCACCTGAAACCATTTTCTTTCTTTCTGTCTCCAGCATTTTCTGCTTTTATTATTACATTCACAATTTTTCATTCTATCAATAGTAAGAACACTGCCAATTGAGCTAAGCCTCTCCTTCTGCTAGAACCAAGTTGTCACATTCCAGTGTCATATGCCACTTTTACATTATCACATTGTTTATAATAATAATAATAATAATCCTTGCATTTGATTTAGCGCTTTTCACGTCGGGAGGACGTCCCAAAGCGCTTCACAGAATATACTGTAAAGTGAATTAACTGTATATTTGTGGGCGAACGCGGCAGCCAATTGTGCACAGCAATGTCCCACAAACAGTCACAGATTGAAAATGACCAATTTATTATTGTTTTTTTTGAGGGATTATTATTAGGCGTGTGAGTAAGGAAACTTGCCCAAGGTTTCGCCCTCTGCCTGGAATTGAACTCAGGTCTCTCACTTGCAAAGCGAGTGCTCTAACCACTGAGCTACAGGACTCCACTTGTTTGACCGTAAATACATTGAAATGAATATTTCTACGAATGCTGCTCCCTCAATGTCCCTGTCTTCTGACACTGAGCCCCTGCCCAACGCACAGATAGAAGGAAGTAGTAGATTTCCTGAGATTTCCCTTATAAATTTCGGGAAGAGAACAGGTTGAAGGTTATGCTTTTGCTATTGTTTCTTCTGGAAAAGGCAGGATGAGCGGGAGAGAGATGTAGCTGCAGCTCCCAGAGTGAGACAGGATATTCAGCAGACTGTCTTAACAATTCTACAAGAAAGCAATCCAACAGGGTCCCATAAGTACACCAGAGTGCAGAGGGGTTAAGGCAAACATCACTGACGTAGAGGGAGAAGAATAACTGCAAGATCTGGACAACAGCCACCTTTAGTACTGGATAAGACAGTGAATTGGAAAAGTACAAGTGAGCCAGTCAGGGATTGGAAGTGAATCAGACTAAGAAAAGATAGAGTCACTTTGGTCACTTAAGTGAGGTACTCGAGGTGGTCAGAATTTGTAGAACCAAATCCCAACATCATCATGAGAGAAGGAGAATAAAATTGATGGGGAGAAAAAATGGTGTAAGTATTGGATTCTTTCAAGCAGCTGACCTCCCCCTATTCTGCTATTCTCCCAATTATATTTAGTGGGACTCCACTTCAATCTATAACACATAGTTAATAAAAGAGAAACTAAATATATGGGGGGAGTTAATGTCTCGGTGCTTGCACCACTCTTCTAATTGAGGAATATCTTCTCAGACGATTTTACAGTCTTAACCATTAATTAGCGGCATGTTGCCACATTCCTGTCTTTTACACAATCCATCAAGAGACAAGATGTTTGTGCAGTGACTGAATCATTTACACGTTTCACACAATTGAACACTGCAGCCAAAGTTGGCAAAGGTTGTGTAGCAGCTGCCTTGATGGTTCAGAGGGTAAATGTCACACATGCTGGAAAAACTTGCGATCTATCTTATAGATAGATAAATAAATAATCATATAAATAGGCATTTATCTGTTTACTGCAGAGACAAAGGAGAGAGTTGTGACATAGGGCTGATTTTCTTCAGGCAATAATAATCCTTGCATTTGATATAGAGCCTTAATACATCTTCGAGACATCTCAAAGCACTTCACCGAATACACTGTAAAGCAAATTCACTGGATATTTTGTGGATGAAACGCAGCAGACAATTGCACACAACAATGTCCCACAAACAGTCGTGGATTGAGTGACCAAATTATTATTTCTTTTAAAAAAAATTATATTTTATTTTTGAAGAGATTATTACCCCCAGAAAAGCAATCAGCAAATTGACTAACAACTGGGTTCCTACTTACTGTTAGGTAAACAGAGGCACATGGAATAGGAAAACTTGCCTAAGCTTTCGCCCTCCGGGGAATCGAACCCAGGTCCTCTCGCTTGTGAGGCGAGGGCTCTAACCAATATAGGATTCCTCAAAGTAAGGAGGAGAAATATCAACCATAGTGTTTCAGTGTGCACTATTGTACCATATACATGTGTGACCATTAGCTGAGGTAAGAATCGTACAATGCTCAGTGCTCCCTCACCTTCATTCTGGCCCTGTGTGGGGCACATGTTTTATAACGTTAAAGTGACTTGAAAGGCGCTATACCAAATGTAAGGATTATTATTATTACTGTAATCAATAACATGAAAGGAGATACGTTGCTATTTTATTAGACCCACTAAAGTATACAAAATACACGGAACTGGTGACTGGAAAAACACGAGAAAGTACAGCTCTTCCTGTTCTGCATCTGCAGTCCCTGATAAGAAGGGACCCATGAACAGGAAATCCGTTAAGTGCAGCATTGCAATGTAGAAACCTCAGTCTCCAGTACAGTCAGAGGAGCAGTCCGATAGCATGCAATATGGGAGACGTGGTGGAAAGCAGCTCTGACCAGTCCAACAATCCTCTGGCCGACAAATGTCCTCAGGACGTCGGTGCACTGATCGAGAGCTCATGTGACGGGAGAATGAAGTTTGATGACAGCGGGCTGTCTTCCATTCTCCAGAGTGGTTTGGACAGCCTGCGGCTCGAGAAGTCCCTGACAGATGTTGTGCTGTGTGTGGATGGCAGTGAGTTCTTTTGTCACAGGGTGGTACTGGCAGCTGCCAGCAGCTACTTCAGGTAAGAAGAGGAAGCTTCCTGTGGGAATAGGCAAGCGGTGGGGACATTTGATTCCACTACCAGGTTACGGGATAGCGCTTGCCTCCAGTTGTGATACTGCAATGTTTCTTTAAGAACATGGAAAATGGAATTTAAAACCAATTGTTCCTGTGAGCTTCTCTCACTAGGTAGGTTCGCTAACAATGGGCAACTGCTGTTTGGTGATTGAAAAATAGTCTTTAGTCCTTAGTCTAATTGAATTCAATTTCAAACTGATCTCAAGTACTGGTTCCAAGCAATTGGCACATTTCACCTCAGATATCCAGTCCCAAATTGACACTGTTGTGTAATTGTTCAGTGTAGTTGTGTCTCTGAGGCTCACAAGGGTTTAAAAGTTATTTCCACATTGGTTGGTTCGAGCTGCATTTATGCTTGTTTGTTTGGCCTGGAAATTGAGATGTAGCATTTGAATTTTAAAACTAAATGAAACTTGATTTTGCATGTTCTTTACACAACATATGATATATCTTTAAAAATCTATTGTATTTGCCATGTGAAGCATATTACTGTTAAATCTAAAGTGAACAATTCATTGCGATTTCATGCAATCTATAGTGTGCAGTTCCTGTTGTGTCCATTTGATATTGTACAATATGGTTCTATGAATGTTTAGTGGTAAAAGTAGTTTCTAGCAATGTATAGCACATGGTATAGTTTTGTGCATTGTATAGTATATGGTGTAGCTACATTATAGTTATATAAATATAATATAATATATAGTGCTACTTCTGCCAAAAACATTGTTGACAAGGTTTGCACGATAATAACATTGTACTCTACTTTATTACTACCATTGGTACTTAGATAGATTCTGGTTTAAAAATGTTCTAAATTTTTACATATTTTAACATTGATAACAAGGTAAGATAGATGAGGCCAGTCCTGTGTTGAGCCTATGGATGCCCTGAGTCTCTCAGACACAAGCACACCTACTTGTTTCCCTCAAGCTCAAGGTTAATGATTTATAATGTACTTCCAGCACTGTGCTACCTCCCAAGCTTTGCTGTGACATCTTAGAGTGGGATTGGTGTCTTCTGTCTGTGTTGTCTTAGACAGGCCAGATGCCAGGAACTGTGTGAGACAGATTATAAACACGCTTAATAATGTGGAACTATTTGTAGCAGTGATGGGTACCAAAACAAGTTTGACAAAATGAATGAATATCACTTCCTACAGGTGATATTTGATGGCTTTGACCTCTTTGAGTAACGTTACTATTTTAGTGCCAATTTGTGTTGAATTAAGTGGCTATTTTAAACCTGTTGATTTATACCCACTGTGCTAACTTGCTCAATCACCCAGTCTCAGAACTGAGAGATAATATCTACCATATTGTGTCAACAATTCCAGAAATGAAAGGACAGAATCTAACTGACTATTTTACTCATTCTCTGCAGATATGTTAGTCTCCTGATAGATTAAACACAGTCAATGTTCCGTTATTGCAGGTCTTACTTGCCATGCACTATTAAAGAGGAAGGAAATTTGAAGAAGGGGTGAAATAGCTGAGTATTCTATGTCACTGTGTGCATTGTAGATGTTACACAATGATGAGCATGTAGAAATGCTGCTTGTTTACACTGAAATGTACTGAAGTCAGATATTGCTTGTGACAATGAAGCCATATCCTGTTTGTGCAACTGTCTAAACGAATGAGGGTGTGATAGTAGGTGGGGAGATAAAAACGAAACAAGATGGTCCACAAAGCATCTGAAGAGGAGTAAATCGATTTGACTTGATCGGCCTAGTCCATTATTGATTTATTTTTGATATACAGTATATATAATACATTTTTAAAAAAAATCAGGTCAGAAGTCTCATTTAATTTTTTCATCAGTGTCACATATTGTACTTCTGTACACATTGTACATGTTGAGATGTATCGAAGACACAGTAAGGCGCTATATCAAAATGCAATAATTATTATTATATGAATTGCAATAGTAATGTCACATGATTCCAGATCCTGAGATTTAGTGCAAACGTTACACATTGGTGCAAGAGGGAGTCTGCGCTATGTAATTAATTGATGCAACATGTAGGAATAGCGCAGTAACTTTTTAACCACAGTATGTCAGAGGTAGGTTACATGGAGGATCAAATAAGATGCATACATCGAGGGATAATGCTTGAATTGCGAACTTTCCCACAGTATATTCCCAGCTCTGAGTTCATGCAGCAACATATCCTCTACATTTGTAATACTAAAAAACTCATGTCAGGGCCAAAGCCAACAGTGCTGGCCACAAACAAAGTGATAAGAATAAGGGAGAGATAAATTATGAGGCAGTGTTTGGCAATATCAAGATTGGGTTTTAAACATCTCTGGAATGTAGGGAGGAAAAACTGAGGATGTAAGGAGTTCCCAATAAATAGAGTAAGTGACTGTTTGCTGCATCTTGAGTACAAGACAATAAGGGTCCGAGAAGAAGGAAAGGTATTTGGGTCCATCCAGATAGATCATGGTGATTTTGTTCCAGTCCTGTGCCTTCCAATGCTCCAATGGAGTCCTGTAGCTCAGTGGTTAGAGCACTCACTTTGCAAGTGAGAGACCTGAGTTCAATTCCAGGCAGAGGGCGAAACCTTGGGCAAGTTTCCTTACTCTACACGCCTAATAATAATCCCTCCAAAAACCAAAAGCAATAATTAAATTGGTCATTTTCAATCTACGACTGCTTGTGGGACATTGCTGTGCGCAATTGGCTGCCGCGTTTGCCCACAAATATAGAGTCAATTCACTTTACAGTGTGTTCTGTGAAGCGCTTTGGGACGTCCTCCCGACGTGAAAAGCGCTATATCAAATGTAAGGATAAAAAAAATCATATCCTTTAATTTTCACCAGGCTCTATTTTGGGTTGGAGCAAGTCTATGACAACACAGATTGTATCTGGTCATAATGCTAGCCAACTGCTATATTGTCTAGGGTCTGTGTGGCCATGATGGTTATATGGGGTACGTCATGGTGTTTCTCACATATGAGCTTGCTTTGACTGCTAGGGCAATGTTTTGCAATGACCTCAAGGAGAAGCATGAAGAGAAGATAACAATTAAAGGAGTGGATGCAGATATCATGCAAATTCTATTGGATTATACCTACACCAGCAAAGTCTACATCACTAAACAGAACGTACAGAGAATCTTGGAAGCTGCTAGCCTCTTTCAGGTCAGTACAAACCAACTGAGCTCCCTGTGTACCAAGTAATGTACATAAATACTCTGTTGTGTTACAGCCTGGTTTCTGCAGCACTCCACACACTCTAATGCAGTAACTCTCCCTCACAACCATAAGAGACCTACTCACACTGGGCACCTTCTGTAAATGCCAGGTTGGTCCAATGCTCTGTGAGAGTCATTGTGTCCTTTCTGGTCATGATGATCTTGAGCTGGTGCTGACTCTTGAGTTGATAATCCTTTGTCCTGTGATAAAATTCTCAGCCTTCACTTGCAACTAGTGCATAGTGACTGGGCTGGGGACTCGGGTGAAGTAGCCTGAGTGTGTGGGACACATTCTAGCATCCTGAGACACCCAGTGTACATTTTTCCCCTAAATCAAGTTCTTTAAAACATGCTAGTTACCCCCATGTGAAAATCCTGTCTTGTTCCTTGACAGTTCCTGCGCATGGTTGATGCTTGTGCCAATTTCCTGACCGAAGCCCTCCATCCGGATAACTGTGTGGGCATCCTCAGACTGGCGGACGCTCACTCCCTGGAGTCGCTCAAGAAGCGGGTCGAGATCTACATCATCCAGAACTTCCCCCAGGTGCTGACCCATGAGGAGTTCCTGGAATTACCAGTGGATATCTTGTCAGATATTATTCAAAGCGATGAACTTTATGTCACAGAGGAGGAGCAGGTGTTTGAGACAGTGATGCGCTGGGTGCATTTCCGAGAGTCTGAGAGGCAGCAGCAGCTCTCCCAGGTCTTAAAGCACATTCGCTTCCCACTCCTGGACCCTTGGTACTTTGTTGAAAGTGTGGAGAGCAATGAATTCATTCGGGAAAATCCAGATGTGTTCCATCTCTTACAAGAAGCACGGATGTACCATCTTTCAGGCAATGAGGTTGGACTTATTTTGTTTGTTTAATGGTGTAAAGCTATTTCAGACAGTATTATTTTGTTACAATGTGGTCTGGATTTTACAAACATACATCGGGTTTAAAAGTCTCATATTTTCAGTCAACTGATGCACAGAATAATATAAAAGTGTTTGCCTCACTTGGGCACTAAATAGGGAGAATGTGCTTGACAAATGTGCTTACAGAAACAGTTTGCAGTTTCTCAAGTGTATAGTCTCTCCCAGGAAACTCATGCTGATTGTCTATATTCTCGAGATCACAGGTGCAGTTTAACATAATCCAAATTATACCTTGGGTCTTTGTAAATGTCCTATTGCATGTTGATGCAGCACCATCTGATCCGTTAGGGCATTAACTTACTAGGTTATCTGGAGCCAGTAGGGACATTAGATGTTTCTGACCCATGCGACATGACTCCTTCAAATCTCATTGATGCAGAGGTGATCAGTGTCTTGGAAAAATGCAGTCCTTTCTGCTTGCACTTTTGGAATAACTATGTAGAGTTGACTTGGTTCAATTCTCCCTTCATCAAGCATTTTACTTTGGAGCTAACTCCACCTTAGAGACCCCAGCTATTTCTTCTCCAAGAAGTACAGTCACAAGATGATCATTAGACATACATACACAGACAGAGACACACACACACACCTGATAATAATCCCTCCAAAATAAAACAATAATAAATTGGTCATTTTCAACCCACAATTGTTTGTGGGACATTGCTGTGCGCAATTGGCTGCCGCGTTTCGCCCACAAATATACAGTCAATTAACTTTACAGTCTATTCTGTGAAGCGCTTTGAGACGTCGAGAAGACGTGAAAAGCGCTATATCAAATGCAAGGATTATTATTATTATCATTAGACTCTGGTAAGTATGAGGTGGACCTCTCACTAAATGTACATTGAGTAGAAGGAATTTTATAATGTTTGGTCAACTGTGCCTTCATTCCGAGCTCTTTGAGCTACTAAAGTGTATCTCATGAGGATGTGCTTCACTTCACATAAGCAACACCTGTGCATTGGGGTTGTGACCCTGTGGATATGGGTGAGGAAACAACAAATCTTATGACATCACAGGAGAGAGAAACTGAACCAGGAGGTGAAAGCAGAAGCAGGATAGGAGACTGGACAAGGGAAGTGAAAATGAGAAGTGAAAGGAGAGGTGCTGGTTCTTTTAGAATAATGTATATGCATAGTGTGCATAGTGTGCATAATTCCTTTTATTTGTATGGAACATTTACTTTTAACAGAGCGCCTTCCATTAATGGAGTTGTAATCCATGGCTATTTTTCCTTTCTTCTTTCTCTTCTCTAGTCACAAAATCCAGGCATTTTAGCAGTGTTATGTGAGGCCAGTGAGTTGGAGGCCAGCCTATGACTCTAACATGGCAGAATACCCACCCTACCACCCTGGTTATCCCATCACAGCAACATGCCATTCTAAAATGAACCCCACATCTTATCTTCTCCACCATACCTTACAGCTGTTTATTACACTTTTCCTATGCAAAGAAGTGCTTCATGTTTGCCTACAACACACACAGTCATTGAAATTGACAGTATGTTCTTTGAAGTATTTGATTCATCCTCCTGACACAAAAGGCGCTATATGAAATGTAAAAATCATTTTTATTATGTTGTCTGAACTAAAATTGCCCTTCACATCCCAAACCTATGCCGTCTTGCCTGTTGCATTTGGGTATCTAAAACTACTGTTCTGGGTTTACTTTCTCTATTCCATTCAGTATCATGACTACCACTATGAGGTGCTCTCGCAGTTGGCTCTTTCCATGTCTAACAAGTCATAGCTTATGCAGTCATCCATCATAGCTCATCACTCTAACACTGGCGATTGATTTTCTTAGATCATTTCAGAAAGGACAAAACCCAGGATACAGGAGTTCCAGTCCGAGGTCTTCATGATAATCGGCGGCTGTACCAAGGATGAGAAATTTGTGTCGGAGGTGACCTGCCTGGACCCGCTCCGGCGTAGCCGCCTGGAGGTGGCAAAGTTGCCGATCACAGAGCAGGAAATGGAGAGCGAGAACAGGAAATGGGTGGAATTTGCTTGCATCACTTTTCGTAACGAGGTTTACATTTCGGGTGAGCTGCACGTTTACAGCCTTTTAACATTGAATGTTTCTTACCTGCAGAAACATTGTGGTTTCTTCATTGGTTACACACCATATAGCTCGCAGGTCCTCATAGCTATTTACAGACCTTCGCCCAGCTATGCTAAAACTGTGACTTTCACAGTGACTCTTAAGAGTTTTTCTTAAAATAGGCCTCACCTTACCCCAGACACAATCTGACCCTGAGCTTCTACCTATTTGTCACAACTGTTTACTGATAGGTGGTCAGAAGTGGTCCTGGATGCCTATCCCACTTAGCATGGCTGAGAGCTCTGGAATGGCAATTTAGAGCTAGTGTTACATTGCATCCAGACAGAGACATTGAGAGGGAACTTACTACATCTAACTTGATTCTGACCTGGAAGTGCTTAACGTTCTTACTGGATAGCTAGGTTTAGAAGAGAACCATTTTCCTCAACTTAATGGTTCCAAAACCCATTAAAAAAAAGCACTGAATCCATTATTACTGATGTAGACAGCAAAAAACAAGGTCAAATTTCTTGTAATAAATCAGCAATCTTTGGAATGATCTTTGCTTCGGATTGACTCAGAACCAGACAGTTCTTGTTATTGAGAAACACTGGGGAAACTCTCAGTAGGAACTAGTGAGAGGTAAGTCAACAGTCAAATCCCAGGGGCAGCAGTACTGTTGCCCCGATTACTGACTGGCTATTACCAGAGATGTCAATGCTGGTGCTATTTCACAGGATGCACCTGACCCCACTGAGACATAACCTGACATACTTTGTCCAATGAGACTGTTTTACTTCCAGTTTATATCTTAGTACTTCTGAGGAATTGGAAACAGCAAAATTTATTTACGTTGTTAGTAATTTATTGTGTCCCACTCCCCCCCACCCACCCCCCAACCGGTTTGACCTCCTGGGTTGGAAGTACAGTATACATACAATGGGAGTGACTGGGAAGTAGCTGGCCAATTAATATTCTATTAAAGTGAACAGAAGTGGTTTGGTCCTTTTGGATTCTATACAATGGGAATGAATAGGAAAGAGATTAAGTCTTGCATTTTATATGTCAGGACCATGCAATTGAAATCAACTACCAATTCACATTCCATGATGCCTTTTCGTTTACAGCAATAGTACTAAACAGAGCATCACGTGCAATGTAGCACGAAGGGTTCTTTGATTTGTTAAAAGTGTAAGTATAAATCAAATGGCTAATGGCTCAGTGTTCACTCCAGGTCAGTAGTAGCTAATGAATAGCATTTTTAATAATAATAATTCTTTCATTTGATATAGCACTTTATCACGTCATCTAGATGTCTCAAAGCACTTCATACAATATACTGTAAAGTGAATTGACTATATATTTGTGGGCGAAATGTGGCAGCCAATTGTGCACAGCAGTGTCCCACAAACAGTCGTGGATTGAAGTGACCAATTTTTTTCTTGAGAGATTATTATCAGGCGTATGGGTAAGGAAACTTGCCCAAGGTTTCGACTGGCCGGAATTGAACCTCAGTCCCTCGCCTGCGAGGCAAGTGCTCTAACCACTGAGCTACAGCACAGCAATCTTTCTTTGACTTTTCCAGGCGGTAAAGAAACGCAGCATGAAGTGTGGAAATACAACGCCTCTCTAAACAAATGGATACAAGTTGAATACTTGAACACTGGACGATGGCGCCACAAGATGGCAGTCCTGAGTGGCAAGGTGTATGCCATCGGAGGTTTTGATGGAATCACACGCCTCAACAGCGTAGAAGCATATGATCCCTTTCACAACTGCTGGTCTGAGGTATGTATCAAAGCCAAACATCTTATACTGTATCACTGTATAATGTATGTGTTATGAGTATCAAGGTGAATGTTAACTATAGTATAGCGTGACAGAAATGTTATATCTGTATTATACAGGAGAATTGCACCCATTAACTCATCTCATTGTGCAGACATAGCTAGATGAATCATCTACACACACCCATCGTACATTATATAATATAGACTGGTGATACACCTCTTCTACTAGTGTAGAAAAAGGTGTGTTCATGACAAATTTCCTATTATATAACTCCATTATAACAACAATTTTCATTCTTGATCATTATTGGAATAATAGGTTTGGACAACTCTGTCCAAAAGAATGGGAAGCAGATCAGGAAAGCCAGCAAGGCAGCTTGGAAAGGGGAAGAATTAGGAGCAAGGAACTAGTTATTTTAATTTTTAAAATTACACTTTGTGAGTTTTGAGCAACTCAATGTAACCAGAATTACTTTTGTCCCACAGGTAGCTCCCCTCCTCCTGAATGTGAGTTCATTTGCTGCAACCAGTTACAACAGGAAGTTATATGTCATTGGAGGAGGGCCCAATGGAAAGCTGGCAACAGACCGAACCCAATGCTATGACCCTTCAGCCAATAAATGGAACCTGAAGTCACCCATGCCAATCGAGGCCAAGTGCATCAATGCTGTCACATTCATTGACCACATTTATATCGTAGGTGTGTGGAACAAGATTTACTAGATATTCCTTGTTAGAACACTAGTGGGAGCAGGTACTAAGGATGAGCAAACGGCTTGGGATAAGCTTCCACCTGTAAGAGAATCTACAGTGAAATACACTATGTCAATTTGGGATGTCACACAAAAACCATACCTTCTGAAGCTCTGCTGACACTCGTTTATTGGGTTATTTTTATACCATTTTGCTCCTGTTGATTTCAATTCCCGTAACTCATGCTGTAAAGTAATTTGGTCAGGCTAATGTAGGCGTATTGCAGTGTGTCAATAGCACCACCTTCTGGCTGAGATGAGCCAACGGAAGTGTCAAGCGCAGTTCAGTCATAGACCACTCATAGCAACAAGCAGTCCATTCATTGTGCTAACTCCCCCAACGTCTACTCTACTGCCCTGCCTGGTTCGATTCCTATCTCTTTCGCCATCTCCACTTTGTTGCCTCTAACGGTTTTTCCTCCAGCCCCCGCACTGTCACGTATGGCATCCCCCAGGACTCTGTCCTTGGCCCTTTCCTTTTTAATATCTACATGCTTCCCCTTGGTGACATCATCCGCAGACATGGGATGCGGATGACACCCAACTCTATCTTTCTGCCTCCACTCTCAACTCCAGGACCACTGCTGCCCTGACAGACTGTCTGTCGGACATCAAGTCCTGGATGAGGGCAAACTTCCTTCAGTTTAATGTGAACAAGATTGAGGCCCTCCTGATTTGCTCGCGCCAGCGCCTCAGCACCTCAGGCTCTGGCAGCATCAATCTCCACGGTTGCACACTACAACTCACCAAGCCAGTCAGGAACCTAGGTGTCTTGTTCGACCCTCATCTGTCTTTTCTTCCCCACATCCAAGCCATGACCCGCTCTGCCTTCCCTCAGCTCCATAATATTGCCCGACTCCACCACTACCTCACCCCTCAGGCCACTAAAACTCTTGTTCATACCTTCATCACCTCCAGGCTCGACTATGCAAACGTCCTTCTTGTCGGCCTTCCCAACTCCTCCCTCCACAGGCTGCAGATAATCCAGAACTCTGCAGCCCGTGTCCTCTCCCACACCAAACTCCGTGATCCCATCTCTCCCATTCTCACCCGACTCCATTGGCTCCCTATCCTTCAGAGGATCCAGTTCAAAATCCCGGTCCTCACATACAAAGCCCTCAATGGTCTCGTCCCACCCTATCTCTGCGACCTCCTAACCCCTTACCAACCCGCCCGTTCCCTCTGCTCAGCCGGCTATGACCTGCTCCACTTCCCCCCACCCACCTGCCCCACCATTGGCGGGAGAGCCTTCAGCCACTCTGCCCCCAACCTCTGGAACTCCATCCCCCAATCACTCAACCTCGCCCCCTCCTTAGCCTTCTTCAATCCCGCCTCAAAACCCTCCTCTTTGACCATACCATTGGTCACCCCTCTTCCCCTCCCCTCCCTTCTCCCCCCTGACCCCAGCTCAGGTCTGAAATGCTGTACACTGTCCAGTGCCTTGGGATATCCTCCCGACGTGAAAGGCGCTATACAAATGTAATCTTGTTGTTGTTGTACTGTCCCTAAATCAACTCTTAGTCGCACATTATTGAGATTTGTTGTCTCTGGAGTAAAAATGAGAAAAAGTAAATTAGCATGATGAAATTGACACATGGTTTTGCTGTTTATCTTTCTACAAAAAAAATTGCTAAAGCTTTTCATGAAGAAGTTGGCTCTTTCATAAAGGTCTCTTCCCTCTTTAACAACCTTGGTCTGAGTCACTAATATAGGTTTACAATGAAATAGGTAGTGGGAACTTTGGTGGGAAGTATGGAATTTTGGAGATGGATACCTGCAAGGTAAAGCATGTGGAAGTCAGGATTCTGGAGAATGGAATTAAGTTTACAGATCAGAAATTGGGGGTGTGAAGTCATGGCATGGATGTACAGTATATATTTCACTGTTTACAACTGCGCATATGTGAAATATATAGGAATGGTGGTTTTCGCACCCTTTTCGGGGAGAGCAGCTCCCTCCTTGGGCTGTCCTGTTCAATGTTATGCATCATTAGGTCCTGATCCAGTGTAACAACAAAATTACATTTGTATAACCACTTTCACATCGGGAGAACGTCCCAAGGCACTGGACAATCACTGTTTCAGACCCGAGCTTGGGGTTGGGAGAGTGGAGGGCAGGAGGGCAGGAGGGGGGAAAGGCACAGTCTAAAAGGAGGATCTTGAGATAGGACTTAAGGATTTTCTCTTGTTCTTCACAGGTGGTGCAATGAAAGCTCTTTACTGCTACAGCCCTAAAGAGGACTTCTGGACACTTGTCACACAATTTGGTCATGAACGAGCCAGCTGTGGAATTGCTGCATGTAACAACAAACTGTTTATCACAGGGGGTCGTGATGAAAAGAACGAAGTTATTGCCACAGTGTTGTGCTGGGACACGGAGCAGCAGAAACTGACTGAGGAATGTGTCCTGCCTCGGGGAGTCTCACACCATGGCAGTGTTACCATAAGGAAATCCTACACCCACATTAGACGCATCGTACCTGGAGCTGTCTCTGTTTGACAGTTAAGATCATTAACATTTCACGCACTTACTTAGAGGCTTTCCTTTGAAGGGGCTTCATCATTTGAATGTTCTAACACCACAGCCAGCCGATATGTTCAGAAACATTTTGATATCATGACGATATTGTATCCCGTGAACTGGCTGCAAACCCTGAGGCTTAGTTGGAAAAAAAACATTCATTCGCCCTCTGAGTATTTGGAAACTAGAATATTGTGCAAAATTGAGGATAGATATTGGGAAACTGTGAAATAATAATTCTTGCATTTGATATTTTGCCTTTAATGTCTCAATGGGCTTAACTGGTAATTATTTTAAAGTGTAGTGACTATATATTTTTGGGCAGATGCAGCAGCCGATTGGCACACGGTAATCTCCTACAAAAAGCCATGAAGTGAATGACCATTTTATCTGGAAGACTGTTGGCTACTGGGAGAAACTCTCTTCTCTTTTCAAATAGTTCCATGGGATCTGTAACATGCACCTGAACAGCCAGACGCGACCTCATCTGAGAGAGGAAAGCCCTGAAAATACAACCCTACCCCAGCACTGCACTGAAGTGTCAATTTAGACTGTGAGCTATTGGTCCCGACATGGGGCTTGAACCCACAATCTTCCATTGGAGATATTGGTAGCAACATAATGTGTTATTTAATTCCAAACGAATACAAGAACAAGAGTTCACCAAAAGAGTTGACACTGTGACAAGGGGGAGATGTGTTTGGTACAACACAATGTATGTCAACACTGCCATTGAAACAATATATGCCATGGACCTTGCTGTTTAAAGCAGAGTCATTCACCAGATTTTCCCAAATAAAGTTTGATATTGGTTTAAAAAGTTTATTTTTAACCTATAGGGTTTTCAGGAAATCAGAACAACAGTTTTAATAAGCAAGAAATGAAACATAATTTACCAGACAAAAAGTGAAATCCAACGAGAACATCAGCCATAAGATATGGTTGATCTATTGTTCATTGCTCATTCTTCCCAAACACTTCCCAGGGCCATGAATATTTTTCATCATTCACCAGTGATATTAAGATAAGTGGCATTCTGGAATTTTTGACTGATTACCCTTTGGGACTCAGATTATCTATACAATACCCTCCCTCCCTCCCCCACTTCTCCCCAAGTAGAATGGATAGGATTTATGCCAGGGTTTTACAATAGTCTCTTCTCATTCCTTCTCATTCTGTCTCATGTTATTCACAGCCAATACACTTGCCATCCATTGTATTGGGCGCTGTTTCACCTCCATGCAGAGAGAGATCAGTGATAGTCTGGTAGAATATAAAAATCTTGAAGCCACTCTGCATGCATAAGTTTGCACATGCACTGTTCTTTTATGTCTTTGCTACCTGTTCTGTAAATGTGATGAATCCCAAAGAACCAGCAGCTCAGTAAAGCAGAGCTACGTTTTAAATATCCTCATTATATAAATGTGTTGTTGACTTTACATCTACAGGAACACAGACTTAAATAGGAAAGGTATTAATAGATAAGTACTAATATAGCATTAATTTGCAAGTCTCAGGAACACAAAAATACTTTAGAATTATAATAATTTCAGCACAAAAGGAAGTCATTGAGCAGAGCTCACCTCGACAATGCTAGTTTCCCAGTGGAGCTTTCAGCAATTCAAGAATTCTTTACCTTGGTTCTTTCATTATACCTCCCTAAATCTTCATCCGTTAATTGTTTAGTGAATGACCTTTAAAAATCAGAATTGATTTAGCGTCAATGACCACTTGTGGTTATTGTGTTTTTGTGTAATAAAAATTAATTAATTTAAGATTAATTCATTGGCCAACCAAATTGCGCCTTTAAACAACTGAATCATCCCTCAGTCGTGCTTCTCAGTGATGTTAACCTTCCTCTGTGCCTTGATCATTTTATATTGTTTGGTGGGTAAGTTACTATGGTGCTTATTTAGTTCTGCTGATATTGGTGTTATCAATACATTTTCCAATGAGTCAACAACAGTAATGTTTACTGATAGAGCTTCAGTACCATCAGCGGATTGTTCCAAACTACATTAACACAGAGTTGACATCTAAATGTATTTTACTGTTGGCTGTGCTCAGTGAGGTGAGTGAGAATCCAAACTTATTTCATGTACACTTAAAATATGTTTGAAAAAACTAGATATGTCTGAACTTTAAAAAGCTCTGGTGCTTTGGCCGTATTTCAAGATAGGAGTGTTTTAACGATGTTCAGAAACAAGAGTGAAACAAGAGCCTAGAAAGTATAGATCAGTCAGCCTAATACTGACAGTAGGGAAAATGCTTTGAGAACATTATAAAACAGTATCAAGGTGAGCTGTGATGATCTAGCGCTTGTGGACGCCAGAGCTAGGGAGGCTGGTGAGGGGGCCATGGGAAAAGTCAAATCTAGAGATGACAAAAATGTGGATGAAAGACACGGCTGGGTTAGGGTAGTAGCAGAAGCAAGCACTGTAGCAGAGCTGGAGAAAACAGACTTTATAGAAGCACAGATGAAAGATTTTAAAGGAAGTTGAGAGTTGAAGTTGTCAAAAGCAGTGGAGAAGTTGAGGAGGACAAGGTCTGGATTCATATAGAGCGGATATAATTTGTGTCTTTGACCATTTCTGCCTCTGTACTGTTGGTGGGGTGGAAGCTAGATAGGAAGGACTTATACAGATAGTGGTGGAAGAGAAGTGAAGCTGTATGAAAACAATGCATTCCAGCATCTTGGAAAGGCAGTGTTGGAGAGGGAGTGATAACTGAAGAGTTGTGAAGATGAGAGTGTAGTTTTTTAAGGATTAATAACAGCAGTTTTGAAGGGGGCAGAAGGAAATTTGAAAATGTTGGACTGGTAGAGGGATGTGAAACAGCAGTTAACAACAGGAGTTTCTTAGGGATTGGGAATGGTGGGGGTGGGTGGGGGGGAATTGATGTACGGGTACAAAGTAATGTATATTGAAACAAGAAATACATGGAGATTCAATTGATTTTTATTGGCAAAGACATAAAAGGCAAATAGTTGATTATTAAATATTCAGGTATGTAAAGCTGCTTTTTGACAAAATTAGTCAATACCAGGAGGTTACAACTCAAAAGCCATTTAGCTACCATTCAAAATAAAGTAATCATGTATTGATCCCTGATGAGTCCTCACTTGAAATATTGGAGAGATTTTTGTGATTTTTCTTAATGGGATTGCTTAATAAAGAAAAATAATGCTGAATGTGATATTGTTTTGTGGCCATAAGAACAGGACTGGGTCAATTGATCCATTAGCCCACTCCATCAATCAAATTAAGGATTTTACATTGTACACTTCTGTAACAGTACAACTCATGCACTGTTCCAACAGTTACACAATCTATCCACAACCACTTCATGTTAGAAATTCATGTTAGAAAGTAGAGATTTATATGATTATAGTTAGAGGGAAGGGCAATGAGAACAAGCCAAGTGGGTAGGTCAAATTGAGTTTACAGCTTTATTCTATGGTATTAATGAAAAGCTATCAGTGCCGATTTGTGGCAGCCAAAATGTGCCAGCCAAGTTGCACCCAGCAATGTCCCACAAACAGCCATAAATGACCAATTGTGGGCCAGGACACAGGGACAAACAGCTTCTTCTTTTCAAATGATGCCATGGGATCTTTAAGGTCCACCAGAATATTCAGGCAAATGTTACCCCTGAGAATGGATCTGAGTAGGAAAATCTTGAAAACCTCACAGAAGTACAGGCTTTGATAGTTATTTGTGCCAGTTCTACATACATTCATTTCACTGTTTATTTACAGAATGCAGAGTATAAAGATGGATTGGAAGACTACATAGTCTGTTCCCATGATGTAGTCTGAAGCTTGGTATTGGTCAGCAGATGTGCTTTAGAGTTTGGGAAGAATGAACAAGGAGCAAGTATTGACGGACCTATAACTGAATCATTTGGAAAACCTATCATCACAGATGACTGCAGTTTGCTTTCGTGACTCAAGTCCACGACATTAACTGGAGTGATTGTAAACTGTGCAGAAGATAATTTTAATAATAACAGGGATTTAGATTGCATCAATTTCGAAGGCAAATGTTGACTCTAACCAGCGTCTGTTTCACTTGACCAGCAGTAGGATGATACTTCGGCGAATTGGTGTGCCGCACGTAACAGAAAGCATATCTACTTTATCAGGGGATATTGTGATTTCAAATGCGGACAGTAATGACTGTGATGACGCCATTGAAGACTTGTCTGACTGGCATCTAGAGTTTTTGCTCATTTCTGTAGCTGTGTGCCTCATTGGTGCATTATTAGTCAACCCCTTGATAATTTTCATCATTTTGTTGAAGAATAAATTTCGGCAGGAGACAAGATATCTGCTCCTAGCCAACCTCATGCTTTCAGATCTTGTTTTCCTATGCTTGAATTCTTGTGTGTCTATTAGCAATGGAGCTCACTGGCATATGCCAATGTTGCTTTGTGACTTCTTCATTGCAGCTCTAACCATATGTTATTGTAGTGCTATCCTCACCATCACACTCATGGCTATTGATACCTTCCTGGCTGTTAGCTTGCCTCTTCGTTACATTTCACTCATGCCCCCTTCAAGGACCATAAAACTTTTGATTGTTATTTGGGTGGTTGCCTCGGTTTATCCAATCTTTCTCCTAGTAGTAATCCTGGTGGTTGAATCCTACCCTGAGATGAACCATCAATCATGCCTCCTGCCTCTAGCCCTGGATTCGAAAACCCTTGGCAATGGGTTGGTAATAAGCATTCACATCTTCCTGGTAAGTGGTGCTTTGGTGTGTTTAGCAGTGATAATCTATTGTTATGTCATGCTCTACTATAACACAAAGAGATCGGGGATTTGGGACAACCTGTACTCCAGGGCGCGAGTAACATTGTTGATTCACACTACTTTGTTCTTTCTCTACTTTGCACCTGGTTTATTTTTTGCCATTGAGTTAATGATCAACAAGAAAAACAGACTTGATGACCGTACAAGAGTATGGCTGAGCTCTGTTAACAGTGAAGTCTTCATGATGCTGCCACGGATGTTATGCCCTTACTTGTATGGGCTGAGATACAGAGACATAGCAAAGAGAATCAAGAGGTCATTCTTGGTAAAACAACATAGTGTGCGTTCAATGAACGCATGGTACATTTCAGGCCATGGGGATTCTCAATAGAGCTGATCATTAAGCTATCCCCTCATCGTATGGCTGACCCGAAGTTTGGAACAGCCTTGAAGATCTGTTTGAGGACTTCAGGTGGAAAGATTATTGCCCAAACCTGCTTGAGTTTTTTTCGGTTGTCAAGATGATATGTCCGTTTCCTTTTTTTTGTTTATATACAGTATACGTCAACTATTTTTCTTGCAAAGTTAGATAGTGCTGTATCTCCGCCACTCCACGTGCAAAGGATATTTCCTGTCGCCTCTGTCTCGCTGTTGTAATCGCTATGAGTTGGGTAGTCATTACAATGGTTTTAAATGGGAACTAATGGGAAAGCTGAGAGACCTATGCACTCCTATTCCCTTTTCATGTAGGAAGAGGCGTTGGCAGTTGTCTCTGTTGCCAATTGGGTGATGGGACTTCCTAGTTACCTCTTGTTGAAGAGTGCCAGTACTTAGGTTAATTCCCTGCGTATGTGACTGGTTGTAAAGTTGATCATGCATTTGATGTCTCGTTTGATTCTTGCGCTTGGATGACTGTACTGTTTGTGAAAGGTTTAAATAAAAAGCTTTTGAAGAACGAAATTGTCCTCTGAACCCCGCACTAGCCTTGGGTCTGTTACACATGTCAATGATACCATATGTTCACCTTCATTATAGAGACAGTACCTGCAAGAAGAATCGTTATCCCTTGTTAAATTGCGACCTTTACTTACCGAGCTGTGCTTCCTCCAGTAGAGAGAGCAAATCCAACACGTCACGTCAATTACTGGGAGTGCTGGGTTTTATGTGATGTCCATTAACTCCATCCTACCAAATTCTCTTTGACTAGCAGATATTACACAGATAAAACGTTTACAGACTGCACCAAAATAATAACTTTATTTACAGCGACACACAACAATTATGAGATCAGTCATAATATATCACAGCATCAACATGAATGAATGCCCTTAGCTGATAAATTATTTGATGTTTTCAGAATCGTTTCTCATCCAAGGGCAACGGGCAGAGAGAAAGCTTTCGCTCCATCTACCAATGCCCATCTTAATCCAGCCATTAAGAAGTGCCCAACCTGGGTTGATTGATCCATACCCCCCAAGTCCCTGTCTCACTCTCATAATGTAATTGCATTGTCCCAGGTGGGGAAATACCTCAGTCTGAGACTTGTCCCCACATCTGGAAGACTGATAGCTCCCAGGCTAGCACTTACAGCTGCTTTACTTCATTGCCTCGCCAAACACATACAACACATCAGCAAACTTCAAATAATATCGTACGCATGATAAAGCTGAACCGCATACTATGTCGTGATTTAAGTTGCACCGCTGTTAAGATACATAAGTTGCAAAGATGGGATCATTCAGTAACGCACCATTCACATTATATGGGTGAAATCTATTTATACACCAATTACCTACTGTAATTACAATATGATGTTGTCTCAGGGTCACAGTAAATAAAGAGCTTCACTCGATGTGCACACGACAGTCAATTTGCTTTCCCTAATACGCTAGCTAATTCGCGGGACTCGATTAAGACACCTGAATATTGAGAACGATCGGATGATTGTTGCTATCTCTCGATATCTCAGTGCATAAATGTATGGAGATACAACTTTGGGAATCATCATGAAAATATTTGACATTGACAGACTCATCCAGACTTCTGACTGGAACCCAATCACGTCTAGGTCTTCGAGGATTCCGGCTGTTGCTAGTAAAAGCAGAGGAAAGAATGACAAAAATAAGAGGATGGTGTGGATCAGGTATGTCTGTCTTGCCCTGGAGTTTCTAGCCCATATTCCCGAAGACCTTGTGTTGTAGTATAACATAACATAACAACTGGAGATAAGAATTAAACATATCAGAAAATACAATACTGCAACACTGTAAAAAATTGTCGATGAAACAATTCGAAGCGAGGAGATGCTGAATATCAAAGGTAATATACAAATTGACAAGGTGGAGAGTAGATCATGTTTACTCTTAATTGTTATGATATAGATGGCAGAAGGAGCAATGGCAGAGAGAAGCCAGATGCAAACGATGACTTTCAAGGTCCTTGAAAACGATAACAGGGTCGTATAGCGAAATGGTCGGCTGACTGCCACATAAGTGTCCACCACCATCATTGTGACAGTCAGAATCCCAGTGGAATAAGAGACTGTCAGTCCATACAGAAGTGTCTCACAAACTTCTTTGGGCATGGTTAAATATTGAGTGTTAAGTAACCCAATGAGGGTGTTCAGCACTGAATAAATCAAATCACTAATCAACATGTTGGCGAGTAGAAGGTATCGGGTCGCCTGGCGGAGGTTGCTCTTTGAAAAGATAGCCAGCAGGACCAGAGGCGACGTCAGTGCCGAAGTCAACAGGCAGATTGCAGAAGAAATAACTAAGAAGTTGGTTTTTAAGTATATCGCAGGGTCAAGCCATTCATCGCTCACATTTCTTTGGTGATAAAAGTCCACAGGAGAGGAAACATTTGTGACATTTTTGAAGATTTCAATCTCTTCTGGCAATGAAGGTATTTCCTTGTAGGAATCACAATGTTCGTGCTCCATTCTAGATTGTTTAAAGAAAGCTCATGATAACATGTGATGAATGTGTGACTGTTTTCTGAAATCTTTGAAGACCACAGAGCACGAGCATATTGTGGTTAGCTATACTATGCAGACCAACACCAGTCGAATACAAATCTGTAAAATGTCCCCCTATAAATAAAATAAAATAAACATATTTCTGTGCAAGTGACAATTCAAACTTTCCACAGTAAAGCTTAGTTTCCATGTGTCACAAATTGCATTTCAAAGTGGGCCAGTGTTCAATTCTGCAGAAGCACAAGATTAAATTAAATCTTCCAAAGAGAGTAAAGAGTTTAATTTATTCTAGGATCACACAGACCTGTAGCACTGAAGGCATTCCACTTTCAGGTGTCCGGCAATCTTCGTCTTACAAAAGTTTTTGTCTGTATCACCGGCAATGATTCTCAGGAGTCTGGAGTATTCATCCCATGTCAGGTACTCTGACAGGGACCGACTGCTTCTTGTGATTGCTTGTTGTTTGCTTCTTTTGTCAGTTACAGATGATTGAGTATTTGAGTAGACGACAGTCATCAGATATGCCATACAAATGAATGGTGCCAAGGAACAAAAGGATATGTTGACTTTATCAGCTTCTGAACAAGTAGCATTTATTTTACAGCCAAAACAGAAATACCAATAAACGACATCCACCGTTTCTAGTTATATACGTCTTGATGTTTGTGAACAATATATTTATTGGTTGATTTAAAAAAAATAAAGAGCGGTAACAACAACAGCAACTTGAAATTATATAGTGCCTTTCACGCAGGGCAGAGTTTCGGAGCGATAAGCACGACAGATGTTTATAGAGGTTTGGTAGATTGGTAGATTAGAATTTTTAACTGTAATGGTAAAACATTTTTTCTCCTCCTAACATCGTATAATAGTTACCATTGAGAGATCCCACAAGAGTTGCATACACGCATGTATAAAATAGGCAACAGGGTAGTTGTTCACGTAGTTTCACGTAATATACTTCGGGGGTATAGTCATAAAAGCAGTTTCGAAAGAAATTTCCCCCGTGCGACAGTGCTGGAGATTATTACACCTGATGCACTTAAAACCTGTGCACTTTAAGATACTCTTGACAGGTTACATACAGATGGAGCTGTGTGTGTGTGTGGGTGTGACACTGACAGACAGGTCACACACTCACATGGAGCTGTGTGTGTGTGACACTGATAGACATGTTACACTCACATGGACCTGTGTGGGTGTGTGTGTGAGACATTGACAGACATGTTACTCACATGGACCTGTGTGTGTGTGTGTGTGTGTGTGTGAGACACTGACAGACGTGTTACACACTCACATGGACCTGTGTGTGTGAGAGACACTGACAGACATTTTACACTCACATAGACCTATGTGTGTGTGCGTGTGTGTGAGACACTGACAGACATGTTACACACTCACATGGACCTGTGTGGGTGTGAGAGACTGACAGACATGTTACACACTCACATGGACCTGTGTGTGTGTGTGAGAGAGATACTGATAGACATGTTACACACTCACATAGACCTGTGTGTGTGTGAGAAACACTGAGACATGTTACACTCACATGGACCTGTGTGTGTGTGTGTGTCTGTGTGTGAGAGAGACACTGACAGACATGTTACACACTCACACATGGACCTGTGTGTGTGTGTGTGAGAGACACTGACAGACATGTTACACACTCACATGGACCTGTGTGTGAGAGAGACACTGACAGACATGTTACACACTCACATGGACCTGTGTGTGTGTGTGTGTGAGAGACACTGACAGACATGTTACACACTCACACATGGACCTGTGTGTGTGTGTGTGCGTGTGTGTGACAGTCAGACGCTGCCCTTCGCCCCTATTGGTTGTCGGGTTGCGTGACCGTGACGTTGTTGACGTGCGGTCTGCCCCGGAAGTACTTGCGCGGGTGAGGGGGTGAGGGGTGAGGGGTTTAAAAAAAAATGGCGTACGGGAGCTGCGTGTACAGGGGCTGCCGACAGCTGTTGGGGTTCGGGCTGCGGGGACACAGGCAGGTGCTGGGCAGGGGTTGGGCGCCATGACCCTGTGCGGCCCAGGAGCAGTGTGTGTGTGTGTGGGGGGGGGTGAGGTGGGGTGGGGAGGGTTGTCGTTGGCTCCCAGTTGCTGACCCCCCCTCTCGCTCTGAGGTTGAGAAGGTTTGTGGGTTCGAGCCCCACTCTGGGACGGGGGGACTTTATTACTCATCATCTTAGGTCGACGCTCCAGCTCAGTGGTGGGGGCGCTGTTGCTGTATTGTCGGCGGAGAGAGGTGCCCATCCTTTGGATGATGTGTTAAGAGGCTGTGTCAATTGCAAGGATTATTATTATTATTATTATTATTATTATTATTAAGGGGCGGTCCTGTCTGCCCCGGTCAGGTTGGACGTTAAAAGAGCGCTAATGTCGCTGAGCGCAAAGGGAAGGGAGTTTTCTTCCCGACCATCTCCCGCATCAAATTAAGTTGTTCGCTTGATGAAAAATCCCTGTGTTGCAAATTGACTGCACGAGTGCGTACAACGTGCAGCTACTGCAATTCGTAGCAAACCTGTGAAGCACTTTGAGATGTCCTCCAGATACGAAAGGTGCTCTAAGGATTGTTGTTGTTATTTTTCCACTGTGATAGTGGTACTGTCTTCCAGGCTATGGCCTTCCCCAATTGCACAGCCTCTAAACCAGGGGGGGTCAAACACAAGGGCCACTTAAGTTAACACTGTTCACTTGGTGGGCGTCACCATTTAAAAAAAAGTTATACATAATATTGTACCTGAAAATGTCTATAATGATCGTGTGTATTTTTGCTCAAATATACAAATTTGCATGAAACATTACCCCACTGCACAATTCCTAGTCATCAAAAAAGTATGCAGACTATTGCTAAGTCTCAAATGATAATGCTAAGGCTTAACATTTAACTTAAATTCCAAAATATAATATTTTTAACATCATGAACATCATTGAAACAAAAAGCACAGGCAGACTCTGAAAATGCCATTCAGTACTACTATGAAATTTATCTTTGCTAAACTATTCAATGCTAGTTGTGTGCCATTAAATACAGCAAATTGTATTTATTTGATGCATAGTTAAAGGTCTTGTGTTACCTGACCTTTTTAAAAGTTACTGAAGTTCTGTACTTGTTTGGTTAGTGATCTATAAGTAAGGCAGTTTCTTCAAACATTTAATGTCTGTTTTCTGAACTGTGGAAGTTGCTGGGTAAATTAACTGCTTTCTTTCAGGTTATCCTTGTATACTGAACAGAGATGTGGGTTTAGGAGAGCACCTAAGAAGAATGAACCACGGAAAAAGGAGATAGAAGAAATATCATGTAAAGACTCGCCCATGGTTGGGAATCGAACAACTAAGAGCAGTTTATCCCCCCCACTAGAAGAGCCCATCTTATCCAAATCATCAGCACGATCATTTAGAAAGCTCTTCAAGCCTTTTCTGTTCACCGTAGGGGTAAGTTACATGAGACAATTATAACATTTCTTTCTAACCAAAATGTTATTCCAATGAAATTCTTAAGCTTTCATTGCATCATTAAATCTAGCACTTCTTTGGAGTATCAGCATAGATTGGGCACAAAGTTCCAACTGTGGGCTTGACCTCATAACCTTCTGACTCAAAGGCAAGAGTGCTACTAATTGGGCCAGGATGACACCTGAATTTTGATTGGACCCACATACCTGGTTATTTCCAAGCAGTGTCAGAATTTCAGTACCCCATAAGTGGTGCGGGGTGTTACGTTTCTGTACTTCTACTTAAACTGATACATTTTAGGTGGTGATTTTGGGAGCATGACAGAAGAAGCTTTGGCCTTGATTTTTAAGTCAACACAGCTTAAGACGATAGAACTACTGTGTCCTGTATTGTGTTCAATCACCTCTTTTGATTTATAGGTTTCAGTCCCTTCTCAACCAGGCATTTAGACAAATGCTGTCTAAAGGTGTTAATTAACAACTTTTGGTGTAGTCTGCCCATCCATCTCATACTTTACAAGGAAGAATAAATTATCTTGCTTAAATTTTGTTGCATTAATCAGAAATGGAACTATTGCTATCATGGAGGTTTAAATAATACCTTGTATTGTGTTTAATATTTTCTTCTGAGATTGAATTAGAAGAAAGGCACTTTAAGCTTTTTGATTCTATCCAGTTATTTCTAGTTATTGTACATACAATATGGTAAATGGAGATTTTAGTTATTTTAGTTTGTTTTATTTATGGTTATCTCTTGCAGTTCACAGGGTCTACGTTTGGGGCTGCAGCAATCTGGCAGTATGAATCCCTTAAATCCAGAGTTCAAAGCTACTATGATGACCTGCAGATTGATTGGTTTGAAAAACATCGCCCACCGAAAGCAGGAGATGTCAGGAAGCAGGTAAAGAGCAATAGAGCTCTGTAGATCAGTTGGTTGGATCCCTTTGACATTGAAAGACTTGCGTACAGGCTAGTTTTATTCTGTCTCCTTTGGTAAATGTTACAAACTAATGCATGATTCTTGCCTGGATGTTTTAATTAGTGTAGATATTTTTTAATTAGTGTAGATATTTTTTGTTGTGAACTCCCATAGAAGGCTGAAGGATAATGGAAATGGTCCCACTTCTCAGAGAGCCTGTCTCCCCTGTAGTTTATGTGTCTTTCTGTCTTGCAGAACTCTGCAGAATACTGGCATAGATGGTGGGGTGAGCTATCAGATATCCAAAAACAGGCAATTGTTGTTCTGTTTCAGGTGAACCAGTGGTGGAACAGTTTGACTGATGGCCAAAGGAGCGTTACAGGTTTGTGTTCATGTTCACAGGAGTTTGTGGGGAAAGCGAAGAGAACACGAACAAGGAACACTGAATATAGGGAGATAGCTCTTTATCTCAGAAGACAGCTACTTACCATTGATGCTGTTGGTGGTGAAAAGGCACACTGAGTTCTGTTTTGTGTAGAGTGTGATTAATTGCCACAGGGTGGTGCTGTGCCATACAGAAATTCTCCAATTAATACTGAAACTATAGTATATGGTTCTGAGTTTATAATTTTTAAAAATTTCCATTTCTAAATGTATAGATTTTTATTCAGATTTGAGCTTGTGTGTGTGTTTGAATCTCTGTATTACAATTTATAGATGTGTTAATGAACAAACTAAAACTCTGACTTGTTGTACTTTCACCTCTTGATTTGAAGTGACCAATAATAACTGCAGATGATATATGCCCAGTTCAACCATCATATCTGCAGGAGCAGCCACTAGTTATATATTAAAATGTACAATTCTGAACTAGCATTCACATTGCAGTTGTCACATCAACTGGTTGCAGCAGTAGTATATGGTGCATGTCCATTCATTCTAGTATAATGCTACAATTTTATGTTCCAGTGTGTGTTTACAAATGGATGTCTGAATGCCATATTTTGTATGTGTCTCGGTATGTGGGAAGTAATTAACCTTGAATCTGTGATTGTTCCTTTTTATTGCGCAGGGATTATAGCAGCCAATGTTTTGGTGTTTTGTTTATGGAGAATACCTTCAATGCAGCGAATCATGATGAAATACTTCACTTCCAATCCTGCTTCCAGTAAGTATTATTTATCATTTTATCGTTAGTGTTGTCCTGATCTGAGAGATTATTTGACTTGAATTGTATGTCTGTTGACCTCCTATTATGGTTTTGAAAAACACTTATTTTCTGCTCCTCTGAATGGGCAGAGGCACCAACTATTGCAGTACTTGCTCTTGTAAACAGAGGGTTCCAGTTTGGGATCTCAGTTTGGACTCAGTTAGGGATAGCAATTGCTGTCCTATAATTAGGCCTCAACACCCTTGGGTTACAGAGAAGAAAATCAGCCAAGATTCATGCTCATGATCGCTATCCAGACCCCTGTTGGAAGATGAAGGTGTGTGAACTTCAAGTGAGGACAGGATTGTGCTCAACTATGACGCTCCTGCAGTTGAATTAGCTGTAGATCATCACGTGTCAATAATCATTTTCCACTTTTGATCATTGTCCAAGAAGCATGCTGACCCCAACCCATAAATGCTGGAAAACTTCTCTTCTGGTCAGTGGCAGAGCCAGGTGCTGTGCCTTACTGCCACCTCAGTGTTTGTGACTGATTGGCTCCAATACAGCACTGGAAGACACAATCCTGCATGAAGGACGCTATACAAATGCAAATTGTTCATTTGGTGTGGTGGGGAATGTTCAAAATAATCTTTTTCATTCGTGGCTTTTACTGTTTTATTTAGAGACTTTGTGTTTACCGATGATCCTGTCAACGTTCAGCCACTTTTCTCTCTTTCACATGGGTGCAAACATGTACGTACTCTGGAGTTTCTCCTCCAGCATTGTTTCACTACTTGGGCAGGAACAATTCATGGCTGTCTACTTTTCAGCAGGTAAAGCATTTCTGGGATTCTACAGAGTTTGTGATATTGCCTCTTGAATAAACCTCTCATGCAAATATAACAGTATTTTGCTTTTGGTTGAATCAATAGCAGATGTTTAGGAGCTGCCATTTTATTGCAATTGAAATATTTAAATTTAATTGTTCTTAAATTAAAAAAAAATTTGCAATATGTGATGCAGTCGCAGCTCGCTCAGCCCATATTCGTACAAAACAATCTTTGCAAGTTGGTTGGAAGTGTATAGTCTGCTTGAAACTGTTTTAAATACATTATTTTTTAATCTGTTATGTTTGCACCGACTATTGACTCAATCCAAATGCTGGAGCTGGTCTTTACTGTGTCGCTCAAAGAATTGATCAATGTATTCCTCAATGTTAGTCTCTATATACTGATTTCATACATTACCATGATCTTGCTTCTTGTTTTCTCTAGGCGTTATCTCTACGTTTGTCAGCTATGTCTGCAAAACTGCCTCGGGGAGGTTTGGACCCTCACTTGGAGCTGTAAGTGTATTATTCCAATTGGATTTAAAAAATGGTGGAGGCTGTTATAACTGTGCAGTGACCTATTATATACATTATTGAATGATCTGTTCAATATCGCAAGGAATGAATCTTCCTGTAATTTGTGCTTACATTATGCAGATTGCATTATTTTTATGGAATTAGTCATGAGACTTGCAACATTAATGATATTTTACAGACCCATTCATTGAAGAAGATAATATGTTGACCCTCAGTTTCTGTAGTACATTCAGTATCATATTTGATTTTAAGTAAATTTGGCAAGGTACTGGGTAAACTGGAGAGACTTAAGACGACTATATACCCTGATCCTGGTGTATGTCCTACATGCTGAAGCGAAATAGGACAAAAGTTTGTGGACTGTTGACTATTATCAGGGAAGCACCATAAAGCACTCCTTCCTGAGAACTCAGAATGACAATTCAGAATACTAACCATGTATTTATAAAGAGAGACAAAGTTAACCTACCTTGAACAAGCATGTTAAAATAATGGAAGACATTCTAAGAGACAGATTGAAGGTTGCATGTGAATAATAACTTAAATGGTTAGAGAGAGAAAGATACAGTCAGAAGGTATTTGGACGATAGCTACTTTATTTGAATTAACCAGTTATGACAACCAGCTGGATGTCTTGAATGCCCTATGTGGTGATTTTTTAATGGTATTGTGTGCCAGATTTCAATCCCTTGTGGGAAGAAGTTCAAATCGGAACCAACCATAATTTCCTTCAGTGGAGTTCTGAAGCAAACCCTCCTCAGGCTATTGGTTTTCATGCATATAGCACATCTGCAAGCAGGCTTCTTGAATGGTGTATCAGGTTGTTGAAAAGCTCTGGGCTTGCTCTTTCACAAATATGGAGCAAGGGTTCTTAAAGCATGCTTCAAGCTAACTTGCTTCTTTAGCACACAGATCTGTTTTACTTTTCGTGGCCACCAAGTTTATCAGACTAACTGCATCTTGCCTTGTTAGCTAAATTTATACAAAATATCTGTTTTTCTTAATATCTTTCTGTAACATACAGTTTTGTTTTATTTCCTCCCACTCCAGTCAGGGGCGATAATGAGTGTCCTAGCTGCAGTGTGCACCAAGATGCCTGAAGCAAAACTAGCCATTATTTTTCTGCCCATGTTCACTTTCACAGCAGGCAGCGTAAGTGTTAAGTTATATTCCTAATGTTGGGAAGGGAGAAGAAACATTAGGTTCTGCTTCCATGAATAATTGTGTGAAGTGACCATTGAAGAAGGTAAAACTTCCTCGCACAACCTGTTCTGAAAGTAAAAGATTATTTCTAGTTTCAATCAGTCAACCACTTTACAGTATATTCTGTGAAAAGTCTCAACGACGCGATAAGGCACTGTATCAAATATAGTATTTTATCTTTCTTCAGATCTGTTTAAATGTATGTATTAAATACTGTTGGTGTCAGACTGCTTAAGGGTATGGGGTATTTCCCTGTAATAGTCTGTGAAATAAAATCTGATCGCAAATTTATCAGAACTATCCTGGGAGCCTTCAATTTGTTTAAAATAAACCTACGTTCGACATGCTATACTGAATAAACCTATTTTTTGTTGTAAAACAACACCCTACTGTATATGTCAGAAGGATTAGCATCAGAAGGAGTATGTTTATGCTTGTAGGAATTCAACTTGAGGTCCTTTGCTGCCAGTGTGCTCTGTTATCAAGATTTGAACCTCTGGGTGGGGAGGGAAAATTGCATCATAACGATGTTTGATCTTGTAGAATCCTTAGGGAAATAAATTAGAATGCCTCCTTTGCTGCAGCACCTCCAGCAGCCAAAGCAGCTGGTAGGAATTCTTTGCAGTATTTTTGACTGGTTCTATCTGTTACAGGCCCTGAAAGCAATTGTTGCCTTGGATACAACAGGCCTGATTCTGGGCTGGAAGTTTTTCGACCATGCTGCTCATTTGGGTGGTGCGCTCTTTGGAATGTGAGTAGAGGATTATTCTGGTCCTTTTTGTTTTATAACTGTAGAAAAGCCCAATAGTCGGGTGGGTTTCAGCGTCAGCATTCTACCTGCTGTGGTGACAGCAATAGGCTGCTATTCAGGCTTAGAAAATGCAGAATTCTTGGAGTAGGGACTTAGGGACTTCAATCCCTAAACGTTGAAATCTTACAACTTACAGGTTATGCAACTGTTTTGATTGTATAAGAATTAATGTTTAGCAGCTTCTGTTTCAAAAGATATTGTCGTCCCCTCCCCTCTCTCTTTGTGTTATTACTTCTCCAAATTAACTCAGAGAATCACTGACTGTTCAATCCTACACATAGCTAAATGCAAGTATATATTGAATAAATCGAGATTTGTGCCTTGCTTGCTAGAGTAGCCTAACTTTTTATAAAAAGAGTATTAAAAAGATTATTTGTATTAACCTATCATTGTGCGAATTGCATCTTGATCTTAGGACATAGTCACTCTATATCTTCAGTTTTTTTGTTTTCACACTCATGCATATTTGCACAGGTCCTATAAGTAATATGCTAATCTGATCCCAGGTTTTTGAAAGGCAGAGATCTATTTCACAACACTGTCCAGAATTGACACAACCATAATAATATCTCATGTGAGAATTGGAAATGGCGTATTTGGAAGGAGGGATTTGTTGAGGGGAGTTTAGAGGGAGGTTTAGTCTGTGCTTCACCTTACCCATGAGTACTTGATGGAGCAGTATTATGGGAGCATGTTCTGTATTTGATCTGGGAGAGCTTGATGCTGGGTGGAAAAATGCGTATGTCCTTGACCTTAAAAATTCCCAAAGGTCCTGTTTCATTAAATTAGGCCCACCTTGTCGCACAATTTGCATGCATTTATTAAAATCCATTAACTTAGAAAAAAAAACATTTTGAGTTCAAGCTGAATTTCCCTTTGATAAGAGAAGCCTTTGTACAGAATAATGGTACATTGTGTAAATTATTTGAATAACTTCCTCAGTCGTGGGGACCAGCCTTCTGACTCATTTAATAAGTTTTTTTTTTCTCTTTCTCCCCCCCTCCCCCCCCCCCCCCGCTCTTTCAGATGGTACATTGTGTACGGCCATGAAATGATTTGGAAAAACAGAGAGCCCCTTGTGAAGGTGTGGCATGAAATGAGGACTAAGAGTCGTGGGAGTGGTGGTAATGGCCCTGCCTAGGCGAGACATTGAACTTTCCTATTTTTTAAAATCCTGTATGATTTTGGAAGTGGCACAGGAGAAAGCACCACTCGACCGTGGCAAGCAGTAAAGCCAGGCCCCCAAATGACTCGGGTGCTTGAAGCAAGTGGCGCGGCGTCTTGTGCAGGAATCCCAAAGTGCGTAACAACCTCTTGTATCATTTGACCGCGTGTGTATTTAAAATACTAAAAGGATTTAGTGAGAGAAAATGATGAATATTTTGAAAAGATTTCTGCAAGAATTTACCAAGAAATGGGACTTGACAAAAAAATAAAATTGAGTTCATTGTTTTAAAAACAAACTGCAATTGAGAAGAAAACAAACTGATCTTTGAGAACAAGATTAATTTCCGTTTCTGGTTTTGCCCTCTAGCCTTGTTAGCACAATAGCCCTTTGTAAAAGGTTACAGTAACACACAGTTATTGGGGATGACCAACAAAGAACCAAAGCAACCATTTTGAAAAAGTTCTGAACAACGGGATTGGTATTTTGCTAGACAGGTACTCACCTTTCACAGATCTTGGATATTACTAGGTTTAATCATTCTGTTTTAATAATCCATCGTCACTGTCTTAAATCGAGACCAAGACTATAGCTGATAGTCATGGCTAATTCCCACATAACCAGACTGGAGTCTGGACTGTGGTAATGCTTTTATACAATAACAGCAGGGAAGCAATAACTCAGTGTGGCATGATGGGGGGAAAAAAATGGTTAGTACTCCGTGGCAGTGTGTTGGTGCTCCATTGCTCTACACACCTTTCATATTGCACTTTAAACAGAAATGTTAGCTCTGGTGGATCACGATATCTGATTTAAAAAAAAACACTGTTCATTACTCAATTTATGTGAATGTCATAGCTGTAGGTAATGATGTATGTGAGCTCTAATTACTTTTATAATTTCAACACTTGTCTCACTAAAGATCTCAATGAAAGTAATGCTCTGGCCTCAATTCTTATTGCTAACTAATTTTTTTGTTTATTTTGCAAATGGTGCTTTTAAGCTACCCGTGTATCCTGTGAAGGTTATGTCACTGAGTCATAAGCCCAGTAATGCTTGTCTATCTGAAATATGAATGAACAATATAAAAATTGATGAGCTTCCAGGTTTTGGATTTCCATTTTCTGTTCAGTACAAAGAAGGTTCTCTCATATTTCCACAGCATGTAAATTCAGTATATTAAAATCATATTAATGTGTAGGATTACCTCCACACTTGTCACACCCACAGGAGATACTGGGGAAATGAGAATGGTTTAATACTCTGGAACTATTATTTTGCATTGTGAACAACGTAACAAAAGCTGAAAGCTGAGCCTAGAGGTCTGTCAAGCTATTCATGCACCAACTGTATTAGGTTTGCACAACTAATATCATTAGTGCAGGTGGGTTTGGTATCAGCATCTTGGGACGTCTTCCTGACGTGAAAGGCGCTATACAAATGTAATCTTGTTGTTGTTATCGTTGTTTATAATGAGCAAAAGGAGAAGTTGAGCTTTGCACATGGCTATGTTTGAGTTATAAGTAATAATGCCCAGAGATCAGGTCATTTTTGTTTGGTCAGCAAAACATAACAATCAAAGCAGGCAACTGTAATGTCGTGTGATAAATGTTAAGTCAGTAAATAGTCTAAACTGGAACAATAAGAATGTTGGATCATAATTATTTTAAGTCTTTTTCTGTTATACTTTATTGAATTCACAGGAGGTGCACCCATGCAAAGTGCAGTATATGGTCAGCCACTATGATAACAAAATCCAAACCAGCCCTAAATGGAGCCTTTCCTGAGCCAGAACAGAAATATTCAGTGCAACTGAACTTTTCAATTCTATCTTGTAAAAATGCAACAAAGACATATCTGGTCAATAACCCTTCGTTGTGGACCAAAACGTTGACTCACTTTCCTTTCTCCATAGATGCTGCCTGACCTGCTGAGAATTCCCAGCGACTTCTGTTTTTGATTTCAGATTTCCAGCATCTGCAGTATTTTGTATTTAGTTACATCTGAGGACCCAGTTCTGGTTTATAGTGTAATTTGTTTTAGGGTATTGTTTCTCATAATAAACTCGTGAATTTGGGATTTCATTATTGCTGTGTATTAAATAAAGTGTTTATTTTTTTACATATTCTCAAGAATAAACACTGGCTCAGTAAAAGGGTATTTAAAATTTTCAAACTAAAATGGTCTCATTTATATGAAGTGCAGTATTTTCGACAAATTTAGATATAATGGTTAGGTTGTCTCCTTGTAATTTTCTGACATAACCATTTCTGTCACTTTGTAAGATCTGTCAAATCCAAGGGAAAAATTTAGAGAAAAATGGAATTTATCTGTTCATAGAAAATGAGCTGGAATCTGGCCTCAATATCTGTCCAAAGCTTGATGCTTTGGCTAGGAATAGTCAGTATCGATTCTTAAATCCAAACAACTACTTTCTGCTGAATGTTCATGTGTGAGCCTTAGTCGCAGGAGGAACCTTAGCACCCCCACTGTCCTGAGAAAGATCAGCAAATTCAGCACATTGAAGGCATCAAATTAGGACCTTCCACTTTAAGTGCTCTGAGACCCTGTTCCGTGTGAAAAGGTGCTATATAAATGCAGGTTGTTGTTGCTTACAATGGCTGTTTATATCCTAGACTATGGTACCAGCTAAGCCATCAAGACTACATTTCTGA